TAACCATCAATATTCGATTCGACTGAAACAGTTTTTACGGGTTTTGCCGAGGCAAGCCAAAAACCTTTTACCTGACAACTGTCTATGTAAATGTCTCATTATCAATTCAGTTGAAGCACGATTTTGTTGCTGCTGTTGTTGGTGTTGCTGCTGCTGTTGCTGTTGCTTGATTTGTTGTTGTTGTTGTTTCAACTTAGCAGCCGCTAAAAGCCTCTGGTTGTGTTGTTGCTGCTGTTGTCTATTCACAGAGCTTTGCTGGAACTGGTTTTGGAACGCTGGTTGCATCTGCGCCACTGGGTTCATTTGCGCGTGCGCCGATGACACAGGCAGCGGAAGTTGCATGGTGGCCTGCGCCTGTGGCTGTGGCTGAATAGCCCGCGGACCAGTCAACGAAAACTGAGGTTGCTGTTGGACCTGCTGCTGTTGTTGTTGTATTTGTTGCTGTTGTCTTTGTTGTTGCTGCTGCTGAACGAGCTGTTGTTGTTGTTGTGGTTGTATTGGCCGCGTGAGGGCCTGGGATACAGTAAGACCTTGATAGAGGCAAAGGGAATGATGACTTAATCTCTCTCTTTCATAATTTCTCTAATAATAATAATAATAATAATAATTAAAAAAAATAGATTACGTACGAAATTATATAGGATATGATTCATGCTACCCTCGACATAATGAGCCGTTCTTCATAACGGTACACAGAACCACGGATTCTTCTTCGTTTTCTTGTTTATTCTCCGCACAATGTCTCGCTAAGAGGACTTATAACTCACAATAAACCATAAAAAACTCTCTCTGTAAACTCGCTATTTTTGTCGCGTCCGGTTGTCTGATTTGGATTGCACGTGTTCATCACCTTATTTGGTAGTACTCGCAAGTGTCACAAACTAAGAGGGGTGGGATCAATAAAAACCTATGAACCTCTTGGCCCTTAGGTTTGATAAAATTCCTAGTCTAAGCCTTATTATAGCTTCATTTTGATTGGTTCTTACAGACGCATAGAAAACGTCACCACCAACAAGATTTTTTATCAAATAAAACAAATAGATTCCATATTGCCGTGGGTTTGTACAATACTTCATAGATCACAGAATTCGTCCAAATGTGGTAATCATATGAATGTCACACTCAGTTGCACCTCGTGTGCCACTGTTTGGTTCTTACCATACGTTGATGTCATCTGTGATCTTTTTTTCTGAACACAAGCACGGCAACAAGGAATCTACTTGTCAAATTGACAGTGGGAAGAATTTGTTTACGTTAAGGTATTGGTGTAAGATCTACAGCGCTTGCTAATTATTTTTGTGTAATCTTGTATTTATTTAATATTCCGTCCTTGTGTTTTTCATGCCTTCTCGTTGGTGTTTAGTGTTAGGTTTGTTGTCGTTTATCTTCGTCAGTCTCAAACTTTTTGCACGTTTCTCATGCCGCACGTGATTTCGAAGTTCTCCTGTATTTTCGTTTACGCATAACCACTTTTTAAAGTCAGTTTAACGCTGAGCGCAGTTCTCTGTCTAGAAGTCTTCTTCACCTTAAAAGTTATTCGCTACTTCTGTTAGAAATTTGGCGTTATCAATGTCAGTATTTTCCATTCCGCTTCTTTTTCATTCATTTTTTGTTTATAATTTGTTTATTTTAGTTAACTTAAATTTCACCAATGTTTTCAGATTCAACCCGCTGCTGTATGTTAGCTGTGTAAATAAAATTCTGAGTAAAGTATCCTGCGTTGGTGCCCCTCTTTGTTAGTGTTCCCTCATAAAATGAACAAAGACACGCTTTGCCAGGGTTTCTACACAGAGAACTCGGCATGAGGTCAAGTTTGCAAAAATTCTGCAATAAGCTTACCTTGAAATGCAGCCGAGTTAAACGACTGTTGCTGCGTGATCATGCCGCCAAGAGATGAAGGCAGTGCCATGGTGGTCGGAGCCGAGGATGTAGAAACGAGATTGGGCCGAGTTGTGACCTGGGTTCTACCAAGGGCCGTGGGACGCTGGGGCTGAGTGAAGGTGTATTGTTGATTGGGGTGGATTTGACCAACTGCTTGCGAAGCCTGAAGCTATGAAGACAGCGACAATAACAGAAAAAATACAAATCACGTCAAAGTAATAAACACGGTCTACTTTTTCCTTTTTTATAATCTCACCAATTTCTACATAGAAAATAATTATGGTGGATCTTTAAGATCAATAAACAATAACAAGGTCATTCCACAACACCAAGAGCTATGCTCCCTTCTCTTTGAGAGAAGTGCACGGGTGCTATAACTTTCCCTGCTATCTAGTGCAGAGAAGAAGCAGGAAACAGGGCCTAAAATGGCTAACTATTGGCAGATGTCGAAGCAAACGTAGCACATTCTACTCAGTTCTTTTCAGACCCTTGTTGTTGGTTCGGTCTGGGGCTTGAACCCTCGACCTCACGAACGGCAGTCCGGCGCTCTAAAAAAATAGATAACCGAGCACAATTGAGAAAAACGGTTCTGATTCTGTACTAAGTTTATACTTGGCCTCTTAAAGTGTACAGAACTGAAAACATCACCTAAAAATTTCAGTCCCTTACCTGATTGTTGGGAGGTAAATGTCTTAACTGCTGGTTTGTTTGCGGCTGTTGTTGTTGCTGCTGCTGCTGCTGCTGAGAAATCTGTGTTTGTCCCATTTGAAGTTGCTGTTTGAGAAGCGAACTCTGTTGTGTAAAAAACTGCAACGCTTGCTGTTGTTGCTGTTGTTGTTGTTGTTGCTGCTGTAGTTGTTGTTGTTGATGTTGTTGTTGATGATGTTGTGGTTGTTGTTGTTGTTGTTGCTGCTGTTGTTGTGTTTGTTTCTGTTTTCTTGAAATAAGTTGATTGATAAGCTGTTGAGTAGCTACGGACGCATTTGGGCGCGGTGCCTGATGGGGTATTGGGTTCTGGGAGGGGTGTGACGTCAACATAGACCGTAGATCAGTTAACGGATTTGGATTAGCCAACCTGAAGATATATAAAAAAAACCAATTAACAGTGACTGAAAACCAGAAGAAAAGCGTTTAAGGAGAACCATTCTCCAGAAGTCACTTTTATCTCTTTGTTGCAACACTGACTAACACCTCGAAATTGTCTACAAATATCCTAAAAATTGGCATTTTTAATCCTGCTTAGCAGCCTGGTTACTGAGCAGTGCCAAGAAAAAGTAACACAACTCTTTTTCCCATCTCGTGGCAATCTATTTGAGCAATTAGAAGCTAAACAAAAAGGTATTCTTGATATATATATATATATATATATATATATGTATTCATATATATAAATGTGGGGGTAGAGTCTACCTTGGCATAAAGTGCTCAATGCTGTGGTGGCAGAGCTAAGTATACATAAGTTAAAGAATTAAAGAGGACGTATCGATTCGCGATATATATATATATATATATATAATTTTTTGGTCAAATCTAGAACAGCGAATGCTTGTGGACAGCGCTTTGGTGTTTTGCAGGTGCGTTCAGGTTGTTTGCAAATGGCAGCGGATATATATTTATGTATACTTTTATTTTCACCAACAGGGTAAATAAGTGTTATCAAATGAGTTGATAACGTTGGTTGACCACCGTACCAATCGCACCGATTATTAACCACCGACCAATCGCTCTAACGAAGGGCTAACGCTCGAAACGTCAGCTTTGACACTCTCTACGGTGGTCAGTTGATAATACTAATTTACCCCGTTACGATCTCCCACAAACGCAGCACCACAGGTTATTCAGAAAGTTTCCCCCTTTAATCGTATATTTTCATCAATTTAGCATTGATGAAGCATTTATTTTCGTCAACGTTCATTTATTTTTATAGTTGCTGGTTTTAGTCGCATACTTCTTCTAAACATGAGCAGACACGAGTATTTTTTCCCCACACAGTGAGTACCAGTTTGGCTTCTTCTACTACTCAACAAAAGACTCCGACTCACCTTTGCTGCTGCTGTGGCTGCATTCCAGTCGGAACCTGAAGGTTCCTTTGCTGTAGACCCTGCTGGAAGAACGCTTGCTGCTGCTGCTGCTGCTGCTGCTGGGGAGGGTTCTGCCCGGGGAGCATCATCCCAGCCGGTTGGTTCTGAAAGTATTGCTGTTGCTGCTGCTGCTGTTGCTGTTGCTGCTGCTGTTGCTGTTGTTGTGGCTGTTGTTGGTGTAGTAGATATTTCTTTTGCACGGCCGCTTGACCAGGCAGTTTCGTTGTTGGACGTTTTGGTCGCTTCGTGACCTTTTTCGTTTTTCCTCCGTCTGGCAAAGCCATTTGGTTCGCTGGGAGGCTTTGCGGTACGTTAAGGGCTGTTGGAACGTTCAGGCCTGGAGCTACTGGTGCAGTTATCAAAGGTATTTGACCTGAAGTAAGAAAAGAGAGAACGAATTTGAAAAATGTACCTCAACACTGACCGTTGAAAGGATGAAAACTTATAGTTTGTAACTAAACGAATCTATATCTACAAATGGGGACGTATCAGAATGGTGCTCCTTCGCTTGCCATCAATAGCATTGACATCTCTTCTGCTGGAGGATAAAGTCTGCATCTAATAGCTGTCACAACTATCAGCGCTTGTGTCGTTATCGGAAACATGAATCGACTAAGTGTCCTTCGAGGACGGTACCCTGTTCTGTACCAAATAGACCCCCCTCAGCCCACTCAGTTTCCCGGAAAGTTCCCTCGTATGACAAGAGTCACACAATTACTGCTAACAAGGTTCGAGCCCATGCCTTACGATCTTGGGTCTGGCTCGCTTAGCATCCGCCCAAGACGTCTCCCTGGGGATCAATAATTAAATAATCTCAAAAGAACTAAAATATGCCATGAGTGGGCCTGATAGGTGTTCAGCGACATTTCATTTCTGCCTCATGCTAATCTTGGTTCGAGCATACTTACATGAAAGTGAGCTGCAAAACTACTGAAAGTGTCAAGTCTATTTTCAAGTGAACTTAGCGCTCTTTTTCAAAACCCCACCAAGAGCACCTCACCATTTTATATCTGTACTAGTTTCACCTTTATTGTCCGCTGGAGTCTGTGGAGTAGCAGGTTGACTTGACTTGTCCGCTGCTGCTGCATCTAACTCTATTCTATCTTCCTCTTCGTCTTGCTCGTCCTCTTTGTCAGGAGCAGGACTAAGGAAGTAACTCAGCGGCCGTCTTCTGGGATGTGTGTGATGCAGAAGTCTTCGAAAATCTTGCTCATACCTCAGAGGTTTACGCTCAATACGAACGGCACCAAACCACGCCCACGACAGAGGTGAGGGGTTTTTGTACCCCTCCATAAGTTCCCATGCACTGATTCGTTGTTTGCCTGTTATCTGCAAGCCCTGGTACAAGTGAGGGAACGAATAAAAAATAAGGGGAGAACTGAAGCAGTGAAACTGTCAAACTGTGCATGAAAAAAGTCGTACACTTTGGGAAGACAATCTTATCTTCCTTGCTTGAAAATAAACATTATGTACATGCACTGTAATAAATGTTGGAATTTTCCAATACAAAAGAGCCTTCCTTGCGCGTGAAATTGGATACGTAAGCCCAGTTTTTGCTTCCATTTCGTTGGGTCGAAACGTAAATGGTCAAAAGAGTGTTTAATGAAGAGATTAAAGATGCAACCCGGTCGACTTTCACGACGTGCGTAGGTGCCTTTTCACGTGTATAATTCATAACATTTATTCAACTCACAAAATGCTACTGATAACGTCTAAATATGAAAGGAACTCTCGAACAGGTACCTGGCTGGTGCTTGGTCCTCCTGTGAGAGCTTTGTCTGCAGTCTGCCCAGGATTCGCGGGTGTGTCTTTGACAGGTGAAACAGTGAACACATTGTGTGAAAGGGAGGGGAGGGGTAGAAGCTGTTTACACTGCTGCATGATGTCAATGGGACTTTTTCCAGCAAGTTCCCGCTGAAAATAACCAAAAATATAGCGTCAATCAATTACCTAATCAAACGAACAAGCAGCTGACAAGCAAAATGTCTAAGAGCAAACTTTTCCTTTGCCGAAATGCAACAGAAATGTTCTAGCTAAGTCCTCACGTGCACCGTAAACTAATTATCCATCGGAGCGCACGTAAAATCCTTAAGGGGCGGGACATATTCACAGCGACAGCACCTTGCTACAAACCGTTCCTTGTATACTACTTCCAAACAAGTCACTCCGTTATAGAGTGAGGAAAAATAGAAAAAAAACTCCTCCTCGTGTGACATGGATAACGAAGAATTTTTGTGATTATATTTTTAGCTGTGATCAGTGGCATAAGTTCAATCTGATTTGAATTCGGGCGACTGATCGCAGCTGGAAAATCATCTTATCGTAAAAAAGGTCTTGCCCCTCATTAGTTCCCGATCGTGTAGCAAAGAAATGTTTGGTGCACTGAACAGGTTTTCGTAAAGATTTGTCGCCACTACTCTTTGCAAAGCTTGCCTCAGCCTCAATGCTTTGCTTTTGTGAAAATCAAAAGAGCTTAGAACCGTGCGTTTGACCAACTTAAAACCAAATACTCCCTCGAGAACCGCCACATCACATGCCATAGGAGAACAAAACAATAGGGCGAATAAGGTCTAAAAGGAAGAAAATTATACTCAGCAACTTCTTCCTTCACGGGAAGACAAGAACCTACGTTAATGGAACAACGTTACACCAAAATCACACTTACAGAGCGTAACCAAAATGACCTTCAGTGATTTTCAACTTTTGCACTCTCACACTATCAGTGTCAGTGAAAGGAAGGTAAGAAGTAGTTCAGTTCTTTCCCCGAGTCAAATTAATCATAAGGAGTAGGGTGTGATTACAATCTTTCTCCGGTCCCCCCTACCCTACAGACTTTGCACGTGAGGTCTGAGCTTTTGTAAAAGTAGACATTTATACCTTGAGCTTCTTGAAGAGTGTAAAAGCTGCTTTCCGGCTTTCTTCAGCAGACTGTCCGTGTGGCGACTCCGTGTTAGAAACAACACTAATCAGAACTGACACCATATCCAGAACATTTGTCAATAACTCCCTAAAACGAAGTCAGCAGAGATGGATGACAGATAAGTTTGTTGCAAAGTGAGTCAAACATTTAACCCCTGCGAGTGACTGATATCTAATTTCTCCTGATAATGTCATCTTAAATCAAACATTAAGGTCATGAGAATAAAGGAAACGATCACCTAGTAACTTATAGAAATTCTTCTTGTGAGCATCTTAGAAAATGTTCAGAGAACAGTCTGGAAAATATGCATTCTATATTGTGGTGCAAAGGGTCGAGAGACTTGTACAATCCACGACGAGCTCGACAACGAGCAATTTGAATTAAAAAACTTATAAAAAAAACTTTGCTAAAAAGACTTTAAAACAGTCATTTTAGCAAAATGCTACAAAAGATATATTCCAGGTGAAGCTTAACTGCTCTTTTATGAAAAAGAATAATTTCCACAGTTACTGTTATCGGACACAATTGAGTGCTTTCCAGATTGAAAAACTGTAAATTTGATCATATCTTCATCATCTTTCGCAACTTTGCAATTTCACAAAACCTTTGTCTTATCGTATCGAAGGCGATTACAGTTTTCGAGCGTGTCTACGATTTTGTATTTAGAATTGAGGAATCATCTATTGCAGAATAAGAATATCTGTGAATATGAATTAATCTTTTGAGATAAAATCGATTCCTGCCTACATTAAAAGAGTGCCTGGCGTTATTTCTACCCAAAGGAAAACAAAAACAAAAACAACAACAGCAACAGTAACAACACACAGGGGAAAAAAAACAAAGAAAAATTACTAAATAACATACTTTTTCGAAGGCAGTGAGTCAGCAGTGATTGTACCGGAGCTGACGAGTTGGAACAAAAGTGTAGCCCAATCACTAGATAGTTGACTGCTGCGTTGAATCGTGTCAAACATGGCACCAAGCTGTTCATGAAGAACCAAGAAAAATAGGACAAGTCAGACATCCTTACAAAGTGGATAAGCAGTCTTAATATAAACCCAAAAAGATGTCTCGTCCCAGATTGGCAAACAACTTTGACGGTTGAGCGCGAATTTATCGGTTGCATGTATACTGATTGTAATCTTGGCATGGGCACTTAAGAACTCAAGTAACCCGACCTCGAATAAGCGCCCACTCTATGGGTACGAAAAGTTACTAAGCACCCACATTTTAGAAAAAAAAAAAGGCTGTTTCTTTACTGGCTTACAATCTCGACATTCACCATCAACAGTTTATCTTAACGATTTTTTGTTATCTATTGTTTTGTTGCAAATTGAACTTACTGCCTACTGAGGGTGGAGAAGGGGGGGGGGGGGGAAGGGAAGAAAGGGTGAAAAAGGGTGAAATCGAATGAGCACCCAAGTCTCGCAAAAGCACCCGCTCTCAATGTCAAATATTTGAATAACCGCCCGGGGCACTCGATTGAATAAATACGTTGAGAAGATTCTTCATCATAAATACTTAAATACTTCAAAACTGACAAAAGCAGGGCAAGCAAAGGACTCACCAGGCTAATCCTCAAGTGCAAGGCCTCTTGGAGGACTTCTTTGCTCTTTAAATCGGTGGGGCATCTCTCCTACAGTGCAAAAAATAACAACAAAAAAGCATACTAAGTGTTTTATTGATTAAGGTAAAATGTTAACGCGTTCGTACTCAAATACGGAAGTTAAAGGAGAAATCTGTTTCCATATCAAGATCTACTTGTCATACGATTTTTTTAAAAAATCTAGCTGTTGGCTGAGAAACATAACTCTACAGGTGACACGAATGCGAGAAACATTCAATTCTTGAAATAACTATTTTCAAAATTTCAAAGCAAGTGAGGCATACTATGAAGAAGGATGTTATTTTTCCATCTTGTCACGAGCGTGATACAAGAGAAAAAGTCCCGTTTTCAGAATCGAACCTCAGAGCTTCGGATTCGCGATCCAGTAGGAGGGTCTGGGTCGAAACCAAAGGCTGGATTCCACCTGAGAACTCAGGATCTTTTCTTTGTTCCACGCTCGTGACAAGAAGAAAAAAAAAACCATCTGCCTAACTCATCAGCAGGCTCCAAAATTCATCAAGTTTCTTATACTAGTGCCATCATATTATTCCTATGAGGAATTACGAAGACGCCAGGTTTTGTTGACAATTTTCAATGATTTCACGTGCAAAAAAAAATTACGCCGACGATGATGATAACCGAGTAAATTAATTTTCTAGAAATTCCTTTTACACATAGAGTTCTTCTCCGACTGAGTTTGGCGAGAACGCAGCGGCGAGTTAAGTAGACTGGCGCCCGCCACTTTTTTCCTTGCCGCGAAACTTCTTAAAATTCATGCTTGAGGCTCACAAACATTAAGTAAGGAGGCTGTTCAGCTCAGACTGGAAATCATCTATAACAGACAGAGGGGAACACACAAACCTCAACTGAGGATTGCAGTAAGTGAGCCAACTGCCGCTGTATGGAAGCCAGAAGTCCTTCCCGCTGGTCCTCTTGCCCCTTGAGACATGCGAGCACCAGAGACAGGAAAGGCTGCGTGTGAACTAAAGTTGGTCTAGCAGGACACAAAAGAAAATAAGGGAAAAATAAGCGATAATTGAAACAAGAATTCTAGTGGCAGTGACACTTCGCTAAAGAATGGTGTTGCATCAGAGGAGATTGCTGAGAGTTTTCCAATATGGCTCCTAAGAGTTTCTAGAGCTGATGTTTCGAGCGTAAGCCCTTAGTCAGTCAGCTTTAGAAACTCTTTACGATAGCCAATTTACATTAACTCAGTTGGTAAAACCAAATTATCATGTTATACCCCACACCGACGCAGCACCACCATTACTCTAGAAACGAAATACCTTTTCACAATTTTTCCCTAGAGCCACAGACAAGATCAAACAAACAGTTCGGGAAAATAAACAGATTCGAAAAAGATGATCGCTTCAAATTTTGGTTTGAAAGTAATTTTTCAGTCTCTTATTTCATTTATATTGTCATCACTTCTTTGCCAAAAAAATCACAAACTGATGACATCAAGCCATTTCAAAGCTGAAAGAGAAAGTTACATATCTTCCCTAATTATGGGTATATTACACAGTAAAAGAATTTATCTTACACAGAAGACTTTGCCGAATGTTCCTTCCACCATTGTTTGGTGTCCAGTACTTCACCAGCAGCCTTCAGGAGTCGGCCTTGTACCGAGTTAGACAATTTAGAGATTAAAGGAGCAACTAGCCATTCTGGTCCTTTTACTACCACAGACTTTTGGTTGCTATGGGCTGTTGCTAGCGGAGTGGTGTCATGCCGCTGGACGAAGACACTCATTGCGCTTGTAGCGACTGCATCTAGTAGAGGTCCGGTTTCCTACGACAAAAATCAAGTCAATTGAATTACTTTTCCTCGCCCAAACAATACGTGAAAGAAAAGATGAATTGCGGGATACCTCTTTGGAAACCTGTTTGATCATAAGCTGTAACTCCAACCAAGATTTCCTCAAAGACCACTGATCCAAGTTCTGCAAACAAGTAGAGAAAAAAAAACAGAAGCAAATGGTTCAGTACACTAAGAACTCCCATAAAATATTAGCTACGGTTGCTTCTGTAATCGTTAAATACCAAAGGTTATCATTAAAAAAAACCACTGACCTGCAGTATCCTGCTTGCAGCCTCATGCATTGTCTCCATATCATTACTATTAGCAATAAGGCCCCAATGGATGACGGGACACCAGCAGGATAACAAATCAAATGCAGCAATTTCCTCGCCTGCGAGAAAGTGATCAACAACATGAACAACGATAGAACCTGCACAAAAAGGCATGTAATATTCGTGAAAGATTTTAAGCAGCGCACGGTCTGCGCAACGTTCCAATAGGTTGTTCTGGGGTACCTAACCCTCTTTGGCTTGTCTCTTTTGTTTTCCCAATGAAGGTCTCAAAGGAATTTCACCTCTATCTTTTGTAAATGATGCGTTCAAGTGTACGTGAAAATGACGAAATTTAACGAAAAAGTTCTCTCCAGTATCATCACATGACCTAAACTGGGAAATAAACTTACATGCTTAAGAGGTCTATTCTCTAGAGGATTAAACAACAAGAGGAACACACAAAACATCGTGAAAATAATATCGTGATTGTCACTATAGATAATTATCACAGAGCCGGTGAATACCTGGTTGGGAGATATTGCTGGATCAAGTAAATGCTCGGGTGAGCAGAGTATTTGTGGATCTTGAAGGCATCTTTCTCTCACCCATTCCTGACGGCAAATCACTTGCAACGCAAAACCAGCGAACACACTGATGTTCGAAGTCTCCATTGCTACAAGAATTGATTCAAATTAGGATTTACAGCAAACGCTCTTGTAGGCCTTCTAGGAGCATTCATTTCTAGGGATTCAAGGGGATCAAGTGGGGAGATAGCAAGAGAGGGAGGGAGGCACAAAAAAATTGGTTGTTCCGGTTCAAGTTCCAGCAGTTTTAAGTGACTTAATGTGTTTCCCGCTTCCCTAATGGCACGTTAACCCATCGCAAGTAACCATCTAGCATTACGTCAAGTTTCTCTGACGATTCATACTCCCGTGTAAAGAGAGACACTGTGAGGGAGAATTGTCTTTCCCAAGAACATAACATATTGGCCCGGCCACGGTGTGAACCTAGTCTTCAGAGTCCAGTGCTTTCATAAGTGGGCCCCTGCGTCCTCCAAATGACAAGGTGGAGGAATTAGATCCGCAACTACGCTACCTAGCAAAGCAGTTTTCAGCCCACCTGATCTGCTCGAGGCCAGTGGTGGAGGAAAAATGTCCCCAGTGCTAGACGTGCTATCCATGAAGTCGTCCAATCTATTAGAGAACAAACTTCGGAAGGAGTCATCTCGAGTGGTATCACTAGTGCTGGTAGAACCACTGTCTCCTGCTTTGCCTGAATTGAAAAAAAAAAAAATTAATTGATAAGTGGTTTTTCTTGTTCGTTGACCATCGACATGACCAAGCTCTCAGTTCAAGAGTACGATCAGAATTTATAGTCTTAAGTAATATTCCAGCTGAGATTTACGCCCATGATTTCGCTCAGAGAACACAAAAGAAAGAGCATAAAGGCGAAAAAAAAGGTTGTCATGAAAACATAACATTGCGCGCTCGCTATTTCGCTCGTTTACATGTACAATGACCGAGGATCTAGAACAGAACGAACATACCGAACTAGACCTCGAACAGTACAACATACCAGCTTCCGACAGCTTGAGCATGGCCTTCAACGCTGCTAGAACAGGGCCAATTCGAATACTGTCATGCGCAGCAGACAGTAGGTGATGGTCGTGAGATGATTTAAAGGGAAACTTTAACGCCGACGAGTGGTCATGTGACATGACGTCAGTGGACTCGTCAAGAAGCCTCAATAACAGGTGACATGTCAGCCTCGCACCAGGCTCCGCTTCTTGGTTCTCCACACCTAAAAATACAACAGAGTAAAAAAAAGTCATATCAAAATCACTTCGAGTGACGAGTGACAAACGACTTTCAGTTCACCTTGACAATGATTTCCACCACAGTGGAAACATACATAACATAATTCGCAATATGGTGTTTTAACTGACAAAAATACATTACTACGGGGAGATACTTGATTGATTGACCGTCAATACATGCTATCACACCACTCGTTTGTTGAAATCCTATGTACTGCGGCAATTGTCGGTAAGCGAACTTTTCCGTGGGAAGAAAGTTCGGTAAGCGAGGCTTTCCGTGCGAGGCGCGAACCACCGAGAGTAACATTACATTGTACAGTTTTCTTCATGCAGAGAGAAAGTCAACAGATGTGTAACAAGATCGCATAAACCGACGATAAATCAGCAAGACCGAGTGACGCTGTAATGGCATGATGGAAATAGCTAACTAACTACGGTCGAAAACAACTCCTCTGCTTCCTACGATCAAATCCTTCAGAGTATAAAAGAACTGAAAAATGAAGTGCGTTAAATTTCTCACCTGACGGAAGGGCGGCAAGAAGTGAGGGTAACGCCACGTGATAGATGACATCTTCCAATGAAAAGCAACTTCTGGCTATTAGTAAAGCTGTAAATGTGGCGACGGACTCATGAATTGATAAATCCCCGACCTGTAAGCAAGATCGCGAGAGAAGTCTTCAGCTACTAAAGTTGCTGGCTTAAGGTAACTACTTTTTCTTGGGGTTGCATTGGTTTTACCTTACTTCGCTCAGTGATTGGTCCAGAATACTCAAGTCACCCCCCTCAACCAATTAGATGTTAAATCGGCTCGTTAGGATATCTTCCTTCATTCTGATTGGCCATTTTGAATACATTGGTTTTGGTTTTATACTAATCAATTAAAATGTGCTCTTTTACGTCACCATGTTCACTAATTTTCGTTTCTCATAGCAAAATCATCTCGATCAAATGATTAAAACAAATGATCAAAACAAAGCACACTGCTGTAATCTGGACTATTATGTAAAAACCTTATGGTTTCACTAAGAAAAATGCCGATTTTAGTCTTGCAGGTTTTCCCCCCAAAAATCAAGGCAGTTAGTAATCCTTAGCGTTTGCCTAGAGTAATTGGTTTTGAGCTTGCCGCTATACTTACATCTACTTCCAAAAGCAAATCCACAAAGCCCGAAGAGCTGTTTGAAGAGCAACACAGTGCTCTGAGAACGCCAAGCCATTGTGAACTGAGCTTGTCATGATGGGCAGTTACCTCTGCACACAGAACACCGATGTCGTACAATCTGTGGATATAAAGTTCAGTAATAGTATTATATAATGAAGCTAGCACTCTGGACTAGGAGCGTATACTAATACCGCAGGTATTTTTATTCCAGGAACGGAAAAAAAGGGGAAACACATAACGAAAGAGCTGTTCATGGACAGTTTAAGAACTAAATGCGACCGTTATCAACGCAGTTGATGAAACCAAATTAGATTTGGATACGGTTGAAAAGCCGTTTTCACGTTTGCTTAAAGCTTTAAATTTTCTTTAAAACAACCTGTTCTCCCGCTCATACGAAGAGCCGAGCTTGTTGCGCCTGTTTTGGAGTACCGGTGAAGCGTGTGAGCTCAAAATGTCGTTCTTTTTTTTCAAATTCTTTTCGGTTCCTACCTGTTACTGGCCTAACCTTTTATAACATTACCTTTCGCTATTCTGACAGTTGCACACATTCATCATGGCATTACACACAAAGCTGTAAACATCACATGGTTTCTCGTGATTCAGAAGATAATCCCAGATGCCATCGAGCCTCTTGGTCCTGAGACGTTCAAATTGAATTTCAGTTAAGAGTGACTATCAATCACTTGAACTGCACAGGTTTAAGGGGGAACCATTCTAAAGTTTATCCCATTGGCGATAAAAAATGACTGGTCCCTTATGTTACGATGGGGAAAGGAACTATTTTATTTTACTTGGAGGGGGGGAGGTGTGTAAAGTAGCGCCTTCGTAGTAATTGAGGGAACGTCAAGTTACTTTTCATTTTACAAAATAATGATCAGTAATTTCCTTAACAAAGGAACAAAGGAGGGATATACAGTACACCACAGGATTCCCTCCTTGCCCCGCCCTTGGTTACCTTGGGTTCTGGAAGTACTCTGCCATAAACTTTGGTTCGTACGGTTCAGTGCAAGCTGATGGAGTGGTGCTCGAACACACTGCTTGCTTGATCTTAGTGAAAGCAGTGCTGAAAATATCCGCATACTTTGACTGCAAAAAAGTATAGGATAAAAGTTAGACGTCAAATAGATACTCGATGAATATGAGAATGATCTCCAACTTCCGTATAGGCCTAAATTCTTTAAGGATTTATTTTCACTTCTGCTTAAGTAGTGTTCCTTACTATGAAGATCACTCTCATATTCTCGGATTTCTCTCACTTCTCGGATAGGACGTAAAACCGTAGGCCCCGTCTCCTGCAGGGTTGGGGTAGGAGACGTTAATTTCCCACGCACGAGATTACTGTGTGGTGGATGTCCTCCCCTGGGGTGGGATGGGTGGAAGAGACACTAATTGTAAAGCGCCTTTGATCATATAAATGTTAAAGGGCGCTATAGAAGTAAATAAATAAATAAAATTAAATTAAATATTCATATATTAATGCGCAGCTCACATACATGATATTCATAAGTTTACAGTCAAACTAATACTCGTTAATTAAAAATAAACAACAATGAGGCTGTTAGAATAAATGAAAAAGCAGAGGGTTCACTTAGGAACTCTAAGGAGGTATAAGACAACCTTTACTTTTCGCCTGCGGTACTCATGAATAGCTGTAGAAATAAGAATACCTGGCAATCCACGTGAAGTAACATAACACTTGAGCTGTTTTCATGAACAACTTAACGGATCAGTGTAAGTTACATGACCAACATATTGTTTCAACATTTCTAAATTTTATAAAGGCTCCAAGAGCGAGACATTTATCAGTTCGACTGTTTTTGTGGTCAAGTACGCCACAATCTGAACATTGACTTTTTCGCCATAGAACTCGGTGGTTCTTTTTATCGCCAACTTACCCTGAGATGGGCACAAGATGAGTAAAGGTCGAAAAGCAGTCCCAGAATGCATCTTTCAGGCGACGAGCAAATACCTGGGTAAGCGATGTTCTCCACGGCAGCAAGGAGCCTGGAATCAAAATTCATTTTTTAAAACAGCCACCGAAAAACTTCAAATGGGTAAATTTAAAGCTAGCCGCTCGTTTCATAAAAATTAATTATTATGGAAATTATTTAAATACAGGTGGTTGGTTTATCTCGGAGACTTTTTATAGGCTCATCTACCACAGTTCATTATCCATTTTACCATTGAAGACGCCCTTATATCTAAGTCTTACGGATTTTTCACAAGAGAAGCGCCTCAATATAATATTTTGTGAAAGGAGAACCCGGAAAAAAACTCTTGGAGTAAGCTAGAGAATGAACCACACGTTCAACCCACATGTGACGCCAAATCTGGGAGTTGAACCCAGGCCACAGTGGCGGGAGGTGAGCGCTCTCACTAAGTGCCATGCTCGCTTCCGAATTGGCTCTGGGGAGAGAAGCTCCCCTTAATCCAAGTTATCTATAAAAATCCGAAGGTAAATAAAGTTTCCACCCTCTAACAAGCAATGAAGTCAGCGTATTTTGTAGTATCCCACTTAGATGGTGTGACATCACTCCTACGTTATAAACACTCGAATAACTTCAAAAGACAACAGACTTGTTCATTTCCACCTCCTCTAATTGATATCTGTCTGAGCAAAGACTCAAAAAGGAAAATCTCACCCTCTGAAAATCCTTGTTGTGTGTTCGGGGAGCAACATTAGACAGGCGTGATATTTGCGAAGCATCGCGACTACCACAACTGACTTAGTTGGTAATGTCCCAACGACTGTTTTAACTTGTGGTAATTGCGTGGTTGATATATCTTCTTCACTTGGCATAAGCAGGTACGCAACAAAGTCAAGAAGTCCATGAACATCACCAGAAAGTTCGAACAAGTCGTACAGGAATTCAAGTTGGCTCAGTGTCGGTGTGGGCATTACTAAACCAAATATCTTGGGTTGTTTGGCTTTCTGGTCGCGAAGAATGTTGGTGCACTTCGCAACGGCTAAGTACTGGTCAAAGCACGTGAGGTTTGAAAATTTGCTGAAGGAAAAACGATCAAACAAAACAAACATATGGAAACTGATAGTAGTTGGTGAAGAAGAAAACGAGTGTAAGATAAAATTGCTGAGGTGGTCAAACCGCGTGTAATATTTTGCACTGACAACGTTACGGAACAATGCTGTGTTGCTATTTTCCAAAGGGTTTGTCAGATAAACGCATTATTTATTCCATTAAGAGTTTCTTTCTTGAATCAATCCTCCTTTATGATTTACTCCAAGCAACGTGATATGAAGTGAACTGACATGTGAGCAGTTCTTACACTAACTTATGGAGTACTGGATACAAAACAGTTGTTTCTTAATAAAGGGGTAAGTTTCTAAAAAAACTGTGGTGCTACGTCGGTGGGAGAGTATAACAGGTAATTTAGTGTTAACAATTTGTTGCTGGTGATGTCATCTATGCGTTCGTTCCCCACTGGATCATATATAATAACTAATCAAAACGCGTGTATAACTCAGCTTCTTACGCGAAGTATTATAACACAAGTATTGATCTCACACTAACCTGTAGAGCACGGCTCTTTTTTCATCTCTTTCTCGCTTCAAAACCAAATATTCATTGCTCTGCCCTTGATCAGTACAGAGCCCAGAATCGTCCACCTTCCCCAGATCATTCAGCATGGCACAGAGCGCCTTCATCACTTCTTTGGTTGTAGCTATTGCCTGGCTTCTCGCCTTACCCACTCCGTACAACAAGATAAGCCGCTGGTTACTCTCGTGTGCTGTGACATTCTCAGCAGGAATGGGAAAATGCTGGGCGTACTGTGCATGCTGCGACTTTTTGGGAAGAGTGCAAGTTGAATCCATGAGTGAGTTGTCTCTTTGGTCAGCGGTCAAAGAGGACGGATTTGCCAGGCCTGGCTCAAGTTTTGTGTTATTTGCGACAGCTGGTTAAAAATAAGAACAAAAACCAAAACAAAAATCAACCATTTAAAAATTAAGTTAATATCAATACAAATTTATATGCAAATGTCTGTCGCGCTAGAGTGAAAATTAAATTGTAAAATAACTGAGATATAACGCCCCTAAATGCCCATTTTTTTATCCACAAGTTGAGGTAATTTTTTGACATACTGGGTTACCATAGCAGCAAAAGACTTAATTAAAAGCCTTAATCAAACTTAAATGTGCACATAATGTGAGACCGATTTCAGTGGCCCCCATTTTGAATCATTGTAAACATTTCAAGATTCACCTATCTACAGAGATAAACATTTACTAGGAGGGGTAGAACCACCTCAGTTTTCCAATAATTTAATTCAGAGAATTGTTGATAAAATCTTACCTGAAAGGTCAGCAGTTAGTATCGGGGTTTCCTGATCTGCAAAAATTTCATTATCGCCTTGGTCAAGAAGTTGTATGAGTCTGTTTTGATGTACCAGCAGCTCCTGATCTAGAAGGTGCTGAGACATCTTCAACTCACTGTCACTGCTGCTGTCTTTACGGCCAAGATCTTCTTGGCAGGTCTGTGGAGATGGGTAACAAACAAAATTAGTGGATATCGCTCACGGTTGCTTGTAATTATTGGGCATTTTTATAATTACTGGGCTATTTTTCTTTTGTAGTGTTCACATTTAAGATCGAGATTTGCAAAGTTTGAGATCCAATTGACAAAAAAAAAGTAATGGATTAAAATGGACTACTTCTCTCCCTAAATCTTCTGAGGTTTTCAAAAATAGGTTTGTACTCAGGGAAAATGCTTAGAGGGTGAGTTAACACGGAAAATAGGAGGGGGCCTTTTATCGAGGGGGTCCGAATTCCCCTGCCATGATCACCCCTTTGCGAAAGGGAAATATCGGTCAAGGGGCAGGTATATGTGAAAGGTGTAATAATGAAAAAGCAACTCACCAGACCATGGATGTCTATTCCCCCTTGAGCATCACCCTCTTGTACACACTCTTCAATGCCCATCGGATCTGCTTCAGGGGGGTGTTCAATGCTTTGTATGACTGGTCTTGGGGGAGAGGGGATGGAAACAGGTGGAGTGGGTTGAAGGTCCCCCCTTGATATGAGGGTACACATGTAAGAGTTGTGCGAGAACACTTCATTTCTGATGAGTTCGCCAAACAGGAGGGTCAACTGTGCAAAACTTGGATGTGTCTTGTTGTGTTGGTAACCACCATCTGAAAAACAATGGAGCAAAGTCATTACAACCAACTTGGTACAATAAAAAACCGTGTATAAGAAGGCGGGATTCTACTCTATTTTGGAAATAGGCGGATTGAGGATTTTTAGAGACACATGGAAGAAAAGAGAGAAAAACGAAAGACAGGAAGGGAAAAGAAAGGAAGGAAATTAGGGGACCAGAAAGAAAAAAGAAATAAAAGAAGTCAAGAGAAGAGACAAGAAGGAAAAATAGAGGAAATCCTTAGGGAAAAGGAGGAAATGGGACAACGAAGCTAGCTTAGCTGCAAAAAGAAGAGTTCTAATGGCTTTCGGCCAGAAGTGAAGGTTACGTTTAGCGTATTATTCATATTACCCTTCCCTTTTTGAAAGCACTTTATACTCAAACAAACCACACCCCCAAACCAGAGGATTGACAGAAAGACAAACAGTGGTCCACATAAATACTTACCGACTACGGGAGCGTAATTGTCCAGAAAATTCATCAACACCTTTTGGAAAGGTGGCACTGTGCTCGCAGCAGTAGTCACCGCGTTTGATGAAGTTCCTTCCTCTCCTTGTTCTTGAGAACTTTCTCTCTACCAAAAGAAACGGAACTAGTGTTATCGTTTTCGTTGTTCCTTTAAGTACACCGAGAAACGGTGGTTCTTAGTCTCGCTCGATCTTTTTTTTTTTCTCTGGCAAAGAACGTACTACCAGTCAAAAGCAAGTAACTTTGTTTTCTTTCAGGTTTCTCTCCTCATCTTTAACAACAGTCTAAATGTATGCTCTTCCATTTGATTCGAATCTTAAATCGAAGGTTTTCGTCATATCAGACGTATACCTTGAAAACCGGAAGCTGTCGTCACTTACGACAGGACTGCCGTCAGCCGAGCTAAGCAAAGATACCCATTCTGCGAACTAATCTAGGAAATGAATTGGATATTTCTGATTTCGCGAGCGAGGGAAATATCTGATGGATCTCAAAATTGAGTAAATTATGTACTATGCAACAGCGTGCTTGAAAACTTTCCAACAACATTAAAATTTGCACTGTAGGCTGTACGCATCTTACCTCCTCCAGGATCTCAGTTTGTCTTCTTTGCAATATTTTGGCTACAGCTAAAGCACGGAATTTCCCCACTCGGTATTTACTGACGGCCCATTCAAACAACAGAAGCGCTATTGCCTCATCAGTAGCAGATGCCTAACGTAAAAAAAACAGAGAGAAACCAATAGCATGGGTAATAGGACACTAAGAATAATGTGTATTTACATAAATATAGCCAGCAACACTAGAAAAAAATTCTTGCATTTTTCAGGGAAATCGTTTCGGAAAATTGCTCTGCCCAAGAACACAACATGGCAACTTGGCCAATTTTCGAACCCGGATCTCTCGCCTTGGAGACCAGCACCTTATCTGCCTTATCTGTCTGGCCACTGCTTCCCCTTTTACGTCTACAAAAGTGAAAAATTCTTAAGCGTTAACACGTACCTGTCCTCCCGTTTTAATTGAATCAGCAAAAATCTTGCTGTAAAGTGAGTCAATGGAACTTGTTGAATCTGCTCTGTTGAAGTTGTAGCGGTCAAGGATTTCCAAAGTGTTGAGCACTCTCTTCACAGCTAAAACTGAAATAGAGAGGGCTAAAATAAATAAAGAGAATTAGCCGTGTAGTATTGAGCTGTGGATGAAGAGGGTTTAGTGTTTTAATTTACAATTAGCATTCCACTATAAGCATTCTACCACAAATTCTGCAATCTGATTTGCTACGCTACTCGCATAGACAGCGAGTTTGGTGAGTAGGCTCACAGTGTGCAGTTGATGACGAAATAAAATCAAAACACAAGCCTGACTTGTTGTTAAATTTTGACCTAATAGCAGATATAAACTAAGACAATTCGATAATGGGTCGAGATTTCTATGCGTGACATATGACGCAGATGGTGATAGACTTTAACTACTCACAAACCATTCAATGTTTATCACAGTTCAGACAGCAAGCGGCGCAGCGCAGCCAGTCAGATGATAGCATTTGAGAAAGACCACTTATAGCGTTATGCTAAAATTACATATACTTCTGACAAGCTCAGAAAACCATGAACACCAAAAAAATCTTGCGAATTGATATTTTCCAGAGATGTCTGTGCCAATCATAAACCAGATAACCAAACACCGGGCCCCGTTTGTTCGAATGGTGGATGAATAGCGCAGTACGTTTTGCTGACACATATCCGCTGGATGGCGATGTACATTGTATCTGTTGGATAGCGCTACATGCTCTTTGAACAACTGGGCCTCGATAATTTAACTTTAGACATTTCCAAAGACGTTAAGGTATTCACAGGTTTCTGATACTTGACAGCAATGAGTGCATGCATTAAATACGTGCGAGGAAATTTAAACAAAACATTATTACGTGTTTATATGTGTTGTTGTTGATTTTAGTCTTTGGTTCAAAAATTTTATTTTAAATAATTTCAAGGTCTCAAAATGAAACACAAACTCCTCCATAAAAAGGGAAAAAAAATAAGTAATTGTACATTCATGTTAATTTGAACACAGCCATGTTCACGATTGCTCAAAAAAAAAAGGAAATTGTCATTCTTTTTAAAGTCCAACCTAATAATGACCCACGCAAAAACTTGTTAAACTCTTTCTTCAAAGGTGTATCTTAATATTATAATTGAGTCATAATTTCAGCTATTATGATAGTCTTTATACAAAAAGCTATAGGTGTATCAAAAAAAATATCTTTTATGCATTCATTTATTCTGTATGCCTTTATATAAAGGAGCCTTTACTAGAATTCACATTTTGGTAATCAAAAAATAACTTCGTAATTGATATTTATATTAAAAGGTAGTCTGTCAATGATGATCATTTTTTCAGTTGCCTAGATTATATCGCATTTAAAAACTTAGATTTAGAATTTGTCCGAAACTGGTTTTTTTGTTTATTGTTCAGCAGTGCCTGAATAATAAAAATTAACCATTATATAAATGAAGCAACTGGAGGAAATGGAGTTAAATTTCTAGAGTTAAGTATAGATGTGGTTTAAAGAAATTAAATCTCAAAGAAACGTTGTGCATGCTCTAGGAAGTAATTTCAAAGTAAAGACTATTAGAATGAAAGTAGCCATGTAGTTCAACCAAATGGCAAACATGCAGGTTACAAAGTGATCATGCAATTATTTTGTAAATGCCAAAAGAACAGTTAGTGCTTCATTCAGAGTACAGATGTGTGACGAGAGCCAACATTTCCTGCTTTGTAATTAAAAGAGACAGAAACCCCAAGACACCAGTACATGATTAATGATTAATGATCTTCCACACATGCGATCATTGTGCAGTAACTCAACAGTTGTAGTCATCACAGAGAGATACAAACAAGATCGTCGTACAAGGACACTGGGCAAAGATTAACCGAAGTGCAAGGTCCATTTAGACAAACGCCACAGGTATACTACTGTGCATGAAGTCAGGTAGAGTCCTGTTGTGACTTAGAATCAAAAGACCAAAGGTTAACAATCAGTTCAGATTCTTTCTAACTGCCTCAGTCTATCACTGTGTTAGAATCGAAGATTAGTTCTGCTAACTGCATGACTGATGATATATTGTGCCCTGTATAATGAAGTTCAACCCTTAGTCCCCATATAGTAACTACAGTCGTAGCATCTACAGAACGGTGTAGTTACTCCCTTACAATATCACCCCTGAATCAGAGATTACGGTCATAAGAGTAAAGGAAATGATCACCAACTAAACAAGCTCTTGATTACTACACAAATTCTCATTGTCAGCTCCTTAGGAAATGTATAAGAAACAGTGTGGAGGATTTGCAGACTGATACTAGGGTGTAAAAGATTACACCTTAAAGTTGAATTGTGTGAGAGAAGAACCTGATTAAGGTAAACTGTTATATACAGTTCCATATTTGTTCGAAAGCCTTAAGAACGCTTCATATCAGCAAGGTTAGTTTTTCGTCCGACTTAATCGATCTTGATCTCTCACAGAAAATAAAAACAAATTAAACAAATTGAACTCTCCTTAAGTGCTGCTCAAGAGAAAATCCCTGTAAAAATTTCAGATACACAAACATTGGTTGAAATCCTTAGCATCTACAATCCTCTACTTAGCTTTCTGATCTGAAAAATCTAAATACGTTATATTTACAATGACTTTATCTCAAGGAAGAAATTAAAAAATGGAGTTACATGTACGTGAATGATCAATAAAGAAAAAAATTATTTTGATACTGTAAGACATTTTTGTAAAACATAATACAAAGTACAAAGCTGGGAGGATTACTGCACAACACTGTACAGTTGTACAGTGGTATATCCTATGGTATGGTGCCTATTTTGTGTATGCAATGCAAAATCTATTTCAACTCCAGAAGAGTCTGTTCAATTTACATATTATATGGCTTGCTTAATATTTAAGACAATTTAATCAGCACAAACTATGACTAAATGCAATTTTAAGCATAAAAGTATTAAATCAACTTGTTAGAGCATCACTAAGCATGTTAAAGACTTACTCAGTTGAACAGTTTATCATGTTACATTACATTCAAAGGCATGTGGTACTACTGAGTTAAAACGTCTACAATAAAAGTGAATGATAGGATGAATGCACAGTACATGTGTTTTATTAAACTTACAATGGCTCAAGAAAGGTTAAGAGATATTGAGAGCTTGCAGTATTTTACTTTTAAAAGCAATAATGCATAAAGGCTGTAGACAACAGCTCTATCTGCAGCTAAAAACTAGATGTAGAAGTGTGCAGTGAGTGAGCATAGTTACGAAAAACAAATTCACAGGGGAGGTGATGAATTCCAGGTGAACAAACTAATCAAAAGTGCATGAACTGTACTCAAAAAACATTGAGACATTCACAGAACTCTTTACATATATACAGTTGTTATAGTGATAAGTGCTGTTCCTATCTTTTACGCGAGTGTCAATGTACAAAGCTGATGCTTAAGTTTTAATTACAGTAATTGGTAGTTGTAACTAACGAATGAAATTCGATAAGTACACAAACTGAAACAAGAACACAACAACATAGATGTGCATGGCTGGATGACAGAGTGATGAAATAAACCAAAGAAACTTCACTACATGTACATTGTACATATAAATAGTTTACAGGAATAAGACTTCAGTGCTAAATTACATGAAAACATCTACCCCACAACTTTACACACCTGCAAACTGTAAAATTTTATGCATGGAGAAATGTATGTTTATTATTAATAGCAATATTTAAAAGTCCAGAAACATTCAGTAGATTGCTTTCTCACCTGAAGATTTGTCTTGGTATTTATCTGGAGACCAGTGAGACTCAACTGCCTTACTTCTTGTCTTGATTTCCTCCTCACTTGCAAGCAACACAGATAACAGCTGAATAGCACACGTTGACAAAAAAAGTATTTCAGTTTTGGTTACAAACTTAAGGAAAACGTAAACAGCAGAGAGTAACCATTCATTTTGCTTGATACCAACCTCAGAATTCAGGGAAGCCTGAGTATTTCCAGGTGATGGAAGAGGCATTGAAGATGGTGGAATAGACAGCCTGTCCAGTGGGGATCCCAACACAGCAGGTTTATTAGCAGCCATGTCTGTGTTAGCTACAGTTGAGTTGCTTGCACTGCTTGTTATGCTACTGCTACTGGCCCCACATGGAATTGAGTTCCAGATCAGAGCACCAGGGCAGCAGATTGCTATCGTCTGGAGAACTGAACTCAGTGACAGGACAAGTGCATGATGCTGTGGACATGTCTTGTACTGTGACAGTACAGGAAGAGACTGAGGATTCACAGGAGCAAGAGATGAACTACCAAAAGAAGGAAAAAGATGGGTGGCAAAAAAAAAACAGTCAGCATTATATCTAAGTTTCAAAAGAAATGACTGCCTTGTTGGGGCATCAATCCCCTTGGAAGGATGCTTAACTTTCATTTTTCACCATCACCCTCATGACACCCATTTTTACTAGTTCTGACCCTTTCTGTGATCTTACCAATGAAATATTGTGGCTTCAACAATCAATGAAAAGATTTTCCTTTGCCCTAAAAGCACATACTCTTGTGTTACAAGTGAAGGCCAGTTCAGATCTAAACTCCGTAATCAAGTACTGTAAAGCTTCACACTGGGAGCAGCAGAAAGTTTCCAGATGTTGGGCATTTAAATCATTATAATACTCTGACAACTAATGCACAGCTGTCAATTTTAGTTTCAATTAAAGCTGTTTATGCAAAATATGCATGTAAAGTATTATGACTTGATCAACATGTAAGATGAGGAGTAGGTGAAACATAGCGTGTATCTACGATGTGTAATATAAACTTAATTCATCACTACCCCATGGAGCTTTTCAGGGCCAATACGAACAAATTGAAACACTGTAAACAAAAGGAAGTCTTAGAAACCCAACTGGCAGGAGGCAGATCAATTGGCTATAAACAAAGCACAGCCAATGAGTTGAGGTTGGGGCAACCGAGAACAAAACCAGTGAATAACAGGCTTGAACCCAGCATCACCAGATTATCACCCCAGAGCCCAAACAATCAGTAACACTGTCGTGACAGATAATGTACCTCTCTGGGGTAATGGATGGAACAGGACTGGGCACAGATGTGCTACTTGTCTTGTTTGAGCTGCTTGTCCCTTGATTCTGTTGCTCAGACTGCATTTGCTCAGCGGCTGAATACAACGTTGACAGCTTCTTGGAACACACTTGGGCAAGAACTCTTGCAAGGGTTTGGGACATGACTATCTGGTCAACATACTAAAACAAAATGGTGCCAGTGATGATCAAAACAGATAAATTAAAATCTGGCCTGAAATGCCAACCTCTATAAAAGGCATTTTTAATTTTATTTTTTGTGTCCAAACCCCTTCTAAGCCCAGCCAAGTGTTGATTTCTTTGTTTGTTTGTTCTTGAACACTTTATTTCACCTCCCCTGCCCTGCCCCATAATTGCAGTTGCTTTAATTGGTCAAAAATTGAATCAGTGGACTTTACAAAAGACTGGTTAAAAACCTCTATGTAATGGGGAAACTCCCTGAAAGTTGTGTGTGCAAAAAATGAGCTGTTAGAACAAAACAGAAACCAAACTGTACCCTTAGTAAAAGAGGAATAAGGTATTTTAGCAACAAGTCATCTGCATTCTTGCTTTTGTCCAACAAATCCAACAGCCACTGAAGAAATTCCTGTCTGTCAAGAAGACTCTCCTAAAAATTGGCAAAACAACAGTATTAGTGTTTCACTAACAATGACATAAATTTCAGTTGATCTGCTCATGAAAATCAAGCAAACAAATTAATACTTTAACTCCCAGAAGTCATTAACAGGTAACTTCTCCCCATAATAACCTAAGATTATTCAGAAGGTCATGAGTTTATTCAAGCTTATCAGAACAAAGTTATTATCTTGCTTTGACACCAAATTCTCATAACTTATTTAAAAGGAAATGTGTAACAGGTAGAGGGGAAAATTAACAATCAGATCTTGGGAGTTAAAGGGTTAAATGATTCTGCAATTGTAGCAATTGCAGAAAAGAAGACTTCAAAAGTTCAGGCATTGTCATGATTCAAACCTGTGCCTCCCAGATTCTAGTTAGGCCATATTAGTTGGGTGCTGGTAATAGTGTAAAGGTGAGAAATAATCTATTTCAATTTACAACAGCTAATGCTGATTTTCTGCTGTAAGGATTGCAATTAAAAAAAGAAACTGTCATGCACTGTATCATAAACTTCAAAGTCAGTTAGCAAAAATTACATGAACTTCTTCTTTAAAGTAAATGGTACATGTTCTTGTGTATAGATTACCCTCTACAATAGCTCAATTAGTGGTCTAAATCATTCATCCTGTTTCACTTGTGAGGGAGCCTGAAGTCATAAGTCTGGCTCATTGTTTTTGTTTTCCAATAAAACAAGTACATACACCTACCCATACATGAAAATATAGATAGTTGTAAGTCAAGTTTCTCACCTCATAAAGCCAGTGTGAAAGTCGCACAGTGTAGTTCCACTGCTTTAGTGCTTGTTCTACTTCAGGTGTCATTCTCTGCTGGTGTTGGGAAGAAGTTATGCCTGCAAAGTGGCTTTGATAAAAATCTGCAATCTTGCTCAGCTGGTCTTTCAAGAATTTTGTCAAAGCATGAGTCCATTCTGAAAAGATGCAAGATGACAATGGGGTTAAAGAATACATTATCCAGCAAACAGGTACTGAAAATGGTCAAACTTATCAAGTAAAGTACAGTAGAAGTTATTTTCTTGATCTTACACCAAATACTTGTAACTAATATACAAGGAAATGTGTAGCAGCTAGAGGGGAGAATTGACAATCAGATCTTGGCAGTTTAAAGGTTAAGCATGATCTTTACACCAATTAAGGCAAGCAGTAAAGCTTGCATTCACAATTCAAGATCTAACCATCCCAACTGCACGTACAGTACAGTACATTGACCTTTTCATTCCCAAGGTCCAAATAGTGCAAACAATGCAACATAATCGCTATAAGCTGCAGCATGAAAACATCCAGTCACCATTCCCACTGTAGTGACAAAGGGAAAGAGTGCAAAAGAGAGAACCACTTAGGGTGTTTGTGATAGGTATTATAATTATTGATAAAACTTTCAACATGTATTCAGTTTTACCAGTCCCTGTTACTATTGATGTAGAACTAACTATATCTTCTGTATTGACTAAATGGAAATACTACTGTAGGAATCTTTCTTAAAGCTCAGTAGAGATCTCCTGCATCTAATAATAACTGCACTTTGTTACAAAAGGCAAATAAACCTCACCCAAGCCCCCTTCTCCCCTTTCCCGAAGCTCCACAAGAATTACCCACATTGAGCTAAAAATACTTGGAAATGCTGCTTTTAATGCACACTCAAACTTATTATCACTGACCATTGAACATTAATTAGCATTTCTTTGTTGCTTACTTAGCAAAATTACCTCTTCAACAAATTTTAAGTCATATATATGTACTTATGAACACACCTTGAGCTGGGTCTGCCATGATTCTCTTTTTGCCTTTGGACTCGTTGATGCCTGTGTTGTAAGCTGATGATATCTTGATGAACCAGGCTGCCCTTAACATTGGAATGGAGTGATCACACAGACTGCTAAAGATTTCTTCTTTCTTGTTGAAAATTGGTACCTGAAAAGGACAATTATCTCAATGAAAGGTTCTGAGCACAGTGGGCGGTTAACTTCTCCATTTAGGCTGATACATGTAAGTAAGTTCTTGAACAACTGTTGCAGTTGTTTCAGGGAACAGTTTTGAAAAAGCTTGAAACTCCTAAAAGCTAAAAGAACTCCCAATGTACTAAATTATTTTTATAAAACCACCTAGAGAGATGGAGGTCTGCTCTAACAATTTTATTATTAATTACATTGTTATTATTATTATTGTTATTATTATTATTATTATTATTATTATTATTATTATTATCATTAGTATTACTATTAGCATTGCTATTAGTAGTAGCATTATTATTAGTATTATTATCATGATAAGGTAAAAATAATAGCTGAATAACCAGAAAAACTTCACTTTGAAAGTAAATTGCACCTTTGTGAATCATAGTCTGAACTTTACACCTTTGTTTGTGTTTCATACCCAGTTTGTGAGACTTAGTCCATATTTTACATCACATGTAAATCCCTGCCCTGAAGACAATAGTTTTAAGGCTACAGTTTACACTTCACATTACCTGTTCACTATGTGTACAGCTACATTTATCATCTGTATAAATTTTGTCAAGATTTTGCTCCCAACTATTTTTAATTTACCATTGATTCCCATAGAGATAATATTAAATCAGTAAATAAGAATTTGGTCTTTAGCAATTGGTTTTAATTTATGGAGATTTTCTCCTCAATAAATGCACATGTATAATACATGGTCTACGTACTGTACACTGTGCATAAATTTAATACCTTTATAATCAAGTACTGTCAAATAAAAAATATACACACTGTACATTGTACCTTCTTTGCTAAAACTGTCAGCGGTTTGTTCCCAGCCAGATCTTGAAACCATGATGAGATAAATGGCCTTGAGCGAGCAGTGATGTGTACCTAAAAATATGTTTTAGAGCTTTACTCAGGTTCAGTTGCAAACTTTCTAAACTACAGAAACCATCCTCAAAGGTAGACTGCAATTTAAGTACATGTAATTGCTTATTACAATTGGAGTCCAATGGGCTACTACCTCATTCACAACTACAGTTGTGGTAACAGGTGATTGAATCATTTAGGGAGACTGCCACACCATCAAAGGTTAAAAGAGTGTTCACTCACAGGCAAAAAGTTATCTTTGACTGGCTGTGCTTTTCTCTTGCTTCCATCTTGGGATGTGAAGGTATTCTGTTTCTGTTTTTCTACTAATATGGCATTGAAACTTTGGGCAAACTATGGGGAAAAACAACAAACATTGCATCACTTTACAGTGTAACAATAAATTAAAGAATTTCTTGAGTTAAAGAAATATTGGATAGTGCTGTATGTATGAAATAGTATTTCTGAATAAAGATAAGCACAGGCCATTTAAATAGAAGCAGAGAATTCTGTGCTGTAGCCTGAGAATTTTACAATTTCTATGCCAAATGAGCACTCTGTTCCTTAATTAGCACACATGATCCAAAAGTTTATTAAAGGGGCAATTTCACAATTTTAAGATATTGTAGAAATATGGTAAATTTTGTACTCACTTGTCAAACAAGGAGAGATATATTTCTCACAAAATCTACCATTACCCCTAAATTTTATTTAAAATATCAAAAAAAAAATTAACACTCCAGATCTTAGCAGTATGCACCACAATCACCATAGCTGCATCTAATACATGAAACTACTTGCTAAGTAGGTTGAGCTCTGATTTAAAGGTCTGAGATCTGAATCCTTCAAGGGAGGGGGAACAGGGGGAAACTGATGGCTTTTTTCCTTTATTGACCCTTCATTCACTTCATGAAGTGACCAAAACAAAATTTCTCCTTTCAGTACCAAAACAATTTTCAAGCAAAAAGTGATGAGAATAAAAAAAGGAAATTTCAGCAAGGGACAGTTACAGATTTAAAGCCAATTTCTCAAAGCTGAAATGAAAATAAATGTAGACCACATGGTTACAGGAATGGATATGGAGACCTAATGTGGGTAAAAGGGCTGATGAGAATATCTACAAAATACCTTAACCCTTTAACTCCCAGATCAAATTTGTAATTCTCCTAAATGTCAACCATAAAATTCTTATAATTTTAGTTCAGAGAATTTAGTATTGAATCAACTTATTATCCCCAAATTGATATTTTGTTTTATTCTTATCACTTATCTGGTTGACATTGTATTAATATTGTAAGGAGAAATTCTGTCTTGGTCACTCATGGGAGTTAAAGGGATTAATGTACAACAGTAGTTCAACATACAGAGTTAATACCTCAGGGTTAAAATTTTTCTCTTCATTTTAAATCTTTTTTCTTTGATTTTTAAGATAATCTCCATAATTGAAAAATAATACAGGAATAAAAATAGGTGAGCAAAAAATAAATTAGAACGACGACATCAATGCACAAAATGGGACTAGAAAATGTAACTTGATATGGTTAAGACAGCCTTGTATCATTATCATCCATCCGAATACAAAGTGAAAAACAAATCAGTTCTTTTTATCAGTGACAAATCGATTAAATACCTTTACATAAAACTGCGAAGCCACTATCTATCGTAAAGAGAAGACCGCAATTTGCGAGGTCTTTAATTCAACGAGCACCTACAATACCTTTGACAGCGGCACATTAGACATGATATCCTTTGCTGATCCATACTGAAAAAGGAAAATATACATTCAAGTTTGCATCTATGAAGCGATCAACTTCATATGTGACGACAAAGTGTCAAATCATACCAACCTCATTTGTCCCCGAGCTAAATGGAAGCGGTTGGTAGCTAAATCCCTTTTTGACATTTTCTTCGGTGAGCTCGTCCTGTCGAAGAAATATATTTAAGTTGTCTACAAAAATGAAGTTCTAGCGTTTAAATTTCGATTTAATTGTACCTCTCGCTGTTTACTGTCTTGTGGATAGACATCAGGCTGCCCCAAGCGTGGTCTTTTCAGAGGACGAGGTGCCGCCATGTTTTGGATCAAGCGTTCTATTCACGCCCGCCTTCCACTGACCCCGCGGCGTTACTTGTGCGATCACGCGTACTTCACCAGCAAAACGAAAACAAAGATGGCGGCCGCCCTAAACGGTTTTCGGAAGCTATGTGTTGGTGGCTTGCGGTCTCAAACAAGGCTTTTGCCGCGGGTATGTAACGCAAGTATTCTCGAATTTCTTGAAGAATCCTCAAATTGTTATTAATCGTTGTTTTACGTGCAGGTGTTGGGTGTAAATGGCTGTCAGCATCAGCAGAACAGAAATCTGTCGCTACATGAACACTACAGCATGAAACTACTTCAGGAGGCAGGAATTCTTATACCTCAGGGTGGTGTGGCTAGGACACCTGAACAAGCTTATGAAATAGCGACTACTTTGGGTACGTAATGCGCGAATATGAGGGTATATTGTGTCTTTTACAGCGAATAATTTCACTAGTACAATATACACACATCGTTCACTTTGTTTTTATTGGTGTCTACAATTTAAAAACAGTCGAATGCTACTTGTATGCTACTGTTAAACTCGGTGTAGGTAGTGTACAGATGTCTTAGCTAAAAAAAGCTATCAAATGACAGATCTGAATCACAGAGACAAATAATTATTATCATAAACTCTTAGAATAATACAGCTCTTGGTACGGATATTCACAAATAACTGCGATCATTTTTTCATAAAAAAATGTTAAAATTTAAAAACGTATGAAGAAAAAGTCAAATAGGAAATGATTAGCGTTTAGATTTCCTCCATATTATCTCACCAGTTCTAGAACATATGCTCCAAAAACTTTGTGGATCATAAGTTAATTTCCAGAACCCACAATTGTGGAGGCTCAGTTGAGTCATGTTTACATTGATGTTTAATCCTTTTACTCCCAAGATCAAAAAAGTCTATTCTTCACACTATGTGCCACAGATTTCCCATAATTTCAGTCTTGAGAATTAAGTGTTCAATCAAACAACATCATTTAGTTGATATTATTACACATGGACTATGCTAAGCATTGGAACAAGTAATGTAGGGATTCAATTTTCAAATTTTGAAGTGTAGCCTTGGGAGTCTTAGGGAGGGGTGCTTCTTATTAATGATAGCTGAACAATTGGCACAGACCTTTAAGGGAATGACATCCAATTATATGGTGGCATGTGCCACAGAATGGTAGGATTTGTATGGGTTCTGGGAGAACAGGAAAGTCCTGGAGTTTTATTTTGACGTGTTCTAGGACTGGAAAGTCCTGAAAAAAGACTTCAGGTCCTAGATAGTCTTGGAAATTAGCCTAAATCAAGCAATAAAGTTTTCAAAATCCACAATATGTACATTTTAAGAAATTTACTATATGTAGACTATAAATAGAATTGATTTAAAAAAAGAAAGATTTTTAAAAATTTTTTTAAATTAATCTAGGAACGGAAGAGTTTAAGGTGAAATTTGGAGTCCTGAAAAAATCGCTCTGAGTCGTGGACAAGTCCTTAGAATTTGTTTCTGAAAAAGGTTACGAACCCTGTTAATCAGAATTTAAACCACTGATGATTCCCTGCTAAGAATTTAATCTTTTTTTAGGAGGGTGGGAATTACATATTTAGTTTATTTTGTAACCTTAAGTGCGACCCAACAGAGAAAATAATTATAGTCTGAACAGTGTATCCACAAGTTCAACAATTTAAAGTGTCCCTTTGATGTGTTCTTTTTGTTGCCTTCTGCATGAAAACATACTGATATTGTTAGGAGATATGCTGTTTTGGTGAACTACTGGGAGTTGAAAGGTTAAAATTACCCTTGCTGGTGGAGATTTAGTAACATTTTATGTAATAATGATTTTACATTAAGTCCAGGGAGACAGGATGTCAGGAAGGCTGGTCTTCAAAGATAACGCAGGTAGATGCATAGTTCACATTTGAAGATTTTAAGGGTGTTATTCTTGAATTCTTTGAATGCGTCTTGTTTAGCCAGTTTAGTGTAGTAAGAGAAAAGGTAAATTTTCTATTTAGTACAGGTGTGTCCTGTCTCTACAAAAGGTCAGTTAGAGCTAGTTAACTGAGTGTAATTTAGTAATTCAAGTGGCATAAGTTGGTCATGATTGGTCAGAAGCTGACCAATCATGACCAACTTATGCCATCGCTCTGACAAAGGGCTAACACTCGAAATGTCAGCTTTTTTACCCTTTATGGTGGCTAATTTACGTTTTCAACTCCGTTGTTAACACTAAATTACCTGCTATGCCCTCCCACTGATGTAGCACCACAGTTTCTTTAGAAACTTACCCCCTTTATTCTTATGCCACTTGAGTCCTGTAGTCAATAACATCACAGCTAAATGAACCAATCAGTTTAATCAAAATGGACCCAGTACATGCTACTGACAACAAGTATTTACTTGACTCTGATGATAACTTTGCTCAGGTGGTGAAACTTCAGTCTTGACAATGGACTACACACACTCATATGGACAATCAGATAACATGATTACAATGATGTTTAAGTAATTTTTTGTTCCAGTCTTGCAGATAACCTCAAAATTCATTTAGTACAGCTGAGAAACAACCCACATGCCTATTTTTCTCTAACTTCTTTCCTAATAAGCTTGAAAACCCTGTGCAAAATTACTTTTCAACCATGTTTAAGGTTTTAACTTCACTTCTGAACTTGCGTCTTGGTTATTTTCCAAAAACTGCTTGTATATGAAAATGTGCTAATGTTTGCTTCCAGGTATTGAAAGTGACTCTGATCTGGTGGTCAAGGCACAAGTCTTGGCTGGTGGGCGTGGAAAAGGAACATTTGAAGGAGGGCTCAAGGGTGGTGTAAGGATTGTGTTCTCGTAAGTTTTGAAAATTGTTAAACACACTGTACTTTGTTGTTTTTATTCTTGGCCTAGTTTTTTTAGCTCAATGCTCTTCACTAAGATGCCACAACACAATGTACTCATCTAGTAGGTGTAATTTTTTAACAGGCCAGATGAAGCTAAAGAAATGGCATCAAGGATGCTTGGTAAAAAGCTCTTTACAAAACAGACTGGAGAGCAGGGTCGAATATGCAATGATGTGAGCAAATATTTTGTTACAGTATAAATTGCTTTTAAAATAGTTGTTCACTTAACATCACCTATAAAGAAACAATAATGTGTTACAATGGCAAGCAAAAAAACTTGCAAATCTTGTTAACATCTAGTTCCAACTGTAACAACCATTTTGACTAGTAAACTAGTAAATCTAGTTATTCTTGTAGCAGTAAGATAAGAAATGCTGCCATAGAACCCAACATGTCTAAGCGCATTGTTGTGATTTATCTCTACCTTTGTTTAATTCAAGAACATTTTTTAAAGATTAATCTAAATTGCAGGTTTATATTTGTGAAAGACTCTATGCCAGAAGGGAATACTACTTTGCCATTGCCTTAGAGAGAGCATTTAAGGTACTCCAAATGTTTCTTGAAATTAAGTGTTATGTTTTTATTTTGATGTTATTATCATGGCATCAGTGGGAAAACTTTTAGTTTTTCAGGATTGTGTTGTATGTTTAAAATGTGACATCTGTGAGTCAAATAAACTTATGAGACACCACAAACAGCAGATTCTGAATTTAGTCCATTGATTACCTCACGTGTGCTTTTGTTTCATCGTCAATTTTTCATTCATGCTGTCTTTGTTTATTGTTTCATTTATTTCCTTGTTTGTTGTTTCATTCAATTCTTTCTTTGTTGTTTCATTTTTTTCTTTCTTTGTTTCTTCATTAAAAAATTTGATTTTTCTCTTTCACCACATTATATTTTATCTTCCTTGTATGCAGGGACCTGTTCTGGTTGGTAGCCAGCAAGGAGGAGTTGACATTGAACAGGTTGCCAAGGAGTCTCCAGAAGCCATCATTAAATTTGGAGTGGATATTATGCAAGGTTTGCATCATATAATTATAATATTATGTCAAAATTATATCAAACATTACGTGTACTGCTGCAGAATAACATGAAATTAATTAAGGAATATCATGAAACCTTGTAAGAAAAGTGCCTACTCAATAAAAAAAATTATTTATCATGAACCCTCAAGATTGGGAAAAATCAAACTACATTGTGTTTCTCATGTTTGTGAAGAATTTTGGTCAAATGTTTACTGAGATGCAAGTTGAATGGGCTAAACTGGAAGTAATTAGGGTGGTGTGTAGTTTTTCTTTTGTCAAAGGATTGTGATAATTTATTTGTCCACGACAAAGTTAACCCTTTAACTCCCTGAAGTGATTCACATGTAACTTTTCCCTACAATATCTATCCACCATCCAGCAAGCAGGTAATGAGAATACTCAATTGTATCTGGTAGAAGTAATACCAAATTCTTGCAACTAATTTACATGGAATTGTGTAGCAGCAAGAGGGGAGAATTAACAATCAGATCATGGGAGTTAAAGGGTTAATTACATATCAAACTATTTTGAAATTTTACCTTACCTTACAATAAACAAATTTTTTTACATCATACTGGACTGCCTTGGCAGGGTTTTAAATAATTATGTGGGTTCTTAACAATTTTTCCCCAGGATTGTCAAAGTCTGATGCTCTGGAATTTGCCAAAAAGATGGGTTTTAGTGAAAGCTGTGCAGATCAGGCTGCTGATTTCATTGTGCGACTTTATGATCTGTTTATTGAAAAGGATGCCACACTAATTGAAATAAACCCCATGAGTGAAGATGTACTAGGAAGAGGTTAGTATCAATCAAACTAACTGGAACCTTTCTCTGCAGCCACACTCTGTTAGCATCACACCAGAAAACCAGCCATTTTCCCAAAATTCTCCACTTCCTCATGTAGTCACTTAAAGGAGGAGCTTGCTCTTAAGGGCAACCTCTTGTGGGCATTGCAAGCATTTTTAAAGTTATTTCTCTTGTTTTTTTCCTATTCTGATGTCCTCTAGGCTATAATGGGGTATCACATGATCCTTAACCCTTTAACTCCCTCCAAAGATTGACCAAGAAAGAATTTCTCCTTACAATACCAAGACTATATCAAGCAGACAAGTGATGAGAATAAGAAAATATATCAATAAGGAGATTATAAGTTGATCCGATTTACCAAATTCTCTGAGCTATCATCATAAGAATTACATGGCAGACAGTAAGGAGGTTTACTATGGAAATCTAGAGAATGAAAGGGTTAAATATGTCACAAACAAATATTGTAAATTTAACACACTACAGTGTGGCTTAGACTTTTTTTTTTAGCCTTCTGTTTTTGATTTTCTTCTGCACTCATTCTGATCTCCTCAATATTTACAAAGCAGGATGAATACCACAATGGCCCATAATTTGTAAACCACTCCTGTTGGTGATCAAGAGAGAATTACTCCTTACCATATCAATACAATATCAAGCTGAAAATTGATGAGAATGAAGAAAAGTATCAAGTAGAGGATTGTTGGTTGATCCAATACCAAACTCTCTAAACTAATAAATAGAGAATTGTATTGCAGACAGTAAGGAGAATTACTTATGAGATCATGGAAATGAGAGGGTTAAACTGGAGTGGTTTGACTTACAAACACTAAAATGAAGACTTTTTTAAATAACCTGTAAAAGACACTCGTTTTCTGGGAAATACCTACCTTTTTTCCTTCACTGTGCATTTGTACCTGAGTGAAATTCCAGTTGGAATAAAATTTTAAACCCGTTTTTTTCTTGCTTGAAATACTCATTTGGGGACAACAAATGAGGTAAAATTTGTATTTGATGAAGGATTTTCTTTTTCAGTTGTATGTATGGATGCCAAAGTGCTTTTTGATGACAATGCTGAATTTCGACAACCAGAAGTGTTTCAACTGAAAGATTGGTCGCAAGAAGACGAGAGGGAAGTAGAAGCAGGAAAAGAAAATCTGAACTACATTGGACTTGACGGAAGTATTGGATGTCTGGGTAAGTTACAGCTTTTTCTTATTTAACGGGTGGGAGGTCAAAACTGCGCCCCAGATCCTGAGTAAGGCCGTACTCAAGACCAAGGGCACAATTTTAAACCACATGGACCGAACTAGACTAGTAAACAGCGTATATTTATTTCATTTCCGTGGGTTTACTTTTTTCAGCCGAGCCGCGAATGGCGCGGAAAGTAATTCCGTACCAAGGTCCGTTTTGTAAAAAGCTTAACCCGTGACGGGCGCATGATCAGCCAGTCAGATTCAAGGACTTAAGATTTTGAATTACAATATTAACCTGGAGCACTAGCGTTATGTCGTGGTTGTAGGGTGTTTATTCAACGGTAGCTTTTATTTCAAAGCCTTCTTATATTACTGACAAGAATTATGGTAACTCAATTGTGGGCACTATGCAAAATAAAAACTTTTTTTAAGGTCTAACTTCTCGCTTTTCGGCTGAGATAGAATCGTAACTGAGTGGCGTGCGATATGTGCAACAGTGGTGTAGATACCAACATGTAGTTTACCGTACTTGTTTTGTTTGTTTTTTTGTTTGTTTGTTCACAATGCTCGAATGAAAGACGTTTCATCTGAATGAACGCAGCGTTTTTTTGAGGGCGGCGTCAAAGAGAGTTAGTACGGTATCATTTATAAATAATTATGGCGATCAAATGATATTTCATTTAAATAACGTGAACTCTTTCACTAGTGAATGGCGCCGGTTTAGCTATGGCCACTATGGACATAATCAAACTACATGGTGGTGAGCCCGCAAACTTTTTGGATGTTGGCGGTGGTGCGACAATAAATCAGGTTATGGCAGCATTTAAGATCATCAGTGACGACAAAAAGGTACGATTACATGACCTGCTTGTTCACCAGTAGCTTCTATAAATTTTTGTAGGTCGTGAGACCATCGAAAAATGGTGAAAAGCGATTATTCAGCCATAATATTTTGTGTTTGCATCATAACGGTGATCTAAAAACCCAGAATAGGCTTTGTTTCCACTGTGATGACAGGTTTTCTACGATTATCAGTTGAGTTAGGCGCGTTGAACGATGGGGTTTGAAACCCGAAATTACGGTGTTGTTTTGAAAACTTACACCCCTTACAACGAATTTGTTTAGGGTACCCCTTAAGCTGGAAATTATAGTAACCAATTGATCTTTGGATGGATTTTATTTAGGTCCACGCAACTCTTGTGAACATCTTTGGTGGTATAATGCGCTGTGACGTCATAGCGGAAGGAATTATTGCTGCAGCGAGAGAACTGGAACTGAATATTCCTATTGTCGTACGATTGCAAGGTACTGTCTGCAGTGATCTTCTTTAACTGAAAGTTAATCTTTAGGAATGCATATTGATCTATACGTTAGTAGGTTTTTCTTCACTTGTTTCTTAGTCCAAGTCAGCTGCAAGATTGGGGAAGAATCTATAATCTCCTGTCGGTGTAGGAGACCACAACCCCGCCACGACTCTGCGTCGAACCGTGGTGAAGTTGCCATGGTTGCATTTTAATTTGGGTGTACCTTTCCAGCTTGCTTCATTTGCCTTTGTTGTCCACTGATTAAAAAGTGATGGCAGCAGTGCTTTCAGTAAGATTTGAAGAAGGTGGCTACCTCGGTAAAGCACCCGCCGAAGAATTCCCCTCTTGTTGTCCCATTCCATTCCATTCAGAATAGACTGGCTTCAGTCAGAGTTTTCGGTGTTAAACTTCCGTAGATGATCATTAAATTTTCGTCTCCTTTACACTGATCGTTTTATTTCTGATCAACATCTTCCATTTGCTGACATAAAAGCCTGCTTCCCGAGTTTCACACAAAAAGTCCTCTGAAAGGACACAAGGTGACTGGTTACCGAAATTTGATCCATCGCTCTGCCGAAGGGCTAACGTTCGAAACGTCAGCTTTTTTACCCTTTACGGTGGCTAATTTACGTTTTCAACTCAGGTGTTAACACTAAATTACCTGCTATACTCTCCCACCGACGCAGCAACACAGTTTCTTTAGAGACTTACCCCTTTACCGAAATTTGAGTCAGAAGATGTATGTTCTTGGAAACTCAAAATTTATTTTTGCTGGAAATGTATGAAATGTATGCTGGAACATAGGATAAGACAATGTCAATCATTTTTATCAAAACTCCCCTTATAAAGGTAAAAGTCGACTGAAAGAACTCTACAAGATCTCGAGGCGTTTTGGGTCTCACTTCGTGATTTTGCTTGAAAGCTTCCATAGTATGCCCGGCGATTCACAACAGAAGCCGGAGCCGGACCTCCGGCGGGTGCCAGGTCTTATTGAAAGCATTTTGGTGGGGAAAGCAAAATAACGTTTTGTACGCCTTTTTCATCACGTCTCATCCTTCAGAAGCGGAAGAGGTGTCCGTAACTACACTTTTATGTTTTCACAGGTCTAATTTACTGAACCTATATATTTCATAATTGAAAACCCTCTTCTGATGAGATCTAGATGTGTCCTATTTGTGTTTACTCGGCAGGAACTCGAGTGGATGACGCGAAGGCTCTCATTGCTGCTAGTGGGTTAAGAATTATCGCCTGTGATGACCTTGAAGAAGCTGCTGAAATGGTAAGAGTCTTCACTTTAAACATTAAGAGAAGAGCACTACTTTGCAGTGATTTTACTGAGCTTCATGATACGGCAATAGGAAATTGCAACTTATTTGCAAATCGCTAATTATTGGCGTCTTTGTCCATTTGTTTCCAGGTTGTCCGCCTTTCCAATATTGTTGAACTTGCCCGTAGCGTGAAAATGAGGGTCAATTTCGAGCTGCCCATCTAATAAGATTTGTCTTACTTTGTTAAATAGCATTGTTTGATATTGAATTTAAAGTTCTATATTCCACTAATGCTAAAAGGTTTCAGTAGCTATATCTTCTCAGTTTCACTCCCATGTAAACCGCATTTGAGGGATGTCGCACCAAATTCATGTTCAATGACAGAGAATTGTGAGTATCAGTTGCATCTTCTGTAGACCCCTGAATGCGCTCATTAGAAGAAGATACAATTTTGAATGCCGATGTAATTATGCATTTACCCGTTTTATTAAAGAGCAAATATATTTATGCTTGTCTTTAATTGTTATTGATCTAGCCACGGCAAAAGGTGAAGTGTCTTTTCTTTCAGTTTTACTTTTAACACTTAAAATAACCACAAGGATAAGACATTTGAGAAGAAATTTGTTAGAAGTGTTGTTTTCCCCCTCGGATTCATGGGAAAGTCAAGGGAAATATTGTGTTTTTAAAACGAAACAAAGAATAAGCACATTCTAATGGTTATACCATTTTCCAGCTAACGAACAACTAAGGTGACATCGTACATAATATTACCCGTGGAAGGGGAAAAAAACTGTCATCTAAAACAAAATGATCTAATGATATTGCATCATGTTCTCCCAATCTTCCTGAAACATCTCTGGAGCAGATTGCAATTTTTCAAATTAAGGAGGGAATAATTTGTGTCTAACTGCCTTATTCTGAGAAGGAAAGAAACGTAATCCCATGTCTTTATTCGGAAAGCAAGAGTTTATCCTAAGCAATATTTTTACGATTTCATGCGTTTGGTGGCTGTAATTTGTATTAGCCTCCAAATCTTTGGGTTGTGCCAACTTGATTCAAAGTACAGTGGTGTGAATTAACGACAAATGCAATGAGCGGAGACTTATACCTAAGAAATTTTGGTTATCGAGTGCTTCTGGCTCGATTGTAACTCTTAATGAAAGCATTTGATTTATACCTTGTCCTTCTTAAATATGCAGTTTTGTTCGTTCGAGAGTCTGTTCATGCAGCTTTAGGGCGACAAGGTTGGGAAATTCATGGAACTGTAACTTTCCGTCTCTATTGACATCCAGAATGGAAAAAACAGTCTTTAAATCAGCCTTTGTCATGCCAATGTTCATTTTCTTCAGGCCTGCGATAAAATCCTCTTCCACAATCGTGTCTCGCTTACCAGAAAGCTCTTTGAACATGTCCATCATTCGCAGTCCACTGTTGCGGGCGAAGCGCACAAATACATCCAATGGCGAGGCTTTTTCTGGGCTCATAAGGTCCCTAGCTTGTCCTCCCTGGATACTTATTTGCCAGGTGCAGTTAAAGTTGGGCCTCTTTTGGATCACATCTTCCAGCTCTTTATGACAATCTCTGTCAAGAGCCATCCCCTGTAGATGAAGCTCTTCGAGGGCACTCTCGTGATTTCGGCGAATTGCTTTTAAGAGCGCATGCACACCCTTACTCAAGTACGGATTATTTCCAATGTACAGCACCTGGAGAGTCTTGTTTCTTTTCAAGCCCTTCGCGATGATCTTTGCCTCAGGCAGCCGAATTGACGTGTTGGTAACATCCAGATGCAGCAGTGACTCATTTGCCTCGAGTGCAACTCTCAAGGCTTGTGCTCCTACCCCAGACAAGCTATTCCAAGAAAAGTCGAGCTCCTTCAAAGTGTAACAATCTCGAAGGCCATTTATGAGATCCGTAGCCCCTTGGGCGGTTATGTTATTCCATCGCACATTAAGAAATTCTAGTGAACTTGTCTCGCACAATATTGAGCCTAAAGTAGCAGCTCCTTCATCGTTTAGGCAATTATGGCTCAAGTCAAGAACTTTCAAGTAATAATTTTCTTTGAGTCCCTCTAGGAGAGGAAGAATATGGCCACCATTTCTGCAAATGTTTGAAACGTGTAGCTGTCTAAGTGAAGAAGTGTTCTTAAGCATACGCTCCATAGCTTGGCTGCCTTCGACACCGATATCATTTCCAGAAATGTCAAGGTCAGTTAGAAAGCAGTTCTCCTCAAGAAGAGATGCAAGGCCTTGAGCACCTGTTTTGGTTATTCCGTTGTCATGAAGATTTAACGTGGTCACTGTTATGTTTCGGTTTAGAGCATGGCAGACTGCGAACAACCCCTGATCTAGGAGACCATAATGTCGAAGGTCAACTTTGCTACTTCCCATTTGTTTAATGAAGTTTGATACTGGAGGTACTCCCAGCTTTTTACAAGCTGCTAAGTATATCTGCTCGTGAGAAATATTGCTGATTTTCTCTGGGCATGAATCTTCCAAGTCTGTGTCCCAGTCTTCGTCACTGGGCAGCTCCGAATTGAAATCGGCCTCGGTGCCAAAAAATTGTCCTGATTCTGGTGCCTCGTCCATCCTGACCGAGGTAACAGAGGAACAGGAATACAACTTGAATAAAAAAATTCGCTCTAAGTTGGTGATAGCGATAAAGTTCCTTTACACGACTCCTCTTGGATTACAAACTTGCCTATGCATAAGAAAAGGAAGAATATCAATTATTGTTGTTTTTGAAAAGTGAAACACTCAATTTTTTTTTCTTTAACTCTTAAATCAACCAAAATCAAATGCGCCTAATCAACTGAAGCGCACGTTTGTTCGCCATTAGAGTAATTCACATAGGAGATATACTTCTATCGACGAAACGGCTCAAACAGCTGTAAAGAGAGTTGTAGCTACACGACGCAGAAAGAAACAAGATTGATCTATTGTATTGGAGAGTTTTAAAATATTTAAGCTATTTGGTATGTGTGAAGTAATTTAAAAAGAGATTTTCTATGTTATCCTTCTACCTTTTTCTTGTGGTTTCGCACTTTTCCTCTAGAAAGCGTTATCTGTAAAAGTGTTGTAATCATGTGTTTGTTTCTGGAAGCATCTTTGTTCTTACTTCTCGCGTCGCAAATATGCTTTGCTTTCAATAAAGGTCGTTTCTAATGTGATTATTTGATATTCCTAACGTTTTGTATTGAAAAAGTTATCGAGAATCTCGTCCCTAGCTTAAACGGGAAAAAATACTTCGATGGACAAAAATATGTTCCAGTGTGAATAAACCACAACCAGTTGACGTGTTAATTGGGATTTTCGTGTCAATATTTTAAATATTGTGCAAGAACCGAAATACCCTGATATTGCATGGTAAAAGGAAAATGATATTCAAGTGACTTTTTTAGCAGATCTTCGTTTGCTTTGTCTCATCTTTTTCTTCTAAAGGAACAATAAAGTTTGACAACTTTCACCATCAAAAAATCTCAGCAGAATTAACTTTTACTGAATTAAAAAAAACCCGATGTTTATCTTTCCATTGGAACGTTCAAAAACTTTAAATTTTTGATTGATTATATAGCAAGAGATTACAAATGATATGTAGTTAATAAATTTTTTCCCAACTATAAATTTTCCTGTTTTTTAAAGGCGTCAAATGTCCCCATGAGTATTGCTGTCAAAGAGCTAGGGAGGAATTCAGTGGACTTCTCTTATTAACCAACGCTCGCAGTAAATACTGATAGCAATTTTCTTCATAAACGAAACTTAAAGGCGAGCTGATCTGATGAGAAATCTTCCAGACTAAAATTGATATTATTAATATAAAAAAGTACTAAAAGATTATAAAGTTCTCCACTGTTTCAAGTCCTACAAAAGATTAGGTTTTCTCTCTTTGAGAAGTAAGTTTTAACCAAAACCGTCGCCGAATCGCAAAGAAAAAAAGCCCATGAAAATTTAATTTGGAGGGCAAATGATTAAGTCAAAATATTACTGTTACTGTTCATCTATGTATTGAGGATTTCGATCGTTCAGTTACTACCAGATTAAAATGGTATGGGGCTTCGTTCTGCGAGCTCCGCTATAATCTGTCTCTCTACTCAGTACATTTTGCAGTGAATATTCGGGATTTACTATACTGCTTATCCACTCATCCAAAATAATATTTATGAAATAACGTCTTGGAGGACTCAATCTCCTCACCTAAGGTGTTTTGTTATCCTCAGTGCTTCGAATTGTTATTATGGGTGGTTTTGAAGGAGCTTAAGTTCGACGTGTGGTGTTTCACCTGGAGGTCGTAGAGCATCACTCAACGACGAACCCAAACCCATTTAAACTCCTTCATTATAAACAAAACGACGGCAAAATACCATAGCTATGGTAAATCATGATTTGAGTGGCATTTTTTAATTGATCCACATAGTTATAATACGTCGCAAGGCTGTTTTGATATATGGTAAATACCATAGACACCGTAAAAGGTGACAAAAAATCGAAATTACTTTCTCAACGGTAAGAAGAGACAGTTACACCTAGATTGAAGCATCTGTAAGAAATGCCGGTTCTATCCTTCCCGGTTTCGTTGTAATTGCAATTTACTAGAAAAAATAATCAAAATAAGGTCACATTTGTTTACGCGTTTATTTGTTGCCCAATGAAACAATGAGTGATGAGCACTCACAATTCTTGTGCGGACAAAAAGCGGCTTGATGGACGGAGAATTTTATAATAAATACTATGGATATATTTCTTTGATTTCTTAACATATTTTTTGTTATTAGAAATCATGCCCCATATAACTTCTACCTATTTTGAAATTTGACCATTACGAAAACCCCCAAAATGTTGGTTTTTGTCCTATTTACATACAGTAAAGTGTCAAGTGCCTATGAAAAACGCTTACGAAACATTTCTTCTCCAATGCAGTCCACAAAACACACTATAAAGTCTCTCTCGTTACGATACCTAAAAAACTGGGCAGAAGTTGGAATTAGAAATTTAATCAAATCATTTTTAACCAAATCATAACAAATTGGTTCATCTATGCATGTATGAACGTTATAATAGCTAAGTGGTTTTCTTTCAGTCCGTAAAAATCACGATAAGCACAAAATTTACGCGGGTTATGAGCAACAACACGAGCCAGTAAGAAGCAGTGTTTAAGACCGTACAAGAGAATAGGTAATTTTCTTCGACCGTATCATTCTTTCGATAAAGCTTAAAACAAAATGCTAAATCAATACCGCACTTGTTAAAAAATTTATGAGTTCTATTTTTCTCTCTTTGAGTCCATGAACGTTCAATTGTTTTGATTATTTGTCAATGTTTTGGGCGTATTGTTTTCCTTAGAAATTTTGCGCGGGAAATTGGCGCGTGTGCGGCCAAAAATTGATCCTTTGCGCATCCCCAACGTTTTACTGCAGTGCTCTAAATTTAGTCTTGATTATCAGCCACTTTTCGAAAAATGCACCGGTACTTCCCGGAAGGAACTTAACGGGAGGATCGAGGACCGAATCCGAGAAAATTATAAATTCATTGGATTCCATTTCAGCTCGGTCCTGGATCATTGCTTCGTACTAGTAGAGTAATGGTCGCTCCAGTCACGTTGGGTGTCCTGTGGGGCTTGCAAAGAATAATTACCACGGCTACCACAAGAAAAAGGGCGGCGAAGCCGAGAACTCCTGCCACTACGGCTATGGTGGTGGTGTCGTCTTTAGGTGAGGATGACACTGCAAGGTAATCCAAGACAAGTGAGTCATGAACTAATGCTGAACTCGCTGAATGAACACGTCACTTAATCAAACTATCGAAAGAAAGCATCTTGTAAGTTTCTCTTGGGGGAACAAGTGAAAAAGCCTTGGGGAAAGCCAATTCGTTCGTCAACTTTTGGCAACGGTCTCATCACCACAGCCAAAACAACCAAATTTAGAAAATCCAGGTTGATACATGATTATAGAAATGAATTCGCGTACGAAGGAAGCGTTGAATGAATGAATTAGTACATGTGTACATGAATTTCAAGAAAAGAATAAATCAATGAGTAGATGAACGATGAATGAATATGTGTATGCATGCGTCAATAAATGCGTAAATGCAAGGATAAATGATTGAATGACTGCCTGAATGAATAAATGAGAGAATGAACGAATGAACCAACGGACAGGTTGGTAAGAAAATCAGCTATCAAATGCAAGAATCGATGAACGAACAAACAAACACACCAATAACAGCAAACCAAGATGTTATGATTAATGACACGTGAACCGTGGAATTCGTCGCCTGACGAAAACTGCACTATAGAAGTCATAACGGCGTAATCAGTACAACTGATAGCTTCACTCTATATCGTGAGACAAACGATAAAATTGCCATTTATCGAAAAAGAAATTCCTAAGAGGTTAAATTGTATTGCAAATATGGAGCAGAAATTTCACCAGGTTCTGCTCTTAATCAAAGCAATCAGCTCTACCTGAAGGCTCTTTTGGTTGAGAGGAAGAAACAATTATGGGTCCCACAGCCAGATGTTGTTCAACTTTTTCTTTCGTGTCTCGCCTTTTCCTCTTTTCGAACGGACATCCTTTCGCGCAACGCGAAGACTCATCAGAATGAAGACAGGCCAACACTAAACAATGGAGGAAGATTTCTTCTGACTTTACGGGGCGGAAGTGAAACGCACCCATGATGAAACGCTGAACAGATGACAAGGTGTAGTTATAGCGAAGATTGTTGTCCTTGGGACACCTGTAATGTGATGAAAGTTCCGTCAATACACGAACCGAAGTGGCTTCAAATCACCGTTGTTTATATCTAGGTACTCCCTTAACTGGTCCGTCGCTCATTAAAGTGGTGCTCGGGTACATTTACCATTCGGGGCTGCATAATCCACTTACGAGTCTCTTTGAGGAGTAGCATTCCCCCTGTTCTAAAAAGTTTCTTTAAAAATTAGCTAAACACTTCGGTTGAGATTCTAACGTTGAAAAGTGTCTTCAAATATACATTCTCTCTCCCAGAGCTTCTACTAATTTCAAGAGAAAAGCCCTGGTAACAAGATTACATTCTACAATATCTATATGGAGTATATGAACAACTCCATTTTGAAAACAACTCAGTAAGCGGTCAGTGACGAGCACACAAAAAACAGCAGCGCCAAGAAAAAAAATGTTTGAGTCAAGGAATTTCATTTCTTGTCGCTCGTACTTGTTCGCAGGGAGATGAAAAAAGAAGAGGAGTGATCAACAGTAAGTTCATATTTACGCTTTAATGGCGACGTCTTTCGAATATTAATTTTCTTCTTAACTTACCCATCCTCTAAGAAAACGAACTGCATCTCATCATCATAATTAGGTGTGGCTGTCGCCTTGCACTCATCCACAAACACAATAACTCCAGTATCATTTGATTTCACTGCCACCTGAAGAAAAATGTCTGTTCCTACGTCTATTGGTCCAACAGGGTATTCTGTGTAATGCTCACGGAAATCTCCGGTTTTGAATAGGTTCATCTCGAACGTGAAATTTCCAAACGACTCTGTGAGATGGAACGAAACTCGGAATAGTAATGAATCTTTTCTTTCTGAAGCAGCTATACTACTGTAAATTTAGAGAGCGTTTCGATTGAGTCTCATGGTTTATTATTATTATGGTTATGCAATGTGCTAGCATTCCATGGGGAAATGAAAACTCAAAGCGAATTACAAGTAGACAGTGGAAGGCGTGGCAAACGTCGTTGGGTTAGACTCTGGCATCAGATTGGTTGAGAAGATAGTTTTCCAGGCCAATCACAGCGAGTTAAGAAGTAATTCTGGATTACGTTTAACACTGAATTGAAAAATGACAATTTGGAATTCTGGACGATGATAGAGAAGGAGGGAAAATGAAAGATTTATTGCGCAGAAAAGTGGCCCCGCACGTTTGTTTTATAACTTCAAGTGTGCATTTCCTTCGGTCACAAGCAAAGACACAATGCGAGGTCGCTGAGAGAGGAGACCGCGATGGCCAATTTTTGACATTCCATTTGGAAATCAACTCTGCTCACTCTGACGGGGTCATGGGAATGTGGAAGACAGAGATAAGAGAAAGAGAGGGGAGAGAGGGGGTGGTTGAACACCATCAGAGTTGTGCAAAACCCCATTGAACACTCGCGATATCCTCATAGGCGATGGAAGTAAATTTTCGATGGAAATTTGGCCAGACGATGCAATCGTGATAGCTTGAATTCTTTAATATCTCTACTTAGTCTTTCTAATACTTACGTATATCACTGATCACCAATATTTCCGACGGATTGAATGAGATTACGGATAACAACGCTGTCTTCTGGTAACGACATTGGAATTCAAACACGGCCAGGTGGTCACGTGACGCATGCAAACCCAAGGAGCCTCGGCCCTTCACAAGGGCTGTTATAGCGTTGCGATAAATAAGCATTTTACCGTCTTGCGAGACATTCCATATCATTCCACATCCTTCGAGCGTTGATTTGATAAATATGTGGCTGCTGTTTTGGAAGGAAGGTTTGCAAGATGCGTCGTTGAGGTGGACGGTTTCTGGATCGTAGTTGAGGTGAGATTTGATGTGTAACATGACTTTGATTTGGTTTCTGTCGCACTTCACGTCAATGGTAAAGTCGTCACCTGATAACGTAATGATATTGGCGGTGCCTGAACATCTCTCTTTTTTTAACCCTTAAGCTTACGAGTGACTACTATCTAATTTTCCTTACACTGGAGTAGTTTTTCAATGGGCCATTTTACAGTTGTATAGTTAGTTGCCAAGCCTTTAATTTGGAGTGAGGCTGAAGCTGACCTTGTCGTGATAGAGACCAGTTTATCTAGTGAGCATGATAACAAAGTAATTTACTTTCGAAAAGCGGTAACATTTGTATAATAACTAGGTCAAACGTAGCCTCACTCCTATTAAGAGGCTTGGCAACCACTCTCGCAACTATAAATTGGACTATTGACTACCCTAAAACCAAAACCAGAGTAATCACAACAGCCAATCATTACAAAGGTTCGCGTCATCGTTAGCCAATGAGGACTGATAGTAAAAACAAGCGGTCTACCAAAAGCGCAGGAAAACGCGGGCGATCAAGTCAAGCTGACTGGTTTCTGTTTGGCTTCTGATAAAAGCAAATTAGCAGATTAGTTTGGACACGCAAGTGAAATTTGCTTTATTCCTGCTGAATCAAACATCATGAGGCCATGAATGAAAAAATAGGAAACGATCTCTTTTTGAGCTTTTGAGTTTTAAACGAATTCTCTGTGTCGGTATCAGAAGAAATGAGGAAAAGGTAAAGAATATACATACTGATGTTGAGGTGTTAACCCTTTAACTCCCAAGATCTCTTTAGTAATTCTCTTGACTGTCTGCCACACAATTCTTATAATATCAATTTGGAGAATTTGGTATTGGATCGACTAATAATCTCCTAACTTATATTTTACGTTATTCTCATCACTTCTATGCTTGATATTGTATTGATACTGTTAGGAGAAATCCTCTCTTGGTCACTCATAGGAGTAAAAACATACATTTTATTAGCATTAAAGAACAGAATATTTACCTGGTTTTGTTGTTGTACTTACGAGCGACGGCTGAGTTGTAGGTTTCACAATCGATTCTGAAGATTAATGAGGTCGACTCAATAACTTGAAGGGGGGAGGGTGGGGGAGGATGCACCTCAGAGTAGTTCAACATTATTCAAGACGATGCATTATGGATAATGGTGACAAATGTTGTCAATACATAATGATTAAGCATAATTCCAAAAAAGTTCTTTTAGCTTTACCTAAAGAGAAATAGAGAAATTCAATACTGTTCTTTTTGCAAATCGTGTATCCAGTCTTCTTGATTCACGCAAATGGTAAAAACAATATTTTTGTGTTCCTTGGCAAAACTTACATTTTATTAGCATTAAAGAACGGAATATTTACCTGGTTTTGTTGTTGTGCTTACGAGCGACGGCTGAGTTGTAGGTTTCACAATCGATTCTGAAGATTAATGAGGTTGACTCAATAACTTGAAGGGGGGGAGGGTGGGGGAGGATGCACCTCAGAGTAGTTCAACATTATTCAAGACGATGCATTATGGATAATGGTGACAAATGTTGTCAATACATAATGATTAAGCATAATTCCAAAAAAGTTCTTTTAGCTTTACCTAAAGAGAAATAAAGAAATTCAATACTGTTCTTTTTGCAAATCGTGTATCCAGTCTTCTTGATTCACGCGAATAGTGAAAACAATATTTTTGTGTTCCTTGGCAAAACTTACATTTTATTAGCATTAAAGAACGGAATATTTACCTGGTTTTGTTGTTGTACTTACGAGCGACGGCAGAGTTGTAGGTCCCACAGTCGACTCTGAAGATTAATGAGTAACAACAGAATCAATTTGGAACAGTAACTTTCCATCTTCGTTTTAAAATTGATGATTTGGAACCTAAGTCCTTAATGTGAGGATTTGTAATAGTAAGATTAAGCATTTTTAGAGTGGATGGGGCGTTACTCTAAGGCTTTAAGCCTCCTTTGGCAAAGGAAAAGCAGCCCTGTGTTGTAGCAGTGTGTCCCATCTTGGAATGGCCCTTGGAAATTATGGAAGAGATAGCTACTTATTGGAGGATATTGATAGTGGAAATGTTCAATATCAAATGAGTTTCCATTTCTGAGTTGACGATACCCGCCTTTTTGTAAATGAGGTCAGACGCACGCGACAGATTCTTTGAGAAAACGATGTTTTCGTATTTAAACTTGTTTGCTTTACAGGTTTAAAGTCATTATTTTGGTTGCGTAACATTAAAATTAACTTGTTCACCTCTCTTCCCAGGCTGTGAAGTATTCTGAAGAACCCTCTCATTGGCAGTCAATTGCCAGTCGATTTTCAATAGTCCCCTCCCCTCCCAAAACCCTGTTAGAGAAGACAGATCCCTCTTCCGTTCCTCGTGTGATCTCCCAACCACCCCTCCCCCCCCCACAGACGACAAACAACGGCTAGTCCCCAGCCTCTTGCGTTTTTCCTACCTGCAGTACCGTTTCCACAGTACAGAAGATCGCAATGGCTAGTCGGCGACAGCCTATACACATAAAAACCATTGCACCGCCTTACTTTTGCAGGGCTGGACCATTGGCAACAAACACCCATCCAACTGAAACAAACTCTTCCGGATGAAACTCCCCCAACGTTCGCTGGATGGGGCCCGTTGTACCAGCCAGGGGAATGGGTACCACAGTGGAGTGACTTGACGCAAGACTCTGGCATCTTTGTCCCAGCTCCGCCTTTAAACCTGTACCAACCTGGAACTAAATTTCTGTCGCACTTTCCTTGCTGTAAGCCAGAGAGGCGGTTGTACTGGGAACGAGCGGAGTCTTGAAGCTCTTTGTACGTAATGCATGGATCGTTAGCTGATGAAACGTTGGGTGAGAAAATAAACGTGTTAGTGTGGAAGTAATATTATTTTTAAGCAAGTCTAAAGAAAGGACCCTGATTATTTATCAATGGGTGAAGGTGGGGGGGGGGGGGCGGGAATGTCGGTTGTATTACGATCCAATCCCCGGATCCTCAATAAGGCTTTCAAATATTCTTATGATTCCTGATCCTCCCTTATTGGCACTTAACTGGCGCTCAATTTTTTTTTTATAGTCCCTCTTCCATACTCTGTTGGCAATGACCGACCTCCTTTTTGTTTTACTCTGAAAACCTAATGATTCCCCCAGAAATCTTCCATCCCCCCTCCCAAGGCCGAAAATAACGAGTGGTCCATAATCTATTTATACTGAGAGAGAAATTTGAAAATTGCTTTTACTTCTGGGGTGTCTATGGAAATAATTTACGCTGAGGGTTGAAAACACAAAACAAAAACAAAAACAAAAACAAAAACAAATAAAAACAAAACAAAACAAACAAACGAAAGAACAACAGCGATGTCTACCCAGAGAGAAAGAAAAATGTTATTGGATCTAAACAAAAATCTAGAAATATGGATGACCCAGAGAGAAGATTAATGAAAGCAGAGGCACACAGGTTAACTTCTATTTAAAGTCTAATGACTACTTACACCAAGCATGTTAGTCCAGAAAAAAAACACCCCAAAAGTCAAAAAAGCACTCAAAGGATTAAGTGTTAATCTGGGGCCTTATCATTTTTTCATCAGCCACATGCTTTCGAGTTATCCGCAACGTTTTAATACCCAGATTTACAATTTTCGTTAAATCATTTCGAAAGCAGCGTATGTGCGCTTATACAAAATTTTCGTTTGTATAAATTTCCATCAAATCTTTAATGGTAGCTGGAGCCGGCTGGGCTGGGCCGGCGTTTTGTTGTGTAAAAAAATTACTCAGGATGCACATGATGAAGGCGCCCTTCCAATTAACTGCAACAAAAACAAAAGGAAAATTTTGCATATGGTCAATTGAGTGGGTGAAGCGAGCCTGTTTGTGTTTCCTTTTAGCGATTTTTATAGATAATTGCGAACATTAGATGCTAACGCTAATAAAGCTACTGAGCGACACTTTGATTCGTCAGTTGACTTCCCAACGAAAATTGTCATAAAATCACACGCTGAAAGAATGTCTTGTTGATTCATTAAGAATTTGTGAGAAAAAGACAGTTTTTCTTGCTGCACTTTAGATATAGAATTAAACCAAAAGATTATCAGTTGAATGAAAATCGACTGCAATTCCGTCGCATTCAGATCAATAGGAAATGCTTATTTTATGATCACCTTTGCAAAACCCTTGGGCTCCTAGCGTCTAAATATTTTATGACCTTTAAGTATGTTGGGAAAACAAAGTTGGTGAGAATTTCGCCAAACTGAAAGCTTTTTGAATAAAGAACCTGCCTTCGCATTGTACGTGGGTTTAAAGCTCTGAGTAAAATATTCTGCCTCTGAAATTTTTCTCGGCAAATTTTTTTTTTCTTGACAAAGAATCAAAAACCAAACGCCGAAAAAAAGGAAAAAGTGCAAACTGATTAGGCTTGAAAAACTCAAAACCGAATTTTGTTCAAAAACCGAAAAAACCGATCTAAAAAATTGGCCCAACCACAAAACCTTAGGTCCTCCTTTATAAAGAGTGGCTTTCCAAAAATATAACAAAAAAATCGCAATGCGTTCTAGCCTTGCCGTTAGGAACGTTCTATTCAGGAAATGTGAGGCATCTGTACGATAAGCTCATCACAAAAATCTTTCACCGCTTTAGTCGCACAGACAAATCCACAATTTACAAAGTTTGTGGTCACCATCCCGCTCAAGTTTGTTATTATTTGTTATTAATAGACTAATTTCCATTTTATGAATTTGAAATACCCAGGAAATTTTTGTTCAAACTCGGGCCAATTCAAACTTTTGATAACGGAAGCCAAAGCGAGTAAATATTTAGTCATCATCATTTGAGATTTTCGCTATTGTTTTACAAATATTCTTTACAAGATTCACAAGGTATTTAGGCATCTCAGATGTCTTGTTGTTTTCCTACTGTTTGCTCGCGTGTCGAATCGCAGCATGTTGGCTCCAAAGATTACATTGTTGCAAAATGTACATGCTAAACCTGTAATCAAAAACGCTATTCAATAATTCATTGTGGAGACATCGGTCAAGACTGAGAGAAACACAATTTACAAGTACGTGTCCAAGGATTGCCAAAAGATTCAAAGGTCAATGGAACTAAATCGCTCAACTTTATTCCGTCTCAATCTCGTACGATGTCTCACGCGAGAAAAAAACTTAAAGATTTAAATAAACAGAAAAGAGAACTAAATCAAAACGACTATTTTTTTATTATTTTTTTTCACATGCGGAAAATGGTGCGGAACCAAGGAGTCTATTTTGGAGTGACTTTTTAAAGGAACATCAACATGTATGTGACTCGAACAACATGTATGCGACTCGTTTCAATTTTCCCATTACGAATGACAAAGATTAATTGCAGTCATTGTAATAATGTTGTCGCCGATTTGGCATTGGATTTGTGACAGTCTGTTGATCGGCTGTATAATTAAGCTATCTGTTTTTAAAAATATCTTACCCAGACAGCTTTGATGCTTTAAAATTCTCGGATCGAATCGCCGTCTCAAATTTGGTTGTGTCGGATTCTATAATTTACCTAAATCGGCTTTAAAGGAATGACCCCGATCGGCTAAAAGTCCTTTCGCTATAGGGTACAGAACTTCTTCAACTATAGCGAGATCATTTTACAATTCCCGAGTTCGGAAAAAATGAGCAATCTTTTCAACTGCGTAACAAATTTTAACTGGCCCTACTTCTCTTACTGTACTCGACTTTCCTTGATGCTATCACATTTTTCCTTGTTTTTCCAACCAAGCCAGCACATTTGCTTCTTATGAATATTTTATAAGGGAGAGTTTCATTTCAATTCCAATAAATAAAATTATGTGGTTAAAATCACTGCAAAATCGACATTTTTGGTTGCTGCGACCCGGTAGAATCGTTATAATCAGTAAGTTACTTGTTTGTGATATTGGTTACAGGAATATTCTCGAGAGAATATTCGAATCCTAAAACTGTTTACCCTCTTCAGCTGCAGAGAGCTCGATAGCGAATATTTTAAATGCTGAGACGGAAGGAACTCGCTTGAAAGTCAAAGAATTTTAAGGCGAGATATTATTCTACTTTACTAAAAAATGTTTACTCACTTGGTACGGAGTTGGACAGCTCACAAAACGATAGTACTATTCCGACAAGCAAGGGAAACATTGTCCCTTTTGTGTCTGATATCTAGAAACAACTGGTAAAGTGTTGATCTTTGTCAAGCCGTCAAAACAAGAGCGTGGGGGGTTACTTTATGTAAATTTCGCGTTTGGCGCCGCTTGCACGGTAAATGAATTAATTTCAATACCTCACGCAATCATTTGTTTACACACATCCTACAACTTTTCAACTTTCTTTTCTTTCTTGGGCTCAATGTAACAGTAATTTTTATATAACTCAAGTTATACTGTGAGTTCGAGTGGGTTGCTAAAATTATCGCTAACTTAATCGACTCCAGCCAGCCACTTTTTTGCCCGGTTGCATGCCAAACAAAATTTATGCACATTTTGTCTAGGAACGTAACCGCAATGTCATCAGATATTTAATCATTTCAAACAGGATTTATTTTTCTTGATCAACATCGTTCCCAGGGTCCTCTCATGCTCTCTTTGCGGCGTAGCCTGGAAAAGAGACTGACTCATGCTCCCTCGTTTGTCAGGCATTTGAGCGGCAATTTACGAATCAACGAGGTCGTAGACACTTCGTGCCTCGCCGATTTCTGGGTGAAAAGTTTTGTTCTTGCAAGAAAGGAAGCCTCGGCGCCTTGGACGATAAATTGTGACTTTTAATCGAGTTCTCTATTTTTTTTGCCCCCTGGCGGTCTGAGTGAAAAATGAACAGAATAACAAATGAATAAATAAATATTTAAATAAACGAATGAATGGTTAAACAGACGAAAAAAGCCCTCTGATAACCGTGAATTTAGTCTCTCAGTATTTTATGATAAGGCTTAAGCTCTTTTCGATTGGATGTCGCAAAACCAAAACTAAGGCCAAAAAAAACAGCCGATTAGAAAAAAAATTATATAATATCTCTATATAAGAGCCAAACATAAATCCAAATAAAGATAACCCAACTACCTGAAGCGCTGGAAAACGCGGGCGGTGATTAATTTTAGTTCTGCGTCTGATTGGTCTAGAGAGTGGTGCGAGTTTTTTTTGACCAATCACATTACGAAGGAAAATGAGCCAACGCAATTTCGGAATATTTTCAACATTCGATTGGCCATTGCTTTGAAATTAAATGAAAAGTGCAATTAACTTTGCGAGAAGATAAGTAGACAGTAATGTTAATGTACTCTTGGTTGGTATTGTCTCGTCTCCTAGGCGCCCCCAAGAAGGTCTGGTTTTAACAGCATGTAAGTTCTCCATACTGTTTTTACACATTTCCTATGGAACTTACCAAAGGAATTTGTCTTACAGTCAAGAGCTCGAGCTTCTTGCGTTTGCGTTCATATCCTTTGCTCTCAAGAACTTAATGTTTGATTCAGAGGTAATACTGTTGGGAGAAATAAAGAGATTGTAAACTGGTTCATTATCTCTTGAATAAATTAGTTGCTAATCACTCTTCGGAGTTAAAGGAGTTGTTCCGTTAACTCACGTATCACTGATGAGGCTCCTAAGGCTATAGAGCGTGCGTGGGTCGAGGCTTTTTTCCATGTCAGCTTAAAGAACTAGCTGAGAAGCACGTAAAATCAACTTTTTTCTTTTTATTTAACAAATAAAGAAGCCTTGACCGTGTTATGTTCTGTTGTAAAGCACGCAGAAAGCGGCCAGAGCAGAAAGAAGCACGTCTCGTTTCCCCCCTACTTCTTGAGTCAAACTCAAAAATTTTGCTTTTAGCTTTTAAGTCTAATTTCGCAATTTTGAAATGAAATATTCAGTGAATTGTGGCTCGTTATGTTTGCTCGAGGTAACAGCGTCCGTAAAAATATTGAAACAAGCTCTTGGTAATTCACTCCAAGGGAAAACGATCAAACAGAGATCGCCCTGATGAGCTAGCCGCGATGGACCACAGCTTGAGTATAAGTCCTTAACAAATATGCTAGTTTGCTTGTACCGAAATTTCATTTTCTATCTCCTTGTAGTTTGTGCTGTTACTTAAAGGTTACTCTGTATTAATTGAAGCTAAGAGTCGTTTTCGTATTTGTTTTTCACTTCATATAAAACTTTTGGATCAATTAACAAAAAAATGTTAAAGAGAAGTCCAGGAAATGGTCTGATATTACTGTACAAATTGACAGATGGCGTAACAGCTTTGGCTCCGAGCTTTTTACTTTGATAAAATAGGTTTTTTAAGCCAATGAGAACGCGCGTCAGATCCGAACTTTGTTATAAATGCTCTTAAAACCGCCCCAATTGACACGACAAATTTGACCTGCACGTAAAACTTTCATGTGAAATGAATGTAAAATCCATAGGCAGACCGTACCAAGATTTTACTATTACGAAATAGGTTGCTAAATTGTGTCATTTATGGACTTAAAGGAAATGAAAGAAAAAAGTTATTTGAAAACAGTAAGTAGCAATTTTCTTCAAATTGATTACAAAAAGCTTGAATTGGACAGCTGCAAATTTCATCGTAAAAGCACTTCAAAATTCCATTAAATTCCTTGAGAAAGGAGACAAGCAATAGCGCCAGAGCCAATACGTTCAAGTGTTTTGTTTCTTATTCAATCATTCTCAGTCGCTGTATATCAGACATGTCCTCCCACCTTCCGGAATTCGTAATGTTTAAGAGCTTTATAGGGAAGTCAAATGGTCAGTCATCTTGAATAAATAATCTTTTGTTCTTGTATCCTCTGTCGAAGACCTATTCGTGGGCATATGACTAGGCACTATTTTTACGTTAAAATAACCTCAAAAGCATATTATTGTCACCGGGCAATTCTAGTCTTAAAATCGTTTCCCTTGAAGACGGAGATACAGGTGTTTTAAAGATTTAAGAACACTAACCATTCTTCCATCTATTCATCAGACATATCCATTTAGAGTTGACCTCACAGATGTGTCCGTCGTTACACGTGTCTTTTGTTCAATATCATGAGCTTCAGTACAAGGTATGATTTCTAAAAGATAAGAATAGAAAGCGACCTTTTGCCATAGTTGATTATTTAAAAACGTGTGATTGCTGTTGTTGTTGTTTTTTTTATACGGATATATCAGTTCACTTTTTCAGTGAGTTCTTTAGGTTTGTAGCCCGCATTCAAAGCTTGGCAGCTGGACGATTCAATTGAAAATGTGACCTATCAGTCGCAAAAATTATCTGGGAATCTCTCAAAGCCAGACGATTCTTTAAGCCTCAAATGTATGATTTTGCTCAGGAAAAAGGAAAATGTCTGAGTCATTCTGCCAGCCAGCCAGCCAGCCCTATCCCTCCGAGGGAAAAACGCTGAATGGTCAGGATCACTGATTTGGCTTGCGAGAAGAATTTTTCAGATCAAACTGAGGCAATTGTAGGCTTAACTTATTGTAGACTTGATTCAAGTTTCTATCCATGATGTTGATCGATATTTCAGGTGGCTTGATTAGTTATTAATTTAAAGAAAAAACAAACAGAGAACGAAGCAAAAAACAAAGAACATTCTAATTCTGAGGTGTACAGCAAACCTTAATCGATTTCATATCGTTAGCAGCAAGGGATTATAAACTGTTTACATTCTCTTTCTTAGCAGTCAGACCAAAACGTTTCAAACACTAAATTCTTTGGTATCAGATACATCTTGTAGCCTATACGAGGGCACGCACCCCCCGGGCTTACAAAGTTTTCAATTAAGGTAATAAACTATTGTGCACCATGATTTCATTAAAATTTCTTTCTATGTACTTTTCTTGGTGACCGAATTTTTCAGCAACTGACGTCTTTTTCCACCACGCTAAACATTTGCAAAAGATGAAAGATGGTAACTTTGAGCTATTTTTTTGAATTTATTCGCAATTACTTTCACTCATAAAAAAAGAGACAATTTGTCTTAGCACGAGTACCGCAGCTACCACTCAGCGGGGGCGACGAATCAAGCTTCCTATATAAACATCAATTTACTCTTTTAGATGGATGAAAACAAGACCGCAGAGGAGTTTGGTCATTATGAAATTATAGAAGTTGTAATGGACGTTGGTTTTTGGAATAGACGAAACAACTTAGAAATGAAAAAGACTATTGTTGCCATTTTCACCCAGAATGAACCAGATCTCTTACAAAGACAACGAATGCGATGGGAAAGCTCTAAATTAATCATATGTTCGATTCACAGACACAATCAAATTGACTCATGACACAAAACAAAGATAACATTTGGATAAAATTAACATTAAAATTAAAAACAAGAATTAATTGTGGATAAAAATTTACTCTTCACAACAAATTAAAAAAAATCCTTGCTGCTAGAGGACTTTTTTCCCCTCCCTTTAAAATTGCTCATGTTTGTGTCACAATCTTTCCTTCTATGTAGGATAAAACACTATTTTGTCTTTAGCAAAGAACTGAATGATTTTCGTTTAATTTGTTGACAGTCATTAATAATGTGAAGACCGGCAAGAAAAACTTAAAAGTTTAAGTAGTTATTGTTGTAAATATCCGCTGTTTTTTCCACTGCTTATTTAATTTTTCGGAAGAATAATTGATCCAAGAATCATCTTATAAAGGAATTGGGAAATTAATCACGTTTAGGAACATTGGAAAATCCCAGCGCGATTCAATCTAATTCTTCATCTCGTGCCCAGGCCAGGCAATGAATGCTAACAAGAGATCATAACGGGACTTACGACCCCTTGATGCTAAAAGATAGCTTCTTTGTAAGAAAAGCTATTACTTTATACTCAGGAAATGAAAAAACCAAAAATATTTTTAGACCAAAGTACATGCACTCATTAAAGTGCCGCGTTTCATCTCATCTTGAAACCACTAAGATGTTTATATTGAATAAATTAACGATGCGGAAATGTTATTCACCCTGTTGTTAAGTTTAAAGTTAGCGGTCTGTACCGATGATATTACTTGCCGTGAAAAATAAATTCCAAAAACCTTGGCCACGGTTGTTCGAAGGTTAAATAACGCGATCCACTGGATAAAACTTTATATGGTGGATAATGCTATACGTTTTGCTATCACTCATCCGTCGCATAGCAATTTATTCGTTAGATAGCGTCATGCAATCTTTTTACTACTGAGCCATGATGATTATAGAAAGAGGTAACTAACAGACTGGTGACCCTCCAGTCCAGTGTTTTCTTTCTTCCTTCTCTCGCCCTCTCTCTTTCTATTTTTTTCTGTTTATGCTACCTCAACTGAACATTCCCTGGACTTGAAATAGCGGAAGACTTTAAACAATTGGGCTCTTACAAAGTGATGGGTGATTTCCAGCTTCCTTGTTTTCGTTGTCTGAGTTGAAAAGATTAACCTTAAAGAATTTTTTATATGTTAACATTTATTTGCAGTTTGCGAAGCGAAGACAAATACGTGTCATCTTTCCTTTGCAAACTGTCGTATTGGATCGCTTTTTTGAATATCTTACTTATCATATACTTATCACATGAATATTTGTTTCGTTATTGGCTTTAGGCATATCCCACGGCTACGTCTGTACACGAACAAACTCGATTAAGTGGAAAAGGACTGAAAACAGAAGAAATTAGTCAGTGTTCTGTTTTCAATATCATGAGCAGAATCAGGATTTTCCCGTGTAACTTCCTGTTTCACTGCAAATTAGAGTGTTTACAAGAAGCTGTCTGCTACCTCAGCCAATTGAAAACGAGCTTTCATTTAATCCCAAGCGCGCCATCTGCGGCTATTCCTATTGTAATTAAAGTTGTCTTTTGTTTTCTCACAGCAAGGTGTCACCGACGTCACGAGATCCATTTTCGGCTCTTCGCATTGAATCTTATAATTTACGTGATGTTCAAGCTATTAGATGAAATTGTAGTGGATAAAACTACCACACACTATATGCTCATTTCCCCTCCTCATAACACTCGGATCGTCTGCATTGAACAACAAAAGAAGACTTTGCTTTTGGACGTGCACTTTAAAAATTGATGGCGCAACTCTCATCCATCTCGAACGCTTCCATCAACACCTCGATTGTACAACCTACAGTTGCAAAGGCAACAGATCAAGATATCTTGGCTCTTGAGTTGAAATCGAGACCTGTCTTGTTGGTAGTTTTGGAGTCATTCGTTCTCCTTTTGATCGATTTCGTGGCGTTTTTTGGGAATTCAATGGTTTGCCTCGCCTTTTACAAAAACTCAAGACTGAGGATTATTCCAAATTACTTCATCATCTCCCTGGCGCTAACGGATCTGCTAACTTCAGTCTTTTCGTTGCCGTTTTCGGCAGGAGCACTAATTCTCAGCAGGTGGCCCTTCGGTGATTGGGCATGTCAACTGCAAGGCTACTTCGTATTCGCTTTCAGCATCGCTTCTTTACACACAATGGCGCTAACTGCTTGCAACAGATACACCCGAGTGGTTCATTCAAATCTATACCCAAACCTTTATACTTCCAAACTGACCATGACCTCTGTTTTTTTCGTCTGGGCATGGGCTCTCATCTGCAGCGCTCTTCCTTTCATCCTTGGCCTTTCGACGTTTAATTTTCACCCTGGTACCGTGATCTGTTACTCCACCCCGTCATTTACGCCGGAATTTATTGCCCTCTTCACCAGCACGCTAATTATTAACATACCTGTGCCTATGGCAGTTGTTATTATCCTCTACCATAAAGTATTTCGCGCCATAAGTCGTCAGCGTCTTAGGGTCTCAACTGAGAGAGGACTAAGGATCAGCAGTAGTGTCGAGGACATAAGACTTGCTCAGTTGTTGTTCGCGGTAACCTTAGGGTTCTGTATTTGCTGGGGTCCTGTAATGGTCGTGGAGTGTATTAGATTCATAGATTTGTGGACAGTACCGCGCCAAGTGTACCTTGTAAGCACGTACTTTGGAGCAACCAGCAGTGCTATAAATGTTTTTATCTATGGAGTTATGAACAGAGCATTTCGTGTAGAGTTTGTCAAGATCTTGTGTTGTAAGAAAAAATTTTGAGCGAGGTGCAGACAAGACAGTAATTATTTAAGGAAAACAACGAAGACGACCGTTACGTAACGAAAATGCTGCGCGAGAAAAAATTTTACACAGTAGCAGAATAATAACTCTAAAAAATTAATACGATATAAAAACTTTGTTTAGTTTTCAACAATCCTACAACAAAAAACAGAAAAAAAAAGAAAGAAAGAAAAAGAAAAGAAAGAACGAGAACTTGAAGTCTTAAAATTGAACGTGGTCGGAGAACAGGAATCATAACAGCAACTTATTTAAGTTTCATCTCTGAGCTCGGCGGTGCATTTACATGAATACTAATGAAAGATTTGGTGACGCAGCGATACGGTCAAATAGGTGTATAAGTAATGGGTGAGTGGGTGGGCGAGTTTAGAATAAGCTAAGAGGCTTAGAGAGTGGGATGGTCTCCCTTTGTTAAGTAATCACAAACCAAGAAAGAGAAATATAATACTGCGAATAAAAGCAAAAATCAACCAAAACTCGGTTAAAAAACGCCCCCTCGATGATTCTCCTTAAATACATCTACGATGGCATCATGCGTTTAAAACCATTTTGGAAAGACTTATCCGCCATATTTTTTCCACCCACTATGCAATAATGTTTAATGTTATGCGGTGAATGTTGTTTCATTCCTCTCCTTTACTGAATCAAACTGCAGCTGAAATAAGCTTCGTGACGTAGAAATGAATGACAGTGACGCATCGAAACCTGTTTAGACTTGTTTAGGCAGTTATCTTTTAAATCGGTACTTTTACTCCCTGCGGTATCAACGAACGCTTTTCATTCAACTTACTTATCTTTACGTGTGTTTTCCACGTTACAATGTTCCCAACAAAAGTGTATGTAGATCCACCTGTCTGGATGTAACCATACCAAACTCACAATAGTCCATTTTACAGTCGCGTGCTTGGTTGCCAAGCCTTCTTACAAGAGTGAGGCTAGGGTGACCTTGTTATGATACAAACCTTGCTGCTTTCCAAATGTAAATTACTTTGTTATTATGCTATTTGGTACTCGTCTCTATCACAACAAGGTCACCTTCAGCCTCACTTCAAATCAAAGGCTTGGCAACTAAGTACACAACTGTAAAACAGCCTATTCATTTAATCGCTCTGACGAAGAGCTAACACTCGAAACGTAAGCTTTAGTAAACTTTTGCAGTGGCCTATCAACTCAGTTGATAAAAACAAATCATAATCTTAAAAAAACAGCCAGCTTTGACAAGGCTCAAATCATTGAAAATACTTAGAAAAAACGTCAGTTCAATTTTTTCTCAATCATTCATTAATGTATGAATCGCAAAATGTCAAGACTTGAGTAGTAATTAAGTTACCTCGCTTGTCTCACGATGTACTCACTTCCAACGTGGATCGCGACGTTTCGTCTGCATACAGCTGGTCTTCGTCGGGTGACGAGAACGGCAGGTTTCCCATCAACCTAAAAAATTATCCTCCACTGTAATTAGACGATTTTCACCTTTTTGAGAAGATTAGATGCTGATTATCTTGTGAGACAAAAGGTGATTATCAACTATTCACTGAAATTGAGGTGCTCGTGGTTAGTGGTCGATTTCAATTAAGCGCGAACAAGCGAAGTTAATATCTAACGCCAGCCTCCGACACTTAGGTGAATAGTTGTTTTAGCATATATATACTAAAACATGTGTACAGTCAGGTAATATAGCACAAAAAAATAATTACAATTCATATATTCCCACAACTATTACAATATTTTTGTGAATGGCAAAGATATTCGGAGTTTGTGTAGCCAATCAGAGCGCGTCTTCAACGCTACCCTCTGTTTTAGTATATATTAATACCTAACTAGTAGTGACACTCCATCATGAGTATCACAACCTCTCGAACGTTATTGGTCGGGAATCGGAGCCCAAAAGAATAACGTCGACTTCAGGACTTAGGCGTTGTTCTAGCGAGTTAACACGCCTCAGAAACCATTTTATCTTTCTAGCAAAGTGCATCATGAAACGCGTTGAAAATCAACCAATAACTCGAAGCATGATGTGTAACACATGACAACTTGACCGCCTCGTCAGACAAGCAAGAACGTTCAATTCATCACCAGCATATTTTAAGCAATGAGTCGCCACAACCCTTCAAAGATCTTTAGACTGAAATTGCCATCTCCACGCCGGAAAGAAATAACATTCAAAAACGTGATAAATTAACAATGGCCACAATTAATTAAAAGAGGTTTTGTTGAATATTTCATTTGAATATGATTCAAGAAAAAGTCTAAGATTAGTAATTAGTAAGCATACAAAATGACTTGTTGCAGCGACTAGATCACCCCGATTAAGGCACTAGATAGGAGTGTCGAAACGTTGAGTCTATGAATTGTAACTTCTTGGTTACATTCCCAAAATCTTTAAACCAGAGTAGCATCAAAGCATGCTAGTCCAACGTTAATATTATTCAATTCATAAAGGATGAATCAGTATTATCGGGGTATAATTATCTCAGATCTCTTAACGAACCAGCATAAAATAAGTTTTAACCTTCTCCTGGCCCTAACTTCAAACGTTTATTGCCGTTGATCAAAGAAATATAATTCATCGTTGTCAAACACCGCTCGAATTATTCAGGTAAATGCAAGACTTACCTTGTTCATGAGTAAAGCATGAGAAAAAAAATTACTGTACATGGTTTAAGCTTTCTGTGCCACTTCAAAATTTGAACAATTTTTGAGAGATAACGAATTATTTATTTATATTTGTCGTCCTGGTTTTTGCACAATACACTATATACAAACGACTGCAATAGAGCATCACATTTTCAAGAATCAAATACATTCAAAGCAAAAGATATCTAGAGATGAAACTTACGAGAGATTCATGTTTCCTAATTGAAGTGCAAAATTTTTTTGCGCTTTATAAAATTGATCTCATTTCAAAGAAGAAAGGTATCATATCAAGAGAGAATTAAAATTTACTTCAGGAAAGTTAAAAAGAAATCCAAAAAATCCTATTCTTTTAAGTTTACTGGTAACTTTTTTTATTAATTACACACTCTTGGGTGCGGCCACTTGATTTTCTCAATATTTTATTGTGTCTGTGTCCGCTGCTTACTTGCTGTGTATTTATACGTGATCAAGGTCACTGGACATGGTCCAAGTTTTTGAACGTGCGTTGTAACCATGATGTACAGAGACGAAGTCGTGGTCCATAAATGGGTAAGACAAGGAACAAAAAAAAAATGAAAAGAAAAAATAAATGCAATGAAGAGGAAATTGAAATATCATAAGGCATGCTTCGTCCTTTCGTTTACAATTAGTTTATGGCCAAGAACAACGCACCTCAGAGTTGCCAAATAAATTTACGGGGATCAAGTTGTATTTCTTACTTTTGGCTGTCTAGAGAAGACGACATCTACATTGATTTTGGGAAAAGAAAAACGGTGATCTTGTATTAGTAATGACGTAGAGAAAGATGCTTATTTCGTCTTGCGTGAGACATGAAAAAATGGGACTTTCCTTTGAATTTCGAATTTAATGGCTTACCAATGGGACACAGAGACCACTCGGGGAGCTAGGCTAGAATGGAAAACATCGTTGAAAAGACATTTTTTTCTTTTATTTTTATGTAAGGATCTGAAGATTAACAATGGATCGCCGAGGGAGTCTTGCTACCTGCATGCTATGTATGGTGTCTCTAATGTCTCAAGACACATCCGGCTGGCAGTGTGGAGCCGATGTCTACTCCAACTATCAAATGATGCTTAGAGCCCACACCTTCAAGACGATCAAGGCTCGTCCAGGCACGTCTGACTGCAGACAAGCCTGCAACGCTGATACCAGATGTCAAAGTTACAACATGGTCATGTTCAGAGGCATATGTGAATTGAATAACAGGACCAAAGACGCCAGGCCAGATGATTTCATAAAGAACAAGGACAGATATTACATTACAAAGGCTTACTATAGAGGTAAAGACACCTAAATCGAAAGAACCCTAGCCCTAGTGGTGTAAAGGGCGCATAACACTACCCAACGGATAAATCGCTCTCCGTCGGATGAGTAATAGCAAAACGTATAGCGTTATCCACTGGATAGAGTTTTATCAAGTGGATAGCGCTGACTAACCTTCGAACAACCGGGGCCTAATGTTTCTTGGCTAGAGTAGTATTAGTCCCAGTTGAAGCCAATATTAGTAATGTTTATGAACTCACAGCGCATGGTGAAGATATCGTGTTTTCGTTAAAAGAGAAATTTTGGCATTTCATCGAGATCTATCTGCTAAATTAGTGTGTATTTCAAGAGCACTAGAAAGTTCAAACGGGCATAAAATGATAAGAACATAAAAAAAAAAAACCAGACAAGGAAACACGAAGAATGCTGAACAGTGATCTTTTGGCAGTATTCGATTTGAAAGCATTAAAATTTGCCTTTTTGTACTCATCATTGGTCGGCTTAAAATGTTTGTCACCAGTTCCTCTCGGTTCCATTCCTGAGCTGCCCGCTGATTCGTGTGAAGAGATTCTAGCAAGTGAAGGAGAGAAAGCTGTCAGCGGTAGTTACTGGTTGCATTTTAACAGATCTGGAAACTCCTTGTTAACCCACTGTAACATGGGAATGAGAGGTAAGCAAAACCGCGTCTTCCTATCACACTCAGAGTGATGAAACTTATCAAACGTTACCCCTGGGTTCAAACCGGCTACTAATTGTAAATGGTACCTTTTTCTAATCTATTCATGAGCTCGGAATGAGTGGATAGTTTGAAACCAAGGATTCTCTTTATCCTATGGTAACAACTACACAGAAGAGACTTTTAAGTAAGTAACGCCCTTTTATCATCTATAGATATCGACGAATGCGAAGATAACCTCCATGACTGTCATAGCAACGCAACTTGCAAAAAAACAAATGGTTCCTACTTCTGTGCTTGTAAACCAGGATTTGGGGGAGATGGAAAAAACGAATGTGAAGGTTAGAAACAAAACTCGTTTGAAAACGCAAAATCAATTGGAAAAAAATCAAATTTATATTTGTATTTTCTTGTTTAATTTGTTACTCAGATCTCGATGAATGCACCGAAGGATCTCACGGTTGCCATAGTAACGGGACATGTGAAAATACTGCAGGTTCGTATAACTGCACATGTAAGACTGGATTCTCCGGTGACGGTTTTAGCTGCGAACCGACAGGCAAGTTATAGTTAATTAATTTTTACAAAATGAGTTTTCATCAATTTAAAATTACATATTTGGTAATTGGGTGCTAATGAACTTGTGAAGAATCGATCTACTTTATAAATTTTTTTGTCACATTAGAATGTGTGGAATATCGCGAACTGAACGATGCTCGCAGGAAAGTAACTTACGCAGCTGTTCGACCATACAAGTGCGACGATTCAATCATTCCAGGCTGGTATCGTATGGTAGAACCTGCTGGTAAACGGATTCCGACGAAATGCCCGGGTAATACGATGTGTGGTACAGCTCGACCTGGATGGATGAATGGTGTCCATCCTGCTGTGGAAGATGGTGTTGTTAGCAGAAAGGTTTGTTTCTCAACCAGGAATTCCTGCTGCTATAAATCTCTTTGGATTAAAGTGAGAAGCTGCGGTACTTTCTATGTGTATTACTTGCGGGGCATACCAAATGTCTGTCCCGAATCGTACTGTGCAACTGACTGAGTCTTGTCTGGGACCCCTGCAGGAACCATCTATCCCGACTAAGTCGGGTCAGGGTTCCCTGTGGCAACAGTCTGTTCTAAGAATTGCCGCGGAATTACGTTATTCGTGTCAGCAACCCCTTGTTCTGGAATTGCTAACGATGCTATCTATCCCAGGATAGTGTAGTCCTGTGGCGCCCATTTGTCCCGAAACTTACTGTAGAGCTGATTTATTCGTGTCTGGGATCTTTGAGGCTTTATTACTTTTCTTCAGAGAGTTTCAATTTTTCCCTGGTCAGAGTTAAGAGTAATACTGAGTAGGGAAATTGAAGGAGTCAAATCGTGTAATGTGTGAAAAAAGAACTGTTTTCGTAAATTTTCTTTAATTATACTTACAAAAGGAAAAGATTATTTATTTGTCTCAGTATACGTAGACTGAACATGTTCTCTTGCCAGCCAATACAATAAGTACACTTTACTTTTTTCAATGGCACTCGCCTGTAAATATTTTCTAGATCATATTTCTAAAAAGGTCTGTATTTGTTCTTTATTTAAGTTGGAATAAGTTATATCTTAGAGAAATATGATTATTTGTCTTACCAAGAATTTTGGACAAAGAAATTACTCGAGCCTTTAAGGATAACCGACAAAAGTTCGCGTTATATATCGTCGGTTTAGAACAAATCAAAGGAAATACAAAAAACAATGGTGTATCCACAACAAGTGCCTTTGTATCATTTTAATCCAATTATGACCATCAATAAATTTCATGAGTGTATAATACATTTAGACTGTTGGTTTATTATCTCTAAATCAAACGTGAATAAATCAGTCGCTCTGTTGAGTGCCATTTAGATTACAACGATGAAGAATTAATGATTTCAAAATTGATATGATAAATTGAGTAATTTTTGGCTTATTGAGTCTCAGCTGTACGATCTATTTAATAGTCACATATTTCTTACCATGAGCGGGATCATTTTAAGATCTCCATAAGTTGTCCTAGTCGGGAAGTGGAGTTCAGTGTGTTTTCCCACTCAACGGTGACAAACAATGTTACTGAAAATCTCCTCATTGATAAATGCGTTTTATCTGTAAAAAGCTTTTATCTCACCAAATTATCTATCACAGGCTTTGTATATGCATTCAAGTAATTATATAGATTCTATTTATAATAGGTCCACAGTAGAATTTGCTGCCATTTATGCCGGTCTAACTTGCTTGACCAAAAAAATGATGGTTACAAAAAAGTAGGAATAGTGATAATAGTGACAATTATAATGAAAAGAAAAATAGATGTAACGGTGATGTTGATAATAAGGTTGATTATAATAATGGTGACAATGACAATAATAGTAATAATAATAATAATAATAATAACAATAATAATAACAGTATTATTAAGATAATTATGAAATTACCAGTCTTTGGGTTTAAAGTCTTTCAGAAATACAGCAAAGTATGGCGAATTCTTGGGGTTCAGCCCATGAACAATCGGATGATAAACCCTTGCGGCGCCATCCTGGCAATCGAGGGGAGGCACAAACCCTTTCACCTCTGCTTCAAGCCGGGCTTGGTGAAACGGACGTTCGTCAGTGACCCAGCCAGTGTCCACAGCTGTCATGTAGATTCCGTCCATCTGGAACTCCAGTCCACTGGTACGAGTCATCATGTTCAAGGCTGCCTTGGCCATGTTGGTATGTGGGTGACGGTGACCTTTGTTGATTCGTGAGAATTGCCCCTCCATGGCAGATACGTTCACGACGAATTTTCGCTGAAAAAGACTTTGTTTCAAGAGTGGTTTTAGTTTAGCTGTCAGGATGAACGGGCCTACAGCATTGATGGTTAAAACTTGCAGAAGCTCTTCTAGTGGCACTTCATCCAAATTATACGTCCAGCTGTTTCTCGGTCGAGTGTCTAGCGGCTCACCATGTTGGTCTCTCTCTTCTGGTGGAAAATTGATTGTGTTCGTTTTCCAAGGAAGGGCCTGGTATCGATTTGGAGTTGAAATCATGGAATGTAACTGTTCAAGAGCCTGGATTTGATTCACGACTACATTGTTCCCATCTTTGGCCAAGTTTGGTAGTTTCTTTACCTCCTCCGAGATGAGGAGACTGGTAGTAAGGAAACGGTCGAAAGATTGTTTGTGCGGCGTTGTTGACTAAGATGTCGAGGTGAGGAATGCTCTGTTGAACATAGCCAAGGAAACCTTCGATTGATTGCATGTTCTGGAGATCAAGACGTGCAATTTTTAGCCTGTGCTTCCAAACGTTGAAATCTGCCTGTCCGCTGAACCGTTCCACAGCGTTGGCCGGAAATCTAGTGGTGACAATGACGAAACAATCGTCTCTCAACAAGCGGAGAGCTGTCTCAAAGCCGATCTTGATTCGACCTCCGGTGACTATAGCGTACCTCCCCTTTAAATCACACGAGGATTTCTTCATCTCGCCATTTAGAAAGTGGCAATCAACGCAGAGTTGATCAAATACCGAACTTAGATTGCACATGTAACATTTCTTTTTAGACCCCTTGTTATCTGGTTTTCCTACCATTTTTTTTAAGGCTTTAAACACTTTTTTACCGGGTCGACGTTGATCGGCGTAGGGCCTATTTACCAATTCAGCAGCAGAATCCGAAGGAACAATCTCGACTGACCGCTTTCTCTTAAGAGAATTGTGCAAGTGGACTTTTCCATTCAGAATTCCGGGATGGGCATCCATTAGACGATAAACATCAAGAAGACTTTTTCCAAAATTTAGAACGTCGATGCTTATTTTCAAAGCATCCATGACAGGTGTTGTATGATCTTGTGTGGTCAACTTCAAGATTGCGTGATTTCTTAAGCCGCGAGACAATTCATTATTTTCTGCCATTAATTTGACTAAACGTTTCTTGATTTCGAGAAATTTTCCCTCGCTGCAGTTTATCCAAACATAGGAAACTTTTGACCGTTTAATTTGGTGGTAGAATGCTGTTAATTTGCTCAAAATGTCTTCTGGTTTGATATTTCGACAATCTAAAATGTATCTGTCGCTATCGCTGAACTTTTCTTCAGAGTTCAATTCCTCTACTTCCTCGGTTTGTACTTCAATCAGCTTATAACGATATCCTTCGTGTGTAAGATCCATTTCCTGAGATTTTTTTATGGCAAGTTCTCGTCTGAAAGCTTGTACGACGTTGAAGCCAGAAGCACTTTTATAAGAAAAGATGCAGGACTTACTAACACCAGGTACGTATTGCTACGTTCTTGTAATGATTGCATCATCAGAGCAGAACAATGACGTCACGTTATTTAGGTTTTACTTCACGCTGTCCTACACCAAGACAAACAATTTAAAAAAATAAACCCTCAGCAGAATGTAGGTCTCCATTTTACAAACAGAGCTGTTTTTAATCTCTCAAATTTAATTTTTCCTCAAAGCTTTATGTAGTTTGGTAAAACAACTGCACTGCTATTTTGATTTCGATAGTGTGACATCGGAAAACCTCCGTTTATTTTTGTACTTGGATTTTTCCCCTGTGGGGGTTTCCCCAGATATAAAATTTCGCTTATCGATAAATTTAGAATTTAGATTTTTTCACTTGAAACATATAACGTGAATTAATGATGGCTCGTTCTGAAGAAAAGACACATTGCAACTAAAAACGCCGCAAAAAGAGAAAAAATTAACGCCGCAAAATACCAGTAAAGGTAATACCATCATGTTGCAAGTAAGTTAGTCAGTATTTCGTGATTTTTGAAGCGATCGGTGGCTCGAAGTGGAAGCGAAAATTTACGAGTTTTAACGTCGTTTCTGGAATGAATTATCCACAGCATTTATTCGAATGTAGAATTTTGGGAAACAATAAACAAATTCTCTGTGAAATGCGACACCCACGGTCCTTCTACGGATGCCCACTTTGAAACTGACGGATAAACTCCTTGCGACGAGGTTTGCTGAACGTACCGAAAACGTTCCAGACTGTGAATATTCAACGACGTTTGCTGAACGTAGCTAAAACGTTTGAGACCGTAAACATTCGACGAGGTTTGCTGAACGTAGTGAAAACGTTTGAGACTGTGAACATTCGACGAGATTTGCTGAACGCAGCAAAAACGTTTGAAATTGTGAAGATTCGACCAGGTTGGCTGAACGTAGCGATAGAATGTTTGAGATTGTGATCATTGAACCAAGAGAGAATAAATGTTCCATTTTTTCCTCATGATGCGACATCATAAACCCCATGCAGAACCCATTTTGTTTATTTGAAGAGTACAATTTTTTATTCGGAGCATTAGTTTTTTATTTGTAGAGATTTTTTATTATTGTTTTCAGGGAGTCCCTTGTGGGACAGCGCAAAATTTATATATTTAAGGGGGAAAGTTTTTAGTGAAAGCTTAATATAAATTAAATCTCTATCTAATTCATGCAAATTTTTTGTAAATTGTTCCGTTTATTTTAATTCTTTCCAAATAAAAATCTTTTTTTTAGATATTTCCTTTCAAATTCATGATATTGTTGGAAGATTCTAGGCGAATACTTGGAAAATCGTTAATTTGTCGGAAATAACACAAAAAATGTCTCGTCGAAAAGAGGGCCAGTCACGCTGTACCATAATATAAAACAAGTCCTTTTTTACAAATTCTTCCCTCGAACAGTAAATTCGTGACATTGGAAAAAATAATAAGACATAAAAACATCGATCAATAAAAATGAAGACGATGTTGGTAAGAAAAATGTATGTCATAAATATTTCATCATGTTTATGCAAGACAGAATATTAAAAAAAAAAATGAGTTACTTTATCCGCATTGTATCAAATTTTTTTTATGTGGAAAAGCTCTAAGGTATACAATTTATTCAGAGCATCAGAGGAACGTTATAAACCTTCAAAACTTCGAAAAAACCTCAACTAGTTTGATCATGATATGACTTGGACCGGAAAATTTACAAGACTGCAAGAGGTTGCGAAATATTCCTCGAGGATTGTGGGGCGGGAAAGCTCAGACGGAATTTCTTGTTTTAAGGGTTATTATTTTATTATTTTTTGAGGGAACAGAATGAAGAGCATTTCAGGGAGTGGAGGGTTAGGACTATTGAAAATTATACCTGCCTGATCACGTCAGCCTTGTAATCAAATTTTTGATGTCTAGTGCGTACACACGAATTGACACGATATTCTAAGAAACCTATCGAAGTCACTCCTCTGAATAACTGGTATATTTAATTTTATATGATAAATAATATCACTTTTGCGATAATTACAATGAGTAAGGTTTTGACATCAGCTATTCGGCGAAATGCTTTGATGTTGAGTGCGAATGAATGAGGTAGCTTCATTTTCTGACTAACCTCTCTAAGCTCTTCCTGTTTTTAGTGGAAGATATCATTCAACTGCGGCGTTTTTTGACGCCAGCCAGTCACGAAATGTTTCAATGTTGATTGCCAATATAACTGGTTCCGTATATTTAGAAACCTTGCGCCCAACCGCTCGGCTTTTAATAACGGTACAGGCTTTTCTAAAGCTGTGGCATCGTTTTTTAGCATGAGTGACTAACAGCAGATGTAAAAACTAGATAACTCGTTTCACGAAGATTCGAAAAGATATAAACTTTTGGACGCCAAAATGTCCTCATAACGTTACGGGACAATGATTATATTTTGATGGCGTGACACAAGCGTAGAGAACGTGCGTGACAATGAAAACCAGACCACAATTGCAACCAATCAACGCTCAGGATTCTGAGAATGTAGGGTTCATTAGCTATTGACTCCTCTCGCACTCTTCACATCGCATCTCAAGATTGACTTCGCTCCAAGAGTAAGTACAAACTTGTATCTAGTGCATTGTTTCTCATCAAGGCTTCCGTAATTGCTCCTAATGTAACTTTGATGATTTTTTGAAGTACTTATATCAGTGCACCAATTTGTATCGAATCGAAATTAATCATTCGTTATGACATAGAACTTGTACAACGGATGCAACATAGGGTTTTGAAAAATATTTAGGGTCCCAGTGAATAATGAAAACATTGTGATGCGAAGAAGAAATTGCCCTATTTATGAAGCAAAAGTTGGTAAATGGTCGACCGGTCAAACATTTAATGGGGATGTAAAGTAGACTTAGATGCAATATAAGGGGGCAAAAAATTATACTAAATAAAAACCACGATTTTTTATGAAATCACTTCTAAGTGATTTCGCGGAGTTTTCTAATTATTTGTAGATCAAAAGTCATGATGTCTGAACTATTTGAATAAAGTGGATGGCCTCTTAAATTATTGTTTTAGATTTAAATCTCTATATATTTATTTATGGTTTAAAGTTCACAGATACTTGAAATGTTATTAATATTGTGTGTTTAACAGAGAGACAGAGAGATAGTAATGTCTGGCGACACCGGGGTAACTTTATTAGGCAATTATAAACATCGTAATTTTAGTTAATATATCATATTAACCTAAAACATAGTACCACTGGCAATTAGATTAAATAGGAATGGATTCTTTTAAAATGATTAAGTATTTTCTTTTTACGTTCGCTGGTCTTTTCGTTTTTTCCTCTTTGATTGTGTTTTGTTTCCGATTTTTTATCTTTTTTGTTTTGTTGTCAATATTTTATCTATTATTAGTGTTACCATTAGAATTATTATCATAATTATTGTTATCATTATCATCATTACTATTATAGATATCTCATTAGTACCAATACAGCTAGTACTTCATTATTATTACTATTGTTATTATTGCTATTATTGTTATCATTTTGTATCGGTAGCGAACTTGCAAGGTTTTATTTTTTCTTTTATTATCTTGTCCTTCTTGAAAGTTCAAGCGTGTATCCGTTAGTTTTTCTTAGATTTTTATTAGACATTTTAATGTATTTTTCGATTTTTTAAAAGGATTTTATCATAATATTTGTAAATATTTTTAGTGATTAGAGTGGATAAAGGATTATTATTATAATTATTATTATTATTATAAGCATTATTATTATTATTGTTATTATTATGAATTTTCTGTCTGACGAACCTAGCTGTACAGCAGTTGAAACATGCGTTGGGCATTCATTTATCGATTGAATTCCCCTTCTAGCCACTATTACCACACATTTTTAGTTATTATTTACAGAAAATTGAGTTTTTTTCTTCACTATTTTGTTTGCATGTTCTCATTTCGTCTTTGGTAGACAACGTGTTGATGCAAGTTGTCAACGTTAGTTAGTGTTAACCACCCGTATGCAAAGGTGCCTGGAGGCTTATGGTGTTTAGCAGAGTAATTGAGGACAAAGTAAAGATGTTTCAAAATCTTGATTTTTTTTACATCAACTGCTTAAGGAAATGGGCCGCTTTTTCATGAAAATGAACTCAATGCGACTTTGCAACATGTCTTTAGTCGTGCAACTAGCAAATTCTTAAACCGCAAAGCTGACGAGCTGTTTAGATGTTATCAGTCCTAATCTCTTTAAATTGATTTATGGGCCACATTGAAGTCCCCATGGTCGTGTTTTCAATTGCGAGCAAAGGCGGGGCTTAGAAGACCCCTTATCTCTCTTATTTAATGATTCAGTTTCTTTGCTAAACAGTTGGCAATGACCGTTGTTTACAAGAAATTTTTAAGATTGTAAGCCTTAGATGGTTGGCTCAGAGTAAACATGTCATTGTGGGTTTTTGTATCTGCCTCTAGCTACTTTGCTCTGAGAGTGATAGCTGTCTTTTAGGATTAAGTGCGATTGTTATTCATGAATCACTTTATATGCATGCCGCCTGCCCGAGCCTTCATGGCTGAGTAGTTAATCGGCTGATCTGGAGCGTAGCGCAACTCTCGCTTTTCTGCTTCGTTGCAACAGGAGGTGTCGTTCGCTTTCCTAGTTTTTAGGCTCTTTGTTTTCATTACCTCTCACAGAGAATAAGGCCTCATCAAGCAAGTAGATGATTCAGCCATGAGGGGATTCATATTGTTTGCATTTCTTGCCCACATGTGCTTCGCACAAGGTTGGTTGAATAACTTTGTAAACAACAACAACTTGCTGCCTAGAATATCACGATGTATTATGCTGCCTATCTTACGGTGCCAAGCGAATGATTTCTCCCTTTTCTAGATGACTATAATCACATTTTTTTCACGCAGGAAGCCATTAAGGGTGCTTGCAATAAAGGAAAGCTAAATGCTAATCCGTCATGCTTCACTGCGAATTCAGCGAACGAGCGATCTGATCGCGGGTTGTGACATACATGTAAAACGTACTTCGCTTGAAACAAATGCAAACACTCGTTGGTCTGCTAAATCTCAAATAACTAGGAATCTTTCGCAGTATTTCGTAAAGTTATATTTAAAAACAGTTCGCCGTGACTTCTCACGAGGATGTATTTTTGTTTTGGAAACAGTATGTCAAATAATTGAACGTGGCACGGACTGCTGGATTTGTGGACTTAAGATCGGAAAGTAAACGTTTCGAAGATTGTCAATCATCTTGTGGAGAGAGCTTGAGCGGAAGAAATTTACTTTACTGGGCCATCTCTATCTCTGGTTATATTACGTCCTTTCCTTCCCTATATTTTCCATTTTCCCTTTTTTTACATTTCTTCATTCGTATAACCACGAAAGGTAACCTTTCTCAACTATGCCATTTATATACCTTGGAGAACTCATTATTGAAGCTTTTCCCTTATTGAACAGATCCAGCCGTGTTTCAGTTTCGATCTCCAGAATTCGACGTCTCCGAGTCAGCATTAAACGCAATCGTCGTAATTGAAAATGTTGGCAATACAGCGGAATCTGGGACTCTCAGGTAGGCATACGTACAAGCTCTACTCTATTATATTACAAATATTCTCCTAAAAAGGTTTATCTACAAGAATCTGACTGATTTTCTTCGCTTTAAACCTCCATCAGTCCTTATCTCCCCTTGTTTTTTCTCCCTTATCCTGGTTTTCTTTGTTGGTTCCCACAAACTAGATACCTAAATACACGAAAGAAGCAAAATTTGTATCAGTGCAAGTCCTTGTGGTGAAAAAGGCTTTTTTTTTGTGGATAAGAAGGTTTTGATCCGGTCTTCAGGAATACATACAGTTAAGGTCTTTTTCGTTAACCAACAGAGTTCTCCTGTAAATAAATAAAAAATCTCCAATAATCTTTCTTAGCATTCCGGCAAGAGTTTTAAAGAAGCCGATAGTTGCTCTTTTCTACGGTTGAACACTTCTGTAGCTAATTGATGACCATGTTTGTGAGCAAAAAGTTACCGGCAATTGTAAACTACTTTTCAAGTAAATTAAACGCTTCTTCCTTTGTTGCTTTGGCGATGCCACATATTGTTGTCTTTTTCCTCCTAGCGTAACTGTTGCCGACGGAACGGCCGTAAGTGGCGAAGATTACGTCCCAACCGCTGGTTTAAGGGTATCATTTTCGTCAGGCGAAGCGTCAAAAGAGGTTAACATCCCCATCATAGATGATGACGTAATCGAAAGCGACGAATCAATCCAGCTCTCTTTGCAGCTCATGGGTCCCTCCCGTCCAAGTGCCAGAATTGGCAGTCCTGCATCTGCTACCGTCAAAATCATTGACAATGATAAGCCCCGTAAGTAAATGAACCAATGATAAAGGAGTTACCTGTGCCTCTTATGGAAATTGACAAACTGTTCTCAAGTTTGAGTATTTCAACTCTTGTTAGCTTTCGCATTTTGTTACCAGCCCTGTTCGTTTTTGGTCGCTCTCGCCGGTTTGGCTTTTCTCCTTCCTGATAAACCATTCCTTAAAGTTTTCCGTCATGATAAAGATAATTTACATATCCCAAGAACAAACAGGAGAAAAGAAGTTAGCCCCTTCACAACTGCATTTGCTTACCTGAATCGGTGAACACTTGCTCAAAAGTGGTTATAAATTTTCTGTTTAAGATCGTCATTGATTGGGTTAAGTTAAATGAGCCAGGCTTCATGGCTCAAATGAACTTAACTTTAATGTGTTGTACAAATAAAACGCCAATATGAAAACGCTTCATTCCCTAATAAAGCCCTAACGGAGAGGGTGGGCTGAGGTTGCGAGGGGTGTACTGCGCACGTTGTGTTTACAATTTTGTGGTTTTGTTCATTATCCTATCACATTTAGCCTTCTTTATCACCTTTCTAGGCTCATCGTTTTGAACTCGTGAAGTTTCTACAACTGACAAAGAGTGTCATATAGCTTTTCTAAATATGCCATGATTTTGGACGCTCCGCTTGTCAAAAATGTTGAAGCATTTTTCACCCTCGAAGTGGATTTCACATTGCATCAACCGGTCAACAAATGGTTGAAAATCATTGTGTGCTTTGAGGTTCTTAAACATGACTTCAATGATCCAAAAAGTTCATCAAATGCCTCTTTGCAGTCTACACCGCTAAAAAAAACACTTATAATTACATTTAGCGACCTTCAGCAAAGAAACCAAAAACGCAAATATTGAGTCCTCCATATCACTTTCAGAATGATTCCAAACCAAAAAGGCGATAAAAGTCACAAAACTTGCTAAACGCGCAATTAGCCAAACAACCACAGCGAGATAAAGTTTCCCAATACTAATTTATTCAATCAGTTTTATCTCGAAGGCCCTGAGTACTTTGTTCCTCCCGCCAAAACAATAAAGCGCATTCACCGCCTTTTCCTGAGCGACTAATTAACAGCGTCCAATTCGTCACGCTCTGCTTCAAAAGCAGGTGTGCGACTTTTGTGGCGTGCGGTTCGGTCAGTCAGTCGGCAATTGAGACGGCTACAAGCGCTTGTGTGTTCCTGAGCAGGATTATTCATTCTATCTAAAAGAAAGAAATGAAGGCCTTCGCTCTTGTGTGCGTCTCGCTCTGTCTTGCACTAGGTATGCTAAAGTTTGTTTTTATTTGTAGAAGGGACGAAATATTTTAGTTTCAAACTTTATTGTTCCTTTAGTGTTCATAACTTATACCATCTAGTTTTCAATTCGCTGAGCCTTAAACTTACTTTCGAATTCCGGAAACCACGTCGAGTTTTGCTGAACGCTAAGACATTGCTAAGTTTGAATGTAACTTTCTCTCAAAGCGTTCTCTCGTAATTCAACACATGTGCTCACCGTCGATACAACAAACTAATGCAGGAATTACTGAAGCGCATAGATTGCTTAAATTCTGTTCCAACAGAGTTTTGCTCTTGGAAGCCCTAAACTTTCGTTTCAATATCATAAGATGGTTACACAGCTATTGAAAAGGCATATATCGTCATGAAACTCCAAATACTAATAACTCGAAAGCCCAGCTTGAAAGTTCAAAATCAATTCATTAGGTGGGGCCATGTCAAAAAATTAATTACAGGAGCTATTCGTGATGCGCTTACTCTTTTGAGTCACTGTTTACCCTACTCTCTGATGCACCTTTTGCATGCTCTCTTCTGTTTTATTGATCGTGTTTTATCTTTATTTTAGCTTCAGCATCTAATGGCGGTGGAAACATAACTTTGGCTACCGAAGCAAGTGAGTGCATAATTCGTAAATCTACTCAGTATTTACATATTGATCTGAAGTGTTCCGCAGTTGTGCGCTTTAATTGTGATTTGGAAGGTCGAAGTGAACTCGTTACATGGCAAACAAACGCTGTCAGTCCATAGTTTGATTGATGCCATATGACTTGAAATTCTTGGCTGTCGCTTGCGCATTTTTCTTTTTCACACACCTCGTGTGTTAATCAATGAATTTTAGAAGAACTTAAACAATTGCATTGCATAACAAATGGCCTTTGTCTGGCCATCTTTGGAACAGAGATCTTTCGCAAAAAAATATACTTTTTTTAAGCATCTGCACATTATTCATGTTTCTATTACACGATCCTCTGCAGCAAGGAACTAAAATTCATTTGCATAAGGCGCAGTTCTGTTTATATAGCTTTCTAAGATGTTTGCTTGCCGTTGCCGTCGGGGGTGGGTATTCAGAATGCCAAGTCCATATAACTTTTCTTTATATTCAATATCTTACGGTGTCTTACCATTTGGAACAAAGAGCGCATTATCGGGATTATTCCAGTTGCAGGAACGTCTGCCCTATAAATGCTAATATACTAAACACAATCCAGAGTTTACCAGAAATACTTAATCATATTCCATTTGAGCAAAATATCTTGACGTCTTTTGTTTCTAGAGACGTTTCACTCAGGCATGTCTGGTTTTGTTAGTTTGCAGCTAGACAAGTGTATTGTTCCCGGGTGAATCAGCGAAGCGTGATCATATTATGATTTTAGTCTTAGAAAACCTTTATGCTAGTACTTAGCAAATTTGTTTACATCAAATCATCAAGACGCTGCTCAATACTCAGAAATTACTTAAAAGCAAACAGCCGTGTTCTTTTTCAAGACACGATCATTTTTTATCCGATTGCGTGCACACTCCAACCTTTCTCCTCATTGGATATTGTTCTGGAATCTTCAATTATGCGAAACTAAAAACAATGATAAGAATATTTTCATATGCATAAAACGACGCGATATGGCAAAACTTTTAGTTTCTGATCACAACTGAGATCGATCAGTATGTGGCCAACTTATAGATTTTTTGCTGCTCTGCGTTAGACTGCATTTGGTACCAGCAAAAACAAAACAAAACCAAACAAATGCCAAAGAAAAATAAAACAAATATATTTAACCATAGGTAAATTTCTACTGTCAGACGGCCTATATTTTCAAGAGACGAACCCTGTATCGGTGCTTGCAAAGCTGGTTCCATAAATCTTTGTTGTGCACATAGTATTAGCATTATTTTTTCCTCTATCAAATAAGTTTGATTTCTAATAAAACATACATGTTCCTGGAGCAAATATATTTAAATAAAAAAATCGGAATAATTAAAATCTAAAATTAACTTTGTTATTGGGGAAAAATAATCAATGCGCTACCTGTAATTTTACGAAGTTCCACATTATTGGACAGTATTTGTATTTGAAGCTGGTCTTAAATTTTTTAGTTTTATTTCAAAGCCCTTGTTTGCATTGCGCATCTTAATAATTGAGCGTCGCATCAATCCGTTCAGCACATTGTTGGTGACCTTTTGGGAACAAAAGAGAAGGGAATAGCCCTAGAGGGCCTGTCTTAATTTTTCTTGACTGAGCTTCTTGTGCTCCTTCATTCGCGATGATAGCAATGGGAGTGGACTGAGCTTTTACTGAGCAGTGACACATTTGCTGTCACAGATCATGTTAACTAGCTGGGAACACTCGGTAATACTTTTATTTGTTTTTTGTCTTTATTTATTTTCAGAAATCGACATTATGTGCCGACCAGACTATATAGAAGTGACTCTTAAGCTTGCAGATTACCCAGGACTCGTCGTCAACGACTCCGTTCTGCATCTTGAGGACATGAAATGCGTGGCTGGTTACAAGGATGATGAAATGGTCAAATTCACGTTTGGACTGGAGGAGTGCAAAACCATGCAGGAGGATGACGGAAAGAAGATTTACTACAAGAACATGGTTTACTTGAAGGCTGGCTTGCCACCGAATGATACGAATATAGTCCGTGACCATTACGAAGTTATTCCGTTCAGCTGTGGATATGACAAGAAGGCTGTCCTGTCAAAAGTGTCGTACAATCCTCAGACTACTCTCGTCCTCTCAAATGCAGGTGTTGTACAAAATTTGTTTTAAAAGAGCAAAACACGAATGAGAAGCGAAAGTAATCCGAGATTGCATTGGTCTTTCTTTAATTCGCTCTGTGATTGGTACAGAAAACTAGCCACCGCTACTCTCTTAACCAATCAGATGGAAAACTAAAGCCGATCACGATTTGGTCGCCCGAGTTTTCCCGCGCTTTAGGCAGTTTGGTTGTTTTAACTTTGAGTTCTTTGTAGCGCTAAAAGGTATATTCTTAAAATGAAGCCGTTGCCATAATTTTGGTGTTAGTTTTACGACACCCTTTCGGAAAGCGCTTTAATGATTCCATCAGAGGAGAATTTAGGGACAAAAAATAATTATGAAAAAACAAAACAAAACAACATAAAAAGGCATATTCTTGAAATTGCGAATTATATTGCAAACCAAATCGAACCATCACTCTGTATATGTGGACGGGTGTTTGTACTCGAGAAATTAAAGAACGTTAAATATTTCCCCTCTATTTTCAGAGGGTATTGGCAACTTTACGTACTTCATGGACATGTACGAGGACGGAAGCAACAGCGAAACAGTTACTGAGTTTCCAAAGGAAGTTGGTTTGGGTCAGAAGATGTACTTTGGATTCCGGGTGGAGTCTGGCGACAGTGAATTGGTTGTATTCCCCGATCTCTGCAAGGCCACGGCATCATCAAGTTACGATTCCACTCCTGACCATCTTATTATTGATAAAGCGTAAGTCATACTTTTTGAGCTGACGATAAAATGAGTGTTTCATTCTTTAGATCACATCGTGTGCTTGGCTAACTCAAAAGTCAAACGTCTGCGCACGTACAGATGTCAAAACTTTTAAGAGTCCGCCCAATATTGCGCTTTCAAGCTGTCAGGAAAAAGTTGCAGCACATTAGTGTTAAAAACCGTTTAAATTTTTCACAAAATTCAGAAATAATAGTAAATCGAAAGAAACCCCTTAATGAATAATTTTTGTCGAAAAAGTGAATTTTGCTGCCTCTAAAAATTTTTTTTTCATTTTAACGTAAATTTGCGTGAAACCGGTCGTTTCTTGCGTTTATCTTAAAACACTTGTAAGGGACATTAGCACGCACCTAGCTGGAATTGATCTGTTGTGCATGCCCCACAACTGACTGCTTTTTGCGTTATGGTTGGTGAAGTACCTGTGCAATCCTTATAATTATATTTTTTTCATTATGAAGACCATAATTTACCATGTCCACAAGAGTGATTGCTTTCAAAGTAGGTTTAACGATTGGATACATTCAATGTATGCTATGGTGCGTCACATCAAAATCCTGCTGAGCTTTGCTAAATTTAAAGCAGCTATCAGAAACAATTATAAAGTATTGTATTTGGCAATAACACCAGAAACAAGAAATAAAGATAAACAAACTTTGCCGTTTCTCTCTCCTCAGCTGCTCGAGAGACAACACTTTGGAGTACGACTACGGCGAAAATTCCGAGCATTTCTTTAACCTTGCCGCTTTCCGCTTCAAAGAGAACTACGATGACGTCTTTATCCATTGCAAGTTGACGGTTTGCCGAAAAGGCGATGACCAATCACGGTGCGCCAAGGGCTGTCAACCATCTAAGAGGAGACGAAGGTCAACCACAGAAGGGTTAGAAGAAGAACTGAGTGCCGAGCTGTACGTTGGACCGGTGAAACTTAAGCAGTCGACAAATGAGGAGGGTGAGTGTTGCGTATTTTGCCTGTTCCTGGCGCCTAGTTGGTGGGGACAGGTCCTCTGATAAGTGTTTTTTGGTGCCATCTCTTACTAAACACCATCTTTTTAAATTTATTCAGCTGAAACCAAGCACTATACTGAATCAGAGACTGACAGTAACATGGTCATATTGGTGGCAGCCTTGGTTGGAGTTTTAGGAACTGTGGCCATTGGACTCATCGTTGCCGTTGTCATCATCAGCCGACGCCGTACGTCCGCTAAGAAAGGCGCTTCTCTCATCGTTGCTGAGGAAATTTAAAGGGGCATTCGTTCGAGCTGTAGTGTGTAACTTACCGTATTTTCAGTACTCTAGGGTCTTAAGAACGTTTCGTGGCACCTGTTTCTTAACTACATTACTTTGCATGTGATAACTATGGAAATAAATTAGTCACGCAATAAGTTTTCAAGGCAATTTAGTTTTCATTTTTTTACCAGTATTTTTATTCTTCCCGAGAGGAAAAACATTTCCCCTAGTTTTTTCTATTTCAATATCTTTTACTATTATTCTTTAAAGCCGGCAAAACTATTGCAAAGTAGAAAACAACGGGATCGCTTTTAGACATTTCAACTCGCTCAACTCACGTTTCCACTTAACATGTAATTTTGCGAGAGAACAAGCTTTTTTACTGCTATTATAACTTTTGCTCAAGCACTTTCCAGAATGCTGTATACTTTAATTTCATAATAAGTCAAATAAAGCTAGAGTACGTTCATTTATCTACTGTTTGTAATGCTAAGAGGTGTGCTAAGGAAACTACAGGGATATGCTGCGGGAAGTATATAGCTTTTGTCTGCTAACGATCGAATATTTTCAACCTATTAAGTGCGGTTTAAAGCTCATTAAAATTGGATTTGTTAACTTTTAACTAAGAATTTTGTTTGTTTTTTGGCTTTTACACTCTATTTTTCCTGGAGTAACGATGATCTTTGTCGCTTATTAGATCTGGATCGCGGCGGTTTACAACAATTTTGAATCCTAAGCTAACATGGACAGCCATGGGAGAAGATTTTATGTCCGTCCTCTAATAAGTAAAATGTAAGCACGGGTTATTTTAAATTTCGACTAAGTCAATTTAAAACAAATTCCATATAAAGTTGGGTTCAGTTCAAAGGAGAGCAATACAAAGAAAAAATAAGAACGACCCTATCCCTGGAGAGGCTATTACTTTCTATCAAGAAAACAAAGGAAGTGGGTCCACGTTTGCAGCCATGGTATAATACTTGTCGCCTTGTCTTTGACTTCTCAATGACTCCAATTTTCTTGTCCGTCAGCAGCCTCATTTTCTTGCAGTTTATAATTTGTATGACCAAACATTGAAGAAATTTGTGATAATTTAATTTTGAAGGTTGACATCCCAAACAGAAGTCATTAATCTCAAATTCGATTTGTTGAACCTTTTCTTAATTATGCATGCACGTACCTTTCGACGTTTTATGGGTAAAATTAGAATTCTAAATTTTGGGCATAATTTAGGAAAATTTTCCTTTGTGTGACAATTAAAACAACGCCTTCACCAGCCACGGTATAATTTTTATAATCTGTCGCCTCGTAATTTGGAACTGGCCTGTACACTCCCAGTTGAGTTCATTTAACATTGGCAAATAATTATATTTTCCGTTGGGTTTTCAAGACACAGGGACCTTTGTTCACTTTAGCGCAAACAAAAGATGAACGAAAGATGCGTAATTACGCGAAAGCAACGTCTGAGATCGTGGTCAATGGTATTTCGAAGTTTCTTTTTTTTTGCCTGCTTTGTTGGCTGAAGCCTCGAAAATAAATATTCTTGCTAAACGTCAACAAAACACAATTTCGATCCTTTTTTTTTCATTGCATTTATTAGCCAAATATTGGACAATCTGCCGTTTGAAGCTTTATTGCTCAAAGTTCATATTACTTAATCTTACTTTGGCCGGGAGAGTTGTCATTTTGAGTGCACCAGATAAGACAGTGGACTGAGTGTCGCCTGGGCAAGACCGCTATCTTCAAAGTAATTACTCGTTATTGCATGACCGTGCCCTATTGAAATGTACAGAAAGCGCCTCGCAGGTGAAGCATGTTTGTGCAGCGCCGCACCCCGCCTTATTTGCATATATGATCAGGCAAACAAAGGAAAGAAAACGCGGCCAGAACACATTACAACTCCATAGCGGATTAAATGTGACTTTCTGAAATGGGTGACACCGCTGGATTTTTTACCTCGAAGGCTCGGTTTATTCCTTTGGGCATTGCTTTCGGTGGCTGCCGAAAACGTGTCGGTTTTATTCGTTTCGAAAAAGGTGAGATATTTTGGAAGAAGACCAAAGGAACTGCGGAAGGTACTTCAAAAGACTTGGACAATAGTGTAATTAAGCTACCTTGCGCGAACAGACTTGTGATCTTGTATCCTTTTGTTTACATTGTCTTGAGATGAATGAACCGAGATCGATTAACTGCAATCATTTGAATGGATTTAGTTTCTATTCACGGTGTATTTTTAGCCTTAATATGTTTTTAGGATTAAAGAGCGTCGCAAAAGATTTAAAAATGGATCTTGGACGAGTTGTTGTAATCACTGCGAAGAGCAAAAGCGAAAATAGTTTATCATTTCGAGCGCCGATCGTTTTGTTTTGATCCGAATGATTGCACTTGAATTAAACTACTTCTTTATTATGTAAATATTGCGTGTCATAAATAGTGCTCGTGTTCGCGCGCTGGCGGTTCATTCTTTCACAACTTTCGTCTTGTTCGAATGAACTTGTTGTGATCTGACCGTGTTGTTTATTGTCGCGATGGAGTTTAGTGTTGGCGATTCTGTCGAAGCTGTCGATCAGTTAGGAATTTGGACAAAAGCGAAAGTTGTCAGTAAATCGGACAACGCAATTGTTGTAAATTTTCCTCCGTGGAGAGCCGTACTATGTTAAAATACGCGAGCTCCGTTTTGGGGCGCGCGGCGCATGCAATGTTTACTTCTACTTGAAAAGACATGTAAGCTGATAAGTGCTTGGGTTTGATCCGAGGTTGATGTCTTTGACATGTTGCCCAACACACCGGAATGCGTAGCAATTATTAGACATCAATCAAGCAGATTCCCGGGAGAGTTTATTTCATCTGTTAACAAAAGAAAAATATCTCACCTACATCAGAGAAGTTGCGCTCTTCACGATCTTCGGAAGCATGCCGGCATGTCGGCAAACTCATCGGAATGAATAAGTAATGAGAAAGAACAATAGCCTGAATATATGAATACTTAACAACCTCAATTTTTGAGGTTCACATTTAATCCGCTATGGAGTTGTAATGATTCTCCGCCGTTGCTGTACACCAAGGTTGCGACGTGTCAAGCAACTGTCCGGACAAGCTGTTACTGTAACCTTTTTTTGAAGGAGATCAGAGAAATGAACTTGCAGCTGCTTCGAAAGCTGCTCCTAGTGGGTGTAGTTTGGGCTTACTCTATAACAAAAGCATATAGTTCAGGTATGTCTAGAGTTTGTGTCATTATAGTACATCATTGTGGGTTTTTGACGATAATTTTGTATGCTTCATTCATCGCAGTAGCTGAAATTAGACAGGTCTTTTCCTGAGGGATCAAATCTGCAGCTTGTTCATCTTTGAGATCAATTTGCACATCTAGCTTAAACGCATAGCCTCTGCGCACCAAAATGCAGCTGGAGTAGTACAGCTTTCGTCCGGGGGTCTTTCAGTCGAGTTTATACTCGCATCTGTTGTGAAGTATTTCGCAAATTTTGGTTGATCGAATTACGGCTCTTTTTCCATCGAGATTTTCGTATAAAGGGCAGGCTTTTATTGCAATGCACACTGAAAAATTAAGGTATTCAAACGGATTGCTGCTTTCATATCATTAATCGACACGGGACGGAATCCTTTTCCCACGAAAATTAGTCATTACTGGCCCAAAGATATGGATTGTTTGCTCCAAGAGTTCAGATTTATTTTTCGCTTTGACAGCTTTTCTTTTCCCACGAGGTGTCATTTAGTCTCAATTTACAATGACATTTTATAGTTTGTGGAATGATAAGAGCTATTCTCAATTATTTTTTTAAACTTTGAATTAAGTTCCTATACTGTGCTAATTAATTGAGCCATTAAACTGATTGCCTGCGGCGTAATAGGTTAAACTGTAGTCAAGATTTTATAGTTTGTTTGAATGCTTTGATATTCAATTTTAGTTAGATTACTAAGTGATTCGGGTTGACACCCGCTCTGCTATGTATGCAAAGTTTGAAATTTATTACGTGCAAATAAACTTGACTTGAATTTGCCTTTTAATTGCATAAAGGAAACTTCTGCCTGGCTGCCTCTAATAATTTGACAAGTGCGACCTAAAGCCAATTAAAGTCACCGTTGGCCTTGAATCATTTTTGCGTAGAGAAAGAACTAAAAGAGTAAACTTTTCTTGCCTGCTTTGGAATCAACTTCTAAAACAAATGACATAATCACTACTTCTGAATATCAACAGCAAAAAGTAAAAGGTCAGTAAAGATCTTAAATATAGCGACACTCATTTTCTACCTCCGCGAAGTTCAACTATTTAAAATTCAAAACAAATAGTTACTTACGCCCGTGAATACAACAATTGTTATGCGACCACACAGCTTCACTTCGAAGTAGACAATGAGCTCGACGCACAAAGAACACCCGAGAGAGCTAGTATTGTCTTCACAAGAAAGTGATGTCTCAGGCAATTTGGAATTAGTATGAGCAAATGAAGTTTCAAAGACTACCGAAAAGAAAAGAGTTTTACTCGTAGGTCAAGGAGCTTAATTACTTTCCATATATTGTATGACGGCTGCAGCAGAAAGCAGTGATAGCAGTGCAAGTGACCTGCAGATTAAGAATTGAATATAAAATAATCTTCGCAATAATAAAAACTACTGAAGCAGTAGTGAAAAAAAGGCCTGAAATTAAGGTCGGTACGGGATTTGAACCCATGAACGGTGAATACTCTACCAACTGAGCAAGCAAGGCAACTGAGACCTTGTCATTATGTTGGTTCATAGGAAAAATGATTCATTGGTAACCAGCAGGTATCTTCCAAATTGTGCTAAAGAGGTTTTTGATTTATGCACTTTGTTGTTTAAATTATACTTTTTATTACTCCAGCCTGTATTGGATGAGAGTTCATTTTGTTGCTTTTTGTCTTTTAATTAGTCTGGAACAGCTGGTCATGATCACGACAATGTTTACGACATTAAGAGGAAATAGTGGGTACCCTTAACTTAACCCAATCTTTCTTTGAAGTGGAGTGTGTTCATTCTGTCACGAATATATTTTGACTTTTTAGTTTGTTCTCCTTCCAATACCGACATTGACATTGACGCTAAGGTCCCTGGTGTCATATCCACACCTGAATTCACAGATGGCTCTGCCGGCAGTTCCTGCACCTGGAAGATCCAGGCTCCTGAGAATTTCCGACTAGGGATAACACTCGAGGCTCTGAAGTTTGCAGGTCCAGATGACCATTTACTCATTCATGATGGTGCTGATGACCGAAGTCCCCTGATGGGAAGATATGGTACTTGCATCACTGGCTCTCTCACCCTGTTCTCAAGCGGGAATTCAATTTTTTTGCAGACGGTGTCCACCACTTTTAGAACGAGCAATGAGCTTAGGATCGCATATAGAGCAATTGAATCTGGTAAGTTAATGTACTATATATAAATGCTTTCCACCCTTACATGTGTATTCTTATTACTTGTACTATTTTCTTTACAATTCCTATGGTGCTGACAAGGAGAATTTATTTGACAGTCAGGAGCGTCTAAATTTGGCAATCATTTTCTCTATTCTAGCGACTTGAACGTTTGATTAAAGGATGCATGATATTGTAAAATAAAGAGATGTAAGAAGCCAGACAACTGGTTCCGATTGCTTAAAGGGTGGATAATACTATCCACTGGAAAAACGTTATCCGGGGGATAGCGCAGTATGTTTTCTTAACAGGTATCCGTTGGATAGTGATTTATCCGTCGGATGGCGTTATTCACTCTTTGAAGTACTGCGTCCTGGACGTTATCAATTGGAAGAATCGCACGAGCAAAGAGACCCTATCAGATAAAAATATTTTGCTCATGACTTTTTCCCCTACTTGGCACGTTTCTTTCATGAATCCTGTCCATCACTTCCTTAACCTACGGTTTCCCGATCACCTTTCTTTAAGGCGTGGTAAAATTGCCGCTGGTGGTACACATATGAGCATATACATATTTTTTTCATTAGAAGCTGTTTAGCTGGATCAATTCTTAGTGACTAAGTAATAATTTTTCATCATTGTGGTGAACAGTCGAATGGAGAGTCGTTCTCTTCCCCATCTGAAGGGGTTCATCCTTATCACTCACATTACTTGATCTTTGTTTTGCTCAAGACAAGGTAATTTTGCATTAACTCAACAGAGACCGTCACCTGCTCGAGCCCGGGCGGAAATCAGCCAAGTAAGTTCAGGATTAGTATACTTTAGCATTTGAGCGGTTTTCTTTGGCTGTAGGACAGAGCTTCACTATTTTTTCCTGATTTATTTTCCAAGCGGGCTCTAGAATATTTTCTTTGTTTGTCTCATTATTAGACACTGTATACGCCAAATGCACACGAAAATCGCAGTTTGTTATAAATTGAGTTAAAGTTTGTTTGATATTTTGTTATTTAGTGACTTATCTAACATTTAAACTCTCGTTTGCGTTCGCCTGCAACCTGGTCTGCATGTATTCGTCATTAGAAACTTTGAAGATTGGTATACGTAAATCACAAACCATTTGAAATTCAATGAGGTTTAACTGGTCGTTTTCCACAAGACTAAGGTTGAAATTTTATTTTTGTATACTTTTAAATATTTGTTTATAATTGTACTGATAATTTCTATAATATTACATTGTAAAGTGAAGATATTTGGTAAAATTGAATTTTCTTCTATATTTTATGCGCGATATTTCAATCACAATAACTTTTTTTCCTTCATCGTAGATTTCTGTGGTGATGACACCCATTTGAAAGGACTCTCGGGTGTTATAAGCAGTCCTAACTTCCCTAAGAACTATGAAGCCAATGAATATTGTACGTGGAATATTGCTGCCCCCCCAGGCTACCGTATGCAATTTGCAATTCGTTTCCTCGGTATTGAAGACCACCGATATTCGCGTCCAGGGGCCTGCGGTGATGACAGCATCAGCATAAGCGAGTCGCGTGAAAATAAAACCCGGGATATCAAAACGCTCTGCGGATGTCAGCCACTTTTTTCATTCGTTACCTCGGAGGAGACGATGTTCGTGACTTTTAGATCTTACAAGGAGAATAACTGGCCTGGATTTTATGCCACCTACCAAGCATTGTGTAAGTTTATATCGGCCTTCTTTATAGTTATAAATTTATTTTATCGCGTCCTGAGCAAGATCTTGGAACGATCCCCGGGGCAGATTGAAGAGTATATTTATTTTCCGTTCGAAAGTAATTCTAATGCTTCATATCCAAGACTCTGCTCACAATTAACTACGTTTAGAGTCTTCCAAAGGGTGTTTTGTTTCCTGAATACATTGATATGTATGTTAGCCCACTTCAAGTCGTCCCATGCAGGTTAGATTGTTATTTCCAAGTATTGTAGAGTCTTTTTTCACGGTGAACAGACAAAGTAGTTATTTTCATGCATATCGACGATATCCAAGTCTAACTGTTGTCGTCTGAAATGCTTTGATTACCTGGACTACGATTTTGGCGAGAAAATTGGTTTTCTCTCGACTCATTCTCCCCATTTCCATTATTTGCCGCATGTTTTGCCATAAATTTTGCGCCTTTCTGGACATTTTTAAATTTTTATTTAGACAAATAGAATTAAAAATTCATTCATCTCACTCCCATCCCTTTCAAAATAGATAACGTTAAATTCTGCTGACTCAATTTCGCCTTGTTTGTAGTTTCAACCCATTCATATATGACATATGACAAGGGATCATATTCTCTTGTAAACTTAATTTTTCCAATATTTCCTTCAGCTCCTCAAGAATGTCCCCCAGGAAATACCAATTGCCCTTTAAAAGATTCACATCCAATTGGCTTCAATGCTCAAGGAGAGGTGTGCAAGTCGTCGGGTAAGCAGTTTCGTTTGAACTACTTTCAAGGTAGAAATGCGCGTTTAGAAAGTATTGTGAAAACGGGCTACCCCTGATATATGTTGATTTATGCGCTATAGACTAACTCACGGACCGACGGAGAGAAAACCGACCGGCTGAAATCACCCAGTCGATATATCTGAGGGTCTTATAGGAGTTAACAGTAAGACGCAGTAAAACGGCCAAAAAGATTTTGTCGTTGGACATAAAAATTGACAGATTTTAACCTTTTAGTCGTTACAAAAGTAAACCGTAAACAAGTTTCGTTTCTACAATGTATCATTCTGGGTTAACCGTAGCCGTAAATGGCCCAAATTCTAACCGTTAGCCGTAGAAGCCGTCACCCTATCGAGACTGTTTCATATTATACTTCATTATGTCAAGTGTGCAATATATCAAACGAAAGAGCTTTATCCAGGTGAGCTAGTCAAAACGTAAATAAATAAATGTTAAAAGATAAGAAACGTGGGAAGTAGAAGAATAAGAAGAAGTCGCCTTTGCAATGAAAGGAATTTAACTGGAATGAAGTGTAAAATCGATAAATTTACTTTGGCCACAATTGCAATCTTGGCTAAAGGTTCAAAGATGCTGTTTTCTTTTCCCTCAGGAACTGTAACTCAAATTCCCAGAACACTGCTTATCAAACAATTTTGTTACAGAGACTTTTATTCTTGAAGTATCCAACACCAAACGGGGAAATAACAGGGCCAAACGCATTTTCATTTTTTTTGCTACATTAAGGTCAGCTAAAGTGCTGTGCCTTTCTAAAAAAGAACAGCTGAAGAGTATTTTAACGACAGAAAGCCTCCGTTTATATACACCCATGTAGGTACATACATGCTTATCCATTGCGTTGTGTTTTTTCTAGCTATAGTCGATTCACGGCCTACTGATGGCGGTAACATAACTTTGGATACCGAAGCTAGTGAGTGGTTCAGCTTTCATCTCAATTGCAAAGTTCTATGTTTATATATAGCCAAAGATTACTAACCTTATATTGGGGTTTAGTACACACCTAAACAGCGAGTAACGTGAAAGGCGCGCTTCGATTACTGATTGGCTATTAAGTGTCCGATTACCCAGCGCTATTCACCATCAAAGAACTCGCTGGGGACTTGCGCCGGAAGATATTTCAATCGTTCAAAAAATCTCTTTTTTGTTCTATATCATCGCCAAGTTTTTAGTACATACTTAAACAAGTATTCACCTCGGTGTAAGTGGTTAATTGTGGATATTTAGCACGCACCGAGGTGAATTGTCGTTAATCAATAAATGGTCAGTTGACACACATACCAGGAAGATGCACCTACATCAGGATTGAATAAAAAGAGGGAGTTATGGATAAAGGTTGCTGTTGGAAACAAGCCAAAAAACCGATATGCAGTCCTAAAAAATCATGGGGATACAATGATTGTTACTGTCACGTACTTCCTGAGTAGGTTTAACAAATATTCGTCTCGTCAAAACCAATAGTGGGAAAATAAATGTAAATATTGCCTATAGAGACTTAGAACGTGGTTACAGGTATTTTAAGAAGACATTCAGATAAATTGGGTTGCTCATGTGGATTTTCCTTTTACGTTTTGATTTCAGAAATAGACGTGGTCTGCCAGCCTGACTTCATCGAGGTCTCTCTAAAGATTTCAGATTTCCCTGGAATCGTTCTCAACGACTCTTCTCTTCATCTTGAAGACAGAAACTGCGTTCCTGGTTACAAAGATAACACGAAGGTGACGTTTAAGTTTGGACTTGAGGATTGCAGCACTAAACACAAGAACGATGGGGAGAAGATATACTACACGAACAAGGTCTACCTCAAAGCCGGTGAGGCGGCCGAAGACGAGGCGATAACTCGCGAACACACGGAGATTATTCCTTTTCACTGTGGATATAACAAGAAAGCCATCCTCTCGAAAGTTTCATACAACCCACGCGTTGTGCAAATCATAACAGATACAGGTAAAGTACTTGCTTGGTTTCCATTTATAATAAAGAACATTCTCTCTATAAGCTCTTTGTCACCAGACTGTTGTGTCTGCAATCTCTGAAAGTATTAGGTACATGGTAAAGTGCCAGTTGTGTTTGAGGTTTGGGAACAAAGTTTATTTTTGCCTGCTGAAACTGACCACAGCATGACTAAAACTTCAAAATCTGGTTTCAAACTTGGATTATTGACTTAACTGGCCTTTTTCCTTTGCGCTCCGCCTGGAACATAGGGCTTCCGCAGCGACTTTACATACTCCCTCTTCCTATACCAAGGGACTATTCGGGTAAGGTCTACACACCGTATTCGCTGCTAACCCTAACCCTAACCTTGTAACTGGCTTTCACTCACCAAGTGGTCGGCTAAGAGGGTTCACTTGAACCTTAGCCTCGAGAATCGTTGCAGCACTAACACTCCGCTTTCTGCTCGATCGAGTGCCTCTTTACACCAAGGTGAGACGCCTCTCTTGATGAGATCACTGTGAGCTCCTGGACAATGCCGATACCTTATCAATTGTAAATCAATTTTAATAGCCTTACAATCTTAATATCAAACTGTTGTTGATAAGAGGGGAACTTTGAATTTAATAAAGTAATAGGAGCAACTAAAGTAAGCCGCAGTTAGCGTTAACGAGTCCAAACCATAGAGAAACATACGCAGATAGAAAACTTCTTCATTATTTGTTCTGCTTTTCCAGAGGGCATTGGCAACTTCACGTACTATATGGACATGTATGAGGACGAAAGCAACAAAGCAACGGTCACAGAATTCCCAAAAGAAGTTGGTTTGGGTCAAAAGATGTATTATGGCTTTCGAGTGGAGTCTGGAGACACTGGTTTGGTTGTGTTCCCGGATGTTTGCAAAGCCACAGCATCGCCTAGGTTCAACTCAACTCCCGACCACGTCATCATCGACAAGGCGTAAGTAAGATACCGAAACTGAAATTTGATAAGACAACAATGATTTCCACGAACCCTTGCTTTAAGAATTAGGCCATGGAAAGACGTTTTTCCTGAAAAAAAATACTCTAACATGAAGAAATAATAATGAAAAAAATATCAAAGGCTTAACGATGATTTAAAAATGGGCTTTATGCACTTTGAAAACCCTTAGCCCAATTCTCCCTGCATATGACAGTGAAGTCGGAAGCTCTAAGGCTCAGATCTTGAGTGAGAGCTGAAGATATTTCCGTTGTCCAACACTCGTCACAAATATTGACATCTTTTCCAAAAATGATTTGTGAAACGTTTGACGGAGACATCGTAATTTGGCAAAGGATGGATATTTTTTTTTTTCAGCTGCTCAAAAGACAATACTTTACAATACCAGTATGGCCAAAGATCAGAACACTTCTTCAATCTTGATGCCTTCCGCTTCACAGAAAGCTTTAGTGATATCTATGTCCACTGTAAGCTAACGATTTGTCGAAAAGATGACGACGAATCTAGGTGCGCCAAAGGTTGTCAGCCTACAAAGAGAAGAAAGAGATCAGCGGAAGAAGACTTTGGTGCCAGTCTCTACATTGGACCATTGAAACCGAAAGTCGTCGAGAATGACGCTGGTGAGTAATAAAAAAGTTTTCACGTGGATACGTCCAAATTATCTATTTAAGCCTATTTCACAGATGCTTCGAGAGAAAAGTTAGTCGCCTGCTACCTCTATCTATCGCCTACATTTACTTCTCACAGAAGTATCCACAGCAGTCATATTGGTACCAGAGCTCTAGAACGGCAGCCATGTTCAGTACTGCAACCAAAACATCCTTCACTTATTCAAATTTATTAAATGCTTCATGGAAACTTTTCCTCTATAAATTTATCGCTACTGCTCAATCAGCAATTCGCATGAGCTCTAACGGTTTTTTTCTGCTTCTCAGTCCTAAGTAAATTTCAGAATAGTTTGGAGTAAGTTCAGTCTTGATGCTAAGACCAGTTTAAATTTTAAACCAACAACACTCTATTTCCACCGTTCAGAATTTGATGGCTTGAAAGCAACGATTAAAAAGGTTTTGTTTAAGCTCTCCTGTACTCATTAGTCAATAAACTTTGTCCTTCCTCCTCTGCACAGTTAAAAAGAACAGCGACGATCAGTCAGATTCCATTGATAGCACGATTCCTATTCTGGGAATTTTAGTCGGAGTGCTAGGAACGCTCGCCATTGGGCTCACTGTCGCTGTGATTGTCATTAGCCGACGTCGAAAATACTCGGGCAATGGATTGTTTCTCGTTGTTAGTGAAGAAACGTAGACTGGTCCGCAACAGGCTGCAGTGCAGAAATGATCACTTCAAGAAAGGGTTGGCCGGAACAATTAAACTTAAAAGTTGCGTTTAGGATACCATGAGGTCTTATGGCTCATTATAAATGTATTTTAATTAGGCATTTAATTTTTTTGCTTTTTCTTACTCAAGGAGTTTTCGTTATGTTATCTATAAGCAGGAGTTTCATCGTGACAACGTTAATACTACCTCGGCGATGGTTTCAATGACCACGTTTACCTGCGCTATGAACGGCACATTTTCTAGCCCTAGTGAATCAGAACAGTCAAGCTATTTTCGAGAATTTCTTTTTCATGATTGATATCGAGTGATATTAAAGTCCTTTAAAACATGGTACAGTTCTACCTTCCCCCCTCTCGTCAAAGTGCCTCTGAGAAAAAAAAGTTATAGCTTATTTCCAATGCAAAACGGTAATTTAACTTGCTGCCTACCACATGTTCCTCATTGAAAATTTAAACCCTTACTTCTCCTGAGTGGCTGGTGGATGAGGTTGATAGGCAACGAGTATTTTCCTTTCCCACCCACCCCTTCCCCTCTTATCATCGCTTCGTTTGTCTATCCAACATCCTGTTAATAGAAAATTTCATTATCTTTCCAGACGTCCTCTGCTTCAAAGCCTGTACTGAAACTCTCTCTAGAATATCATTTTTGAGCGTTCGTACTCCACCAGATATCTTTAGTGCCATTAAGACTCTGGCAACCTGCCCTGTTTCAAAGTCTGTATCAAATCACGTTCGAATGCATTTCTTTCAAAGCTCAATAATAAACTTTTTTATGCAAAAGTTTCATGTCTTCACTTTGTGGCGAATGTATGATACAACAAACTCTGCTGTGAATAACTTGCCAATCAGGGATTATTTCATGGGCCTAGTCCCAACGGTTCCTTAGTTTACTCGGTCAGAAATTCAGGAGTGGTTAACAAGGCATGGAAGGGCTACGTGGCATAGCCATGTACTTAGCTGACTGTTTGCAGGTTTTTTAGCCCTCCTTGTATCTTGGATCTCGCTGTGTTTTGTTTGAAATTTATACCATTCATTGTGTCAGCTAAGTTTATAACACTTTTATTGTCTGAAAAAAGTTTAACTAAATTAAAGCAAACCCGCTGAGTCAAAGAAATCAATGTTATGGTTGAGTTCAGTCAAGCGGTACATAAATGGAAACAGGATCATCGAATAAGAAATTAGCATTTTAGCGCTGGATAAAAAAACCAAACCATCTGGTAAAAATTTATTATGTGGGATATATTAGAAAGTATAACTACAGTCTTTCAGTCTTTCTACAGTCTTTCTTTCTTTCAGTCTTTCTAATTTCCTGGCGAGACTGTCGTGACGTTGGCTTAGAGGTTGAATTTAAGAGATAAAGCTTTTCTACCAAGAACAACAGATTTATCCCTGATACTCTAAGAAAAGGTGATGAAACTGTCTAAATAATCCGACCACGTGTTCTATTAAGCTGCCTGCAGATTTCAGCTGCTTCAGAGGCATATATCCAAGTACAAATGGTCGCCTTAGCAAGAGGCGGAGACCACCTTTAATTTAAGATTTGCGGCTACAATATCTGAATGATCGCATCTATGTCACAGCCATTCTGGCCCCAGTGTCAACACCATTGACGCTGCAAATGGATCAGTAGAAGTTAATTGGCGCATGTTTGAATTTCGGGCTTTAGTTTCATGCTTGGCCAAACACGTTTGAGAGCGCGTGTAATTTTCAACTAATTAAGAAAACTAAATGGCTTCTGTCTTTATTTGGATTTATTTATCATGCGGTTTGTGCGGCAAAAGAAACAAAGAGACGGTTCGCAAACTGTAGATATGTTTGCAGCAATTAACACAACATATTACGGAACAAACTAGAAAAACCTCGGTGGCTGTTTGTCAGAGCGGTGAGAAAATCTAAATTTGATCCAACCTTGGGATCTGTAATTTCTCGAATAACCAAATAGAAGCAGCAATTTAATTATAATTAGCATATTTAACTTTGTTTTCCACAGTACCCACTCTGTGAAAAACACATGGTTAAAGCCGCAAGTGTCAATATCAAAGATCGTCTACCTCACAGAAAAGCAAATAATTAACACTGAAGGAGGTGTTTTGTTTGTCTTTCTTTTCAATTTGTTGGGGGCAATTCGAGCTAGACATTTCAGGCACACAACATGCACGAACAGCATTAAAATTCATTGTTATTCCTTCACGCTAGATAACCTCTCAATGTGTTACTGACATTTACAGTTCCTTTTATTCAAATCACTGTTTGGGTGGAGGCCTTCTGAGTTGATGGGATTCAGCGTGGAAGGACGATTGAACTTAGCGTGTGCGTATCAAATCTAGAATATTCTACTGTTGTGCTTCGATGAAAAGGGACCGCGGGACTATTATTTTGTGATCGAGGGCTTACTGGGTTGTCTGCGGATCCCATTATCAGCTGAGGAATGCATTTCCATTAGAAGGTGCGATGAAGCTGCGACATCGCGTCTATGATCAGCCATGGGAAAAGTGAAGTTGTTGGTGAACACAAAGTTGCTCTTCTGGTGTACAATCTGCTCAGCATTTTCTTTTAAGACAGAAGCAAATATTGCAGGTATGTGTGGAGTTTGAGAAATTAGTTTAGCGCCATTGAAGCTTACCGGCTTTGAATCACATTTTAATGGCCTTTGGGGACTCACAACAATTATTTCATGCCAATCGGAGAATTTTACAAAAGTGTTCTATTAGTGCTGTCTTTTGTACAAAAGCTTATACTAGTACTAACTCTTAAAAAAATAGGGAAAAAATTAGGAAAAGCGGAATCTTGAGTACCGTCGTTATTTTAGGCCGATAAATCTCAAAATCGAGAAGGCCAAGGCCATCGGAGTTACCATGCGGCCTTTAAGATTCTGAAAACCTCTTTTGATTCGAAATAGGTGACTTTGGACTTAAAATCCGACAAAACAGATTCGGCTTTCAAAAGGTTGTTAATACTATGCCCCGATGGCAAACATTCTTTTTGTGAAGTAATTTGCATTACATTTACAATTGTATTGTGCATTTACACCCTTGTTTAGCAGTTCTTAACGGCGAGCGCTTTATCTATTTTTGTATTGTTTAGTCAAAGTTTAGCCACACGCCAATCAGCGGTTTATTATTTATTCTCAATATCAGATAGGATTTTCATCCTTCAGTAATTTTACATCTAAACAGCTGCTACACAATAACAACGCATTAGAATTTCTCCTGAGGCATAAAAGAAAAAACAAGCCATGAACAGCGAATTTGATATCTGGCGAGTTTTCAGTTTCAATTTGCTCGGTTGGATCACAAATAACGAAGTCATTGCTTAAAATTTTCGGGAAATGCACTATTTGCCAAAGTTTTGTCTCAGATTATCCAGAGAAAAGCCAACTGCAAGTTAATTAGCACACGAATTTCCTTCTCAGAATCTGAGACGAATGATGGTATTAAACTTTGCCTATCCTATGTGTACGTTTTCGCTCACAGTCTCTGTTTGTTTCGCCTTTTTATTTGACAACGCTGTAGAAATGAACTGTTTCGCGGAAAATGAACAAAAGTAAGTATAATAGAACCTCATTAAGGAAACGCCGGGGAAGGGAGGGGGGAAGGGAGGGGGTAAGGGATTGTCGAGGGGTTTTGCTCACGTCACGGTTAAATTTACTTAATTCTCTCATTATTCTGGCTAATGTTATCATGATTTCGCTCTCAATCGGCGATTAATTGGCTATCTATTTTCTACATTCTCCCTGTATACTTAGTTGGCGACGACTGATCCCCTTCCATTCCTTCTGAAATCCTTGTGACCTTGTGACCACCTCCCTCATCCCCCCTCCCCCAACCTCCGACCCCCGTCTGGCAATAGTTAATCACTGCTCCTTAAGGCTGTCTCGTTTTCTTGAACTTAAATCCATTTCCCTTATGAAGCAAAAAAAATTCGTCATAAGCTAACTTCCCTTCCCTTTTCTCAAACCAGTGTACTGTGTTTTGGTTCCCTTGGCATTTCCATAGAGTACCTACAATGTATCATAAAATAACTTTTATATTTTGACATGAACGTGCTCATTTTGCAGTTTGTTCTCCATCCAACACCAATATCGCAATTGAGGCTGAGTCACCAGGCACGATATCAAAACCTACATTCCCAGATGGCTCTAGTAGAACTTCCTGCATCTGGATAATCCAAGCTCCGGAGAACTTCCGACTGGTAATCACGATTGAAGCCCTGAATCTGAACGGTGCTGACGATTATTTGGCCATTCGTGATGGTGCGAGTAGATTCAGCCCTCTTATTGGCAAATATGGACCATGTGCAAAAGGCTCTCTTACGCTTCTGTCCAGTGGGAGATCAGCTTTTCTTCAATTAGAGTCAGCTGTTTACAAGAACACTGACGAAATAAAAATCTCATACAGTCCAACTGATCCTGGTAAGAAAAGTCACCTATGCTTACTTGCCAAATGGTTTGTGACAACCGTCTCTTCATTTATAATCAGTTTTGTTACCCATTTTTTCATATTCTTATATATCATTAAATAATAATAATAATAATAATAATAATAATAATGATAACAGATATACTCCCAAGCATAGCTTTTATGTTTTATCACTCGCTCTGTCGAAACTATTTTCCACGACTTACTGATGAGACACGACTTTACCTTCAATCCTCTAAAGATGTTTATGTGAAAAATTATATTTATCTTTTCTTGAAACGTTTTTTGTTTGATTGTTTTGTTATTTTTCTTGAGTTAACGCCTAGACGAATTGAAATGAGGAACTTGTTATGATATGTCGCCTTAGTGGAATCGAAGGTTTTGGTTTTGTTAGGATAAAATTTTTTTCATCTCCCCTTCATAAGGTCAAATTATATTCTTATCCTTCATTATTGGCATTTGAATGACAGTCCCCCTATAGTCCCCCTTTACACTCTGTTAGCGACGATTGATCCTTTCTCCGTCCCCCCTGAAAACCATGAATTTCCCCCAAAAAATCCTCTAACCGTCCCCCCCCCTTTCACCTCTCCACCTTTACCCACCCCTCCCCTCAAGAGAGAAGTCATGACTGGTTCCTTATTTGATCGTTACTGCCATTTACTCACCAAATGAAAGCGACTGACAAACGCCAACAGCTTAATTTGGATGTTTACAACTTTTCGTTCTGTCTTACCCTAATATGTTACTTTATTTTAAAACTCTTCTGATTGGCTGTTGAGGGAAAACTGGTTTTGACCTTTATTAGCTAAAATGATTGGATTAAAAGCTATCCTGAATCAGGAAGAGCAGATTCAACCTATTCATCACTATATTTAATTGTTCCTTTATTACAGACGACGTCAACTGCGAAAATGGTGAAGATCCACCAGGTAGGTCATATCCTTTTTCAATTCTTTATCTCTCAATTTCCATGTGTACTTAGATTCGTCATCTAAAGGGCCTTACTTACTACACGGCCTGGAAAATTGCTGTTTTTCATTTATCAACTTTATTTCACCTTTTTCACGGCCAATCTGTTTAGTTCAGTGGATAAGTTAAATTCTAGACCTTTCATTTACATTAAATAATTTGTTGCTGCATGAGATGTTAACGAATGAACAGCGATTTCGAAAAGAATCATTGACCTAAAGCCTCTCCGCGTGACCGAGAATCGTTTTCCGGAGTCGTCAAACACGCCGAAGATAGATAACAGATATCTCATCTTCCTGGTTCGGTGCAGAAAGTTATGGGCCGTCTAAAATTCTTTTCAAGTAATTGCCAACTCCCTTAGGGGTCCCTTCCTTGTTTGCAATACCAGAGAGTTGTAAGGAACTGTATGTAATGGTCCAGAAAGGGATCAAAAAATGGGCCCTTACTGACCAGAAGTGCTCGGCTAAGGGATGGTCGAACGAGCGGGTGCAATTGGTGATTCGCATGCTAAACTACCCTAATTTTGTTGTGTCAGGGTCTGTAACAATTCATGTCGTCTCCGTTGACTTTCAGACATATGTGGCATAAACACTGAGCTAAGAGGGCTCTCGGGTTTTATAACGAGTCCTAACTTTCCCAGTAATTATGACGCTAACGAAGTATGCTTATGGACAATTGTTGCTCCTCCTGGGTACCGAGTGCAGTTTTCTATTCATTTTCTTGGCATTGAAGATCACCGATATTCTCGCCCAGGAAGTTGTGGCGATGACAGCATTTCTGTCAGCGAGTATCGTGGGAACTCCACCAAAGACATCAGCACATTCTGTGGCTGTAAGAGCTTATTTTCATTTGTTTCCCAAGAGGAGAAAATGTTTTTGACATTCAGGAGTTATAAGAGGAACAACTGGCCGGGTTTTTATGCCAGCTACAAAGCTTTAGGTATGTAGTTTACGGAGAGATGTACCTGAACTAGCTCCTTTTTATCCACAATTTTGACAGCGTGTTTGAAACTCTTGTAAAGTTCCATAAATTGCAATTCATGACACAGAATGCGGAAAAAAAAATGCATGTCAAACAAATTGTTGTGATGGAAGGCTTAAAAAAAAAAAAAACCTTCAATGGCGTTGCTCACTACATTTTGGCGGGAAAAGGGTTGCCCTACAGGATAGGAAGGCTACACGTGATACTTTCGGCTATTCAACGGTTCTCCTGTAATCGGATTGGCTGCTTTATCATTCCACGGGGAAATTACTGTATCTCCTACTCATGAGCATAAAAGCACCAGTAGGCAACCACAGATGAAATAGGCTGTCTGCCATTTGGTATTTTAACTCCTTAAAAAACCAAATTGACTCTTTTCTTTGTTCTAACGCCTTCAGATAAGGCACAATATTCTCCATTTCCGCAAAGGAGACTCATTTTTTCTCCCCTTGTCTAGTATTGTTTTTTATAATTACCTGTTGCTCTTTATTCTATTTTGAAAAGGTATTTCAAAGCCTCCTTTCGTTCCTCACGCAAGGACATTGCTCATGATAACGAATAACTCTCAATGAACTGCAGTCATTTCGCCAACGAATAGTTTTGCTTCTCTTTCTTTGGCGAAGAGACCTAAAACGTTAGCGAACTAGTTGTTAGTTAGACGACCACAATTTCTCTCAGTCAATCATTTAAATATATTTTTTAAATTCCCTCCAGCTCCTGAAGATTGTCCTCCAGGTGAACTGGACTGCCCCCGAAAGGACGTTGAGCAGATTGCTTTCAATGCTCAAGGTCAGGTGTGCACAATAATACCAAGTGAGTGTCTTCCTGCTAACATTTGATATTTTCGTTACATTTCGAATTCGTTCTCTCGGTGAACATTCATGAAGCAATCTGGACCGTTCTACCATTTCAAATATGGCTTTTCTTTCCATTATAATTTCATGTACCTTGAGGAAAAAAGCGAATGAGATACAAAGCCAGTCCCCCGGAAAACCTTTACTACTAGTCATTCAAACCATCCGGAAATTTTTCGCAACGTTAAACCTAATAATTTGGGTCAGAAATCAATATCGTTTCTTTACCAACTACATTTTTCTTTTTTCGGTCACTGGCCTCTTGATTATTTTAACTGTTTTTACAGGTGACTATTTATGTAGTTTAAAATGGTGCCATCAACAAATGCATTTACAATTTCTTTATCTCTCGTTTCCTCTTCTCTCGCATCAACCTCTCCCAAGAAAACAAGAGCTCTCAAGTGGATGTAAAAAGGCCATCATCAGCCATAACGAGTTCTTCATCAAGGTCATCTGGGCTACCTTCATCCAGAGCAACTTCGAAATATAGAACTTCTTCCAAAAAAACACAGGAGAATATCTACTCGTCCCCTCTTTCGCCCAGCTTTACTTTATCGACAAGTCAGCCGACTGTGCATATAGTAGTAACATCCCCCTTTTTGCTCAGATCAATGAAAAGCGAACACATCACCATTTCTGACAGCCTTTCAAGTTATTCGATGCTTACTTCCATTCAAGCTGCCGTGTCTCCCAATAGGTCAGAAACCGCGTTTGGAAAGACAGTTGATGGTGATGATATACGTCCCATTGGCCAATTAAAAAATTCAAGGCATTTTTCGTTGTCTGTCAGTGACGTTGAGACAAGTCCTTTTATAACGTCATCCCGTGGAACAGAGGTTGTTGCATCGTCAGGCTTATATCAGAGCAAGTCTAAAACTGGTGAGACCCAGAGTGACCATATCACACCGAGTAAAACAAGTGACTCGGCAGCATTTCGCTCATCAGAAACCACTCTAAAACAGCCAAGTACCCGAGACCCACCCCTTACAATAACGGAAAACCCTTTAAGAGGTAAGGGGACTATAAATTCTATAGTTATGAGAAAATTTGATACAACCTGTATTTATAATTGTGGCATTCTCTTTCTCTGTGTATTACCTTAGTGGACATGACCTCCATGCAAACCATTAATTACTTGCAAACGAGCTTGACGGATGGAACCTGGATCGATTAGCTTTTGTCAGAGGTCTGGTCGTTCCTTACGTGAGAAAGATACTGTGTACTAAGTATGCTATGTAACAATGTTTCGACTGCATAGTACCAGTGATCGCCTCGTCAAGACTCGCTTTTTACAATAGAAACGTCGAGATACATATTATTAGAGACCATTTCGTAAGAAAACACGATTACACCTCATATCTAAGTTTATTTACCACGATGGCTTACTGCAAGATCTTACTCGATAGGAGAAATACTCTTTCCCGAATGAAACTTGTTGGCTCGGTGACATTGAGGGAAAAACGGGAAAGTGGTAGTTGAGCATGTCAGAGGAGAAGTTGCTCATTACAGCCAGTTCAAGTTTTGCTACATCATAGAAATAAACATTGACATGACTGGGAACCAGACAACTTATAAGCCCAAATTCCTGGATTTTAACTTGCTCTAAAGATAGCTCTAAATCGTTTATATCGTTTCCTGCAACGAGCCTCGCTCCTTAAGATATTATCTTACCACTGGCTTTTCTTAATTTTTTGAAAATCGTTTTAATCGCACAGGCTTGGCAGTAAAATGTTCTCAGATCGGCATGGAGGTGACCATATCAAGAATTCTGCTACCATATCTTGACATAAATTCGGTCCATTTAGACGATCCCTCATGCAAGGTATCTTTCGTTAATAACACATTTGCTGTATTGAGTGCTCCGCTGGAAGAATGTGGAACCCAGAATAGTGAATCATCACACTACATAATCTATCAGAATACTATGACAGGAGATGAAAAGTCTTCTAATACAAACACTACTATTACAAGGGATGGAAAAGTTAAATTTGAGTTCCAATGTTCGTTTAGAAAGCTTCAAGTCCTGTCCATTGTTTCGTACTCAACAAGTCGAAAGGTCATCCACGTTAAAGATGGTAAGTGTATATAATCCATAACTTTGTTTTAAACCCAAAACGTTTTAATTAAGAAACTGCATAGGGGTTTGGTTATAATTTATCGCCTGAGGGGCTTGGAAGATTCTTTAAATTTACCTAATACCCTCCTAAGGTTCTGTAGTGCTCTAATGATCCCTTCACTGGCAGTAAATGTTCAACAGTCCTCCCTTTATACCCTGTTAGCGATTACTGATCCCTCCCCTCCCCCTTTCCCATTGAAAACCACGTGATCCTCCCAGTATTATAATGACCGGTCGCCTAGCATATAGTACTAATCAGTATAATATTACTATACTTGGCCTCTTATGGCACTTTTAGCTATGATGGATTGGGATCTAAGAGGTGGCCATTCGCGTCACCTTTTTTGATTTGCCTACGCGAGAAATGAATAGTCTGGCAAAACCCAGATTAAATTGGCAATTTACTCCGATATAGGTGACGGTGTTGGTAACTTCACCTTTGAAATGAATATGTTTGAAGATTCGAAGTACAACATAGAGGTCAAGCAGTACCCCTTGGTCGTGTATCCTGGCCAACCGATGTACTTGCAGGTCAATGTCCAAGCTCTTGATCGAAACCTTTTAACTTTCTTGGAAGAATGCTGGGTCACACCATCGACAGATCCTCGTGACAAAACCAGGCATACGATTATCCAACACGGGTATGTGTTTTGCTTGTAGACCTGAGAAATAATAAGGAAACAATACGAGTAAACTAATTTAATCGAGAACGGAGGATTTTTATTGTATCGTAGTTTTTATGGAAAATGAGCTAGTAAAAATCTTATAATGGATAAAGTCAAGATCTAATGTCCAATCCCCGAAAGGGAAATAGCATGTAGAAATGGAAAAAACTAGATGGAAAAAAATCAGCAACAACGTTTGGTAATGTCTCTACAGACCCTATGAAAAAATCAAGCTAAACACAGTTCACTTTCGATATTCTGTCAACTTTTATTTTCAATTTCAGCTGTTCCCGTGATTCTACATTGCAGTACGATTACAAAAAATCTCCTATACAAAATTTCACCTTCAAAGCATTTCAATTCCGCGAAGTCCCCTCTGAGAGACTTTACGTGCATTGTCAAGTGGTGACTTGCAGAGAGTCGGACACAGGTTCGGTCTGTGATAGAGGATGCATAAAGAACGGAAGACGTAGGAGAGAAAACAGAGCTTTCATCATGGACAAAGAGGTGTTTTTATCACTGGGGCCTGTTAGTCGTCAGAAACAAGACAAAGGTGAGTATAGGGGCAGTAGTTTACATGACACCATGGAGCCATAAGGTAGCTTGCATTGTCGTGTCCCATTTCAAGAGCATTTTTTACTTTTTGGATGATCTTATTGAGCCTTTCATAGCCATCCGCCAGTTATAGACTAAACAGGTTGATTTTTTTTAGTTACTCCAAACCCCCTCGTAGCCTGCAAAGCTCTCGGATTTCTGTGGGCCTTCCTTGAGGTGTTAGGCGGGGATACCTAAAGGGGTTCTTAACGGTAGACAAAAAAATACTTTCCTAAACCGCTTCCATTGTCTTTCAATTTCAAGCCTTTCATCGCTGATTAAATTCCCTTCCCTTTTCTTTTCAAACCAACAGCGTCAGAGCACCACGATCTCCTCGTTTATGTTAAGGCCCTGGCTTGGATTTTTGGAACTTTAGCCGTAATTCTTGCTACTGCAATGATAATTTTGATCCTTAAAAGAAGAAAGCGTAACGAAGACAAAAACAACGCCCAGATCCTATTTGCTCTCAGAAAGAACGGTGCACAGGAAGGAGAGGAAAAGCGCGCACTCAGAACATCCCAACAGGATACAGGAACTTGAATTTGAAACTTCTTAAGATGATTAACAATTTTATATGACCAAGGTCATATTTAAAAGCTCAAAATTTAGACCAGGGCCGCGGTTTTTTCCCGAAAAGGATGAAACTGGACGTTGCATTGTTTTGAGCTCAGAGGATCAGAGAGACAAAGCTTTTAAAGCTTTCGTCACATATCGGTCGGGTTATTGTTGGTCAGCAGACTTTTCGTTGGCAACCAATTTATTTAGTGTTTAAGAGTTAAAAACCTTTTTATTCAAGATGAACGAATTCGGCATTTAAACAAAAAGCTTGTAAAATTGTAGTAAGTATCAGCTAATTCAGTTCTAATCTTTTAAGGAATAGAATGACTTTAAACGAAGACTCAATAATAGTCTCATACAGTCTTACAAAATGATGCAATACCTATTAGGTCGTCAAGTTATGAATAAAACTTTATAGATCGTAAACAAGCAATAATCTATCGCTTTCCTAGATCTTTACTCTGAATACACGATGACGACTGACCTGCGTGGAGTGCATTCTGATCAGAAATTATGTGTGATTTGAAATCACAAGTATGATTTCAGACCCATATATCACGACGTGAGGTTAAAACGCCACTTTACCTCTTCCATTTTGAAATCGCAATATCCAATCTCTCTAATAAAGGATTTTTAGTGTTTTTTATTGATTCAGCACTGAGCTGGTGTGTAAAAAGTTACCAAGGTCGTCTTTCGTTTTTCTACAATCTGATTGGTTTCTTTAATCAAGTCTTCAAATCTGATTGGTTGATGCGTTTAAGTAAAACTTTCTCATTGGCTGGAAAAAGATGCGATTTGAAGCAAAAAGTGGTGTGATTCCGAATTTATCGAACTAATGGCGCATTTTCGCAAATTTGACAAAAAATATCCTGCTGTACCCTGCCCGTTAGTCACTAAAAGTTACTGAACCTACTGCTGAATATTTCTCCACACTTTTTATGCTGACATTTGCGAGAAAGAACTGCCAAGAAATTGGTCACAAGTAATCACCGTGAAAATTCCTAAGAAGATAACCTAAGAAACTAAAGTACTTTGGGAGAGGTCTTAAAATTCTTCAGTTTTCTGCATGGCATGGCGATTGGGACGAGAATGAGCCAAATATTTTTTTTCCACAGCGAGAAAAACTCTAACAAATCATAACTCATGGTCAATGTATTTTGAAAGTTCATTAATTTTATTCCACAGGCGATCGAATTGTGTATACAAATCATGATGAAGGAAAATTTCATATCATTTTAATTATTATTTTCAGTGGATGATCCACTTCACAAATTCATCTGTTATCGATCGCCTACTATATTATAATTGGTAGCAATGATAACTAAGTCTAGTACATTTCGGTAAAATCTAACCGACAGAAAAACACTACAATCCCAAAAACTAAACTACTTTATGAAACAGCGAGTAATGTTCTTAACAAGGATCGACTCCTTAAAGCAGTACAATACTTGTCGTAAATAAACTTAATCAAGCCCACTACAGTCTATATCCTAGCTCACCACTGACACAATCTCACTGCTGTCTCTAAAGTTCCTTGAAGTGAGCTATCTTCCGCTTGAGCTAGCTTTCAAAACAGTCGTCGCTCCAACAACAACAACAACCACTGCTACTGCTACATAAGTGAGTCTTTATATATATTCGCAAAGTGTTCTGGAACATTCCAGAAGCTTACATAAGAACTATTTTAGCAGTATTACATAATAAATGGGTGACTTGATGAAATGTTCTGGATAGTTTTTTGGCATGCAAGTCAGCATGACTAAGAAGTCTGGAAATCTCTCGAAGCTTATATTTACAACAATTACTCATAACAAATAAATTATTATTTACAGAACGGATCCTTTTTCTTTATTCACTTCTTTCGGGTGGCTATAAAACCACGATTACTTGATTTAAATTGCACTCGGAATCAGACATCCGATCACCCATACTAGCGAATAAAAGAGACTTCACAATGTTAGAAACGGCAGTAACTACGTGTTAAAAATTGCTGTAAGACCTCACGCAGGGGGGACTCAGACGACCGCCTCAATTGTAGTCAGGCATCAAATAAGTCAGTAGTCCGTTTTCCATTTATTTTAAAGAAAATCAGAACCAAATATCTTACGTAAACTACGTCACTCACAATTAAGAGATCACTAGTAAATATCAATCGTGTTGGGTGCTTTTTTTAAAATATTGCCGACAGAACTGACCATTTTGAAGCGTAGAAAGTAGAGCTCATACTATGTTAAAAAAATGAAAATCTTTTGGCATTTGGGACATTCAAGTCATTGTGCTTTTTATTTGATGTGGTATGGTTCCCGTGACTAAAGTGAACTTTTGTGGCATAATCAAGATGCTATTTCTCTGAGCGTGGACGTTCTTTTGGTACCAGTGGTGCCTCGCTAGTGGTAACGAGCTGGCACGTGGATGTCCTTCACAGACGCAGAAAGACGACGGTATCTATGCCAGTTCTTTCTAAGAATTAATATTCAGTATTATGATATGTAAACCAGCGGCCCAATAGGAAATCGGAAATTGTCTCATCTTTACTCTAAGAGCCACTTTGACTGTTATAAACTAATTTTACTTTGGTGAGTTTCAAGGCAGTCTTGTATGTTGACATAATTCTGCAAAAGAGAGCAATGAAGAAATTTATAATCAGAAGTGAAAGGAAAACTCGTCAAAAGCGTCTTTCCAAGACCTTTTCACTGCTGATAGGACATGCCCGCAATAGGAAACAACTAACTTCACAAGAAACTGCGACACTGATTTGTCGCCAGGAAGGGTGTGTCCCAAATTTTGCAGTTTTGTATGCAAGTATCCCGTAACTCGTATTCCTGAACACGAAAAATGACTTTACCACTCGTCGATCACTTGCAAGATCATAATCCTGGGCTCTGATTTAAAAGATAGTTACTCAAGCGGACCTGTAATACGAATAACATTTGTCACAAGAATTCAAACCTGATTAGCCTTCAGTAATCCTCTGATGGAAGACCGCAATGACTCAAATGGCGGTCTTATTTCAGGGTCCGTTTCCCAACAATTCAGCATGATATTATATCTGAAGAATTCCAGTATTTTCCATGGTTAGCACTCACAGAATACAACATTACCAATGGTAATAAAATTTTAAAATCAACAGGATGTCGATTTACTTTCCGCGCATCGCCCTGACTGCACCTTATCCCTTTCACACGGCAGATATAAATGGATCAATAACTACATAACAGCTAGAGAGTAGGCCGAGGGTAAACTCCGACTTCTGCACTGCATTTGGTTTAGTTTCTTTAAAGTTTTCTTCTTTAACTTTAGGTTGCGAAAGTTGTAGCTTCAGCTCTGGGTCTTTCAGAGTTCAGTTGGATTGCGACACAATGCATCAGGGGTTAACTTAGAGTACCTTATGAAAGAACTTTGACCACTATGACATTGATAATAACTGTAAAGGGGTTAGGAATTACTTACAACTCATCCTTAAAATAATCATGTTTAGGAATTCTATACCCCTCTTGTAATACTCTTGGAATGTCATACGGACTTATTCCTGGATAAGGTTCAGCGCCTGAAGTGTGTAAGAATTTAAGATGACACTCACAATAATATAATGACCAAAGAGTCTCTTAACTTTACTTGATAACTTTCCTCGAGTGATGGAGGAAAAAATTACGAGTCCCTGTTTTGGGTGAGAAACACTCAAATTGATAGAAAACAGCATTATTAAAAAATACTATCATCATTGAGAAAGCAAGCCATAGCGATTGAATATATGCACTGTGTTTTAGAGACACTTATCTCTTATTCCTGGTCTGTTAAGAATACTAACTTCTTAGGATTTTCTCTACTTCCTACTGAAATCTGAAAGTAAATGCACAATCCTAAATAGCTTCATCAGTGTCTGTCACGGAAGATCAGCGGTATTCGTAACTTCTATACATTCTTAAACCTTTGTCCAACGCACTGTGGGTGCATTATGCAAGACCTACCAATGGTGCAAATCTCGTATAGAACGATTCCAAAACTCCACCTACAAATTCGAGAGAAAAAAAAGTTTAATATTTTCTGTCTTAAGATTTAAGATCCCCTCGCCTTATTCTAGCTAAATTGAGCCGTCAGATTTTTCGATTTTACTTTTTCTTTTTTTTTCTTTGAAAGAGGAGTTACGCGTTTCAAGTTTGCAGTTTTGTTTATCTCAACTTACACGTCACTTTTCGTTGAGTACTCCATCCTTCCAGACATTGCTTCAATTGCTGTCCATTTAACAGGAATTCGGCCCTGTATTGATAGAAGTTTGCGAGAAGAAGCCTTCATTTTCTGAGGATACATTCAATTTTCGGTGATCCCCTTTTGGAATAGCTGGGCCATTTAGTGTTTTCTTCTCCCTTTCTTTTCTATTTTTCTTCTTCTTTCTTTTTCTCTCTTCCTTTCCTTTCTTCATCTCTTTTTACCTTTCCTTTTTTCATAATGATCGAATCTCAAATTGCGCTAGTTTCTAAGACATCGAAGGACTCTAGCACATCCATCTCGATCCGTCGGTTATAAAGTAAATTATTTAATAAATCATAAATATAGAGAAAGAGAGTGAAAGGCAAACGTATGATCTGCAGACCGGGGTGTGCTTACATCTCTCATCACTTCATCTTTATCTAAGTTCACACGGTCATTATATTCAAAATATGAGTCAAGATGGATGTCCTTTCATTATTGAAACAGTTTGGGTAGGATAACAACTGAAAAATGAAGTTACCTGATTACGTGGTATATAAATATCTTTCATATCAGCATCGCGAGCCATTCCAAAATCTGTAATCTTGCATCTGAGGTTATCACCAACCAATACATTCCTTGCTGCTAGGTCTCGGTGGATGATCTATTGAAAGAAAACAAAAACAAAAACAAAACTAAACAAACAAAAGAGATTATGAATTGAGGATACAAGGGGATGTTGTCATAAATAATTCTCAATTGAAAACGCGCACCCTTTTAGATGAGATATACTGCATGCCGTCAGCTATCTGCCAGGCGAACGTTATGATCTGCTCTGAAGTTAGATTCGTCGTTGGTTTTATCTCGGGATATTCGTAGTAACAGTCGTGCAACCCTCGACTTCTCCGAAGATAACCAAGAAGATCTCCGTAAGGTACATACTCAATGATTACATATGGGGTTTCTATAGAATGATAAAACTGCTTTCAAAATATACATTTGCAAAGCATATTCAGAGACAAAGGTTTTCTGAAAAGAAAGATTTTGTTTGGACAATGTTTGATCTTTCAAGGTTGAATCGTACAGTGAGTAAACTGTTCGGCGCAAATGAGATACATGGTTGACTACGAAATGATCATATGATCGTAACAGGCGATCAGGAAAAACTCACTTTTTCAAACTTTTTAAGGGCTTGCTTCTATATGAACGCATGGCTTTTTGAAGAGTAAAGATACATCTACAATTTGCTCCTAAATCAAAAGATTTTTAGGAAATAGACGCACTATCCTTTTGCTCTTAAAAATACTCAAAACTCGGTCATTTTAGTTTGAAAGTCACTTTTCCTGAGCGATTTTCTAAAAACCATCATTACCCACGAAAAATCAATGCACGGCAAATGGCAAATCATTGGCCGATGGGAATCTTTATCCTTTTCAGTTCGAAAATTTTAATACTAACGCTATTTACATAAATAACTTAGAAAACTAAAATTACTAATATTTACCACAATAATGGCACTGCTGATAGAAAAATGATTAATTTACAATGCAAAACAAACATTTGAAGAAAAAAAACGAAAATTGTTTTACGGGCAAACATTTTTAAATTTACTATACTTCATGCATTATTTATATGCCTACGTGAGTGGAAGGAGTAATCAATAGGGTAATCAGTAAATATCCTTAAATTTGTGTAAAAATAGAAACATTAAACTGTATGAGTGTTTGACGTGATCAATTATACATGTAATTACCTTTTTCTTCTGTGATGCAACCCAAAAGTTTTATTACATGTGGATGGGGTTTCAGCCTCTTTAGAAGGTTTAATTCAGACAACAGATCTTCTCTTTCACTTTCCTTCGCATCCTCTGTTGATAAAAAGAAATAATGAACCCTTTTTGGCTAAAGGAAATTACAGGGGACGGAGATGAAGTTGAACCCTGCGGTGGAGGCCTCAGGCCAGGTACTGAATTGCCTTAGCTTGTCGCAGATAAAGGTAAAACTCTGTTTCTTTCCTCTCTTCTTTCTTTCTTTTATTCTTTCTTTCTTTCTGGCCTCTGTGTTATAAGGATTATTTATCCATTCTAATAGTATTAATGGCTCAAATGTGATTTTTTTCACATAATTTGGATCATTTTTCCCCAGAGATAAGAATCGAAGAGCCCGCTTAAATTTTCGTTCACTTCCCTCCACTAGCCTTGTAGCTTCTTATTAGGTAGAAGGGTCCAATTATTAACTGGAAGTACGACTTCAAATCCCGTCAAAAAATGAACTCTTTCGGGCTTATCTTTGAAATTTCTTTAATTGCGTTTCATTTGCAGGGAACAAGCATTTCTTTTCTTCTTAAAGTTCCTCATCTTTAACTTTTTCAAAATGGTTTGTTTTATGCAATTTAGACAACTCAGTTTTTTTGATCGATCCTTGTGATTTACATCATTACTCGTAAAGTGTTACCCTGCAAGCTTTTTACTGCCACAACTGTCCATTCTGGGTAGCCCTGCAGATATCGAGCGTAGGCTTTGGAGACCACTCCAAACGCACCGTGGCCAACTACTCTTTCAATCGCCAAGTCTTCCTTCCGAAACTCCCAGGACGGAACCGGATCCATCGGCACTCTATTGGAAAAAGTAGAGAAATTATGACAAAGGAAACTAGTACCCCATTCACACCAGCAAAACACGTTTTGTTAAACCGTGTTTAACTGAAGGAAAATCAGAACCAATAGGCTACATTTGAAGTTGACAAACAATTGTCTAAGCAGCTTCTATGAAGAAAAAAAATTAAACCGTGTTAAACAAAGGAGCTTTAAAACATGTGTAAGCTTTATGGTGAACGGGCTATAACTTAATGATAATTAAAGAATTAAAGCTTTATTCATTTGTCGTAATTCTTATACTAACGGTAGAGGGCCTGATTTCTGAGAAGGAATGCCCACGGGAATTCGGAACATAAAGGGTAAACGAACTATTTAAGGTTGATACTATAACTTGACGTTGTAATATAATCATTGGTTACTTAGTGATCTATCAACCTTTACACACAACTTGATTAGAAACCACTAGACACTTACGTTTCAGCTTCTACCCGCTGGTATTGCGGTACTGATCTATTCTCGTTTGCTGAGATTTCTTTCAATAAGAGCAAGAGAAAGAATAATTATTAAATAAATAGCATTGTAGAGATTCAATCAGCTGGTAATAGAGATCTCCAGCAATTTCAAAATGAGCGTAATAAACATCCTGATGTACTGGGCAACATGGAAACCACGAGGAGTAAATCAAAACGAAAAAGGGAAAGTTGAAAATCTTAACTACTCACGTAGGAAAAAGTTACTCACTATTCACTCCAGTTCTCCTTCGGTGCTTGGAAGTCACAGCCCAAAGAAATGCAGGAATGGCGAGGATAGAGAGGTAAGGTAAGTACTCAACCCCTAATTCCCACTTTGACTTCGTGGAGCCGGCTTTCCCTATAGAAAAATTAGGTAAAACAAATACATGCATCAGGAAACGAAATTGAGCGTATAATCAAAATTTTTTAATACACTGCTCTTTAAATGCACTCGATTTCTTCAGATTTCTGTGGTGAAGGTAGTGAGAACTAGGACTTCGTTCCGACAACGATTCACTCTAAATACGATAAAATTCCCGCAAAGTAATGGAAGGTGCTCTTTGCACAGCGAAGACGTTGAGAGAGAACAGATTGCCTGTTTTTGATGTGATTCTTGCCTCCAATTATCAAATTGAGAGTGGTTTAGAGTGGTCTGTACCCTTATCGACAACGATATTCGTCATCACACTGATCAAAATGTTGTGGACCCAAGAGGCACAGCCACGCCAAACCACCGTCGGCATTGCGTCACACATTGACGCGAGCAGCGTTGTCTCTACTCTTATCGAGAACTGTAGGTAAAATGAATTTCCGCGCGAAGTGGACGTTTTAAAGTTTGTGGAAATGAATGTTTATACTGTATTTATATTTCTTCAGATTGGAATAGTTTATCGAGCGTAATTTTCTAAAAATTTATTCTGTCGGGTATTTGCATTGAGCTTTTGCGGAACATTTTAGTTTGAAAGTCACTGAGAAAGCCATTGAGCTTTTGGGGGAACACATCTTCGACGCTAACAATATCACATATTAAGAGACGATACAAGAAAGCATACCATTTGACACCGAAATGTTTGAATTCGAAGTTGTTACACTTCGCGCTGTTGCATTTTCCAGGACACCTGCATGGCAAACAATTAGCGCAATATAGTTTGGTGTCATACTAATAATATTTAATAGAGATATAAATATAAATTGGCCACCGCAGATTATCTCAAGTTAATCCAAGATTTTTCCGAGCTGACGCAATACACCATGTCATATTTGTGGCTGAAAATGATTACAAAGTGACGTTGAGAGAACTTCAAGCCCATATATAAACAGTTTTTGTTCTCTACTTTTACTTTAACCATTATCCTATCCGTAAATTGATCATTTAGCAAGTACGAGAACATACCTATACTTTGTTGTGTATTCATACCTTCCAAAGGATTTAGAGAGGATAATTCTAAATGCTCGCAATTTTGATTGACAAAGATGAAATAAACCGTGAAGTAACCAATAAAATTAACGACATCGAAAAATAATTTGTTTTTATGCAGTACAACCCCGCTTACTCGAACAGGGGTTAACTCGAATCTCCAGTAACTTGAACAAAATGCGATTCCCCTCGACCTCATTTTTGCAGTCATTTACTATCAGCTGGCTCAAGCCCCCGCTTATTCGAGCCACTTTTTTTTCTTCGGAGTCAGCGAGGTTCTAATGTTGTCTCATGTATGTATAGCATAAAACAGTAGGGGAAAAACAGGAACGAACAAAACCTACAGAACAAAAAAATTAACACAACAAATACGTTTATCGAGCACTTACTCTTTGGGGAAGCAGTTGCTCCTGAAATTGAAAAAAAGAAAAAAAAAACTCAGTGAAATAGTATTTCTGCGCAAAGTATTGGCAACTGCGCATAAGAACGTGTTTTACAATTAAATTCGATAACCAAAGATAGTCAAAAGTCAAGAGTGTACCTTTGAGAACTGTGACCCTTGCTGCTGTTCTAGGATCAAAAGAGCTCTGACCCTTCTTATTCCAAGCTGTTACCATAATCTCGTATGTCAAGCAGCAATTCAGTCTAACTGAGTATCTGTTTTGTGTAACATTCACTTTAGACCATTTTTCCTGAAGTAATGGGCGATACCACACGGTAAACATAGTTATATTGGCTCCATTATTGTCTTTAGGGTATTCCCAGGTGTATAAAAATCTCGTGTCATTGATGTCAATGTCGTTGAAAGGAAGTATTACTACAGCTGGAGGTCCTGCAAAAAAAAGAGACACAAATCAAGACAAAAATTTTGTTTTGTCAACTGAGTTGACAAAATCTTTCATTGGAGCCAATAGAGGAATCACGGGTTTTGTTTGGTTTTCAGGTAAGCTATTGCTGAAAAAATGGTAACATGAAAAACACGAGAAAAATTAGTTGAATGAAAGGCGTTCGGAGAAGCCCATATTGGGCTCGTGGCGTTCGTTGATACCGTGGGGATTGAAAGTGCAGATGTAAAAGATAAGTTTTTGTTCTATAGTTTTACGGTTAAAGTTTGATCCGAATTGCTATGAAAGACATCACTGTTTTGAATGCCCGGAAAGTAGACGAAAACAAATTCAGGCTTCTGTAGCAAAGAAACAAGACAGGAAACAATACACACTTCTTCGCGGGAGAAGACCATAGCCTAATTGGCATTGCAGGGAAACTATAGGTATTCGCCTTTTAAGAAAATCGTTCAAATTGACTGCTGTAAGGGGGTTTCTATGCTTTAAAACTCTTTATGGTGGCCAAGTTACATTACCAACTTATAAATTGATAAAACCAAATCATTCCCAAGGACGGAGAAGCGCACAGTTAATATAGTTACCTCCTTTTAATAATGGAACAAATGTGCTCGATGTAGCATTGGGAGTATGGACCCATATGGAAGAGACACTCAGTTCAGGTGTCTTTGATGTATTTATCGCCTGTGGGAAAAAATTAAATCAATACAGCTACATGTGAGTATTAGCTGAGCTACTTACTAGGTCCAGTATTTCAATTGTTTTTATATTCGTTTTATTTGTCGGTCGCAAACTTCAACCAATTAGGTTGCTACATGTTTGATATCAACACTGCAATAGTGCTTTTACCAGGCGTTGATAATCAAGCATCCAAAGGTGTCTCAAGAAGAAATACAATAACCAGAAACGGAGCATCTTTTTATTACTTAATGGGCTAATATACTAAAACCTATTATTATGACGGAAGAAGATGAAAAAGATGGAAAAACGAAAAAACTTTATTAAAAAGCATATGAGAAATTCTGATCAAGGCCTCGGCAGAAGAAAAAAAAACAGGCAAAAAACAAAGTAACAGATATTAACAAAGCTCTTCTACCACATAATCGAATGACGTGCAAATCTAAGATAATTTCCCCGGAAAATCGGCTCAGGGAAGGAACGACGAGACGACATGAATCACCGTTTGACGGTCTCTCTTTGTTCTCTTTGTTCCCAGTTTCGTGCTCGTGGAACGTGATATGTATAATAGCTCTTTCCTTCTTTGATTGAGCTGTTATCTGAACCTAACGGCACTCAAACAGATTTTGATTAAAAGTGAGCTGAGTGGTAAAGCTAATTTTATATCCCGAACTTCTTTGAGTGGATAGAATATTTTGCTAAGACAATAACCTGATAGATATGCAAGCTATCAAGATATGGTGGTCGTAACACTGAGTAATATGACCAATAATGTACATCAACCGGTACTAACTTCTCATGCATTTGTTTTCTGTCACAGATATCATGTTTAACACCAAGGTAAGCTCTAAGAACAAGTTTCAAAGCAGGTGAAAAAAGAATGCTTAAGGGATGGTATTTTTCACACACTTTTCAGATTCTTTTCATGGGAACTTAAATAGACAGTTTTCTAAAACATATGAACTTTTTGATGATAGAAGCGTTAAAACCGTGTGGAGACTGTGCCTAAATTTTGAGCGCACTTTCCAAACCTCCTCGTCAGAAACATTTTGCGCTGCAAGTTTTAAATTGCCACTAAAAACACGAACATGGAAAGTTAAAGAAAAAAATGAAAATTTGACCCTGAATTGCGTAAGAATTACCCGGAATACCGCTGCCACGAACAAGGTATCCCATAACAATTTTTCACTTGATCCCAGCTTTCCACATGAAAATGAGGGGTCATTCCTTGGGGTAAGTGAGTGGTCGTGTAGTTATATACGATTGCGCCTTAAAAGCAAGGGAAGGTCCAATCGCACATACACGCAGAAGTATCAGAATCTTACCTGGACATTTAAAGTGATCATAGAATGAATTGTTCGTCGGAAACCTCCCACGTCAATTTGACATCCGTATGTGTTGCTATCTGAGTAAATCAGATTCTCCAACTTATAGGCCAAATACGACTTTGATATGTTTCCTGCCCAAGTGACTCGCCCGACGTAACTAGGAAGTTTCTTGCTCAACTGAGGATTATGAATCACTCTTCCCTCCTTGGTTACCGTCATAAGATAATGCGTGGTATACCCATTCACCCAAAGGCCAAAAATGAACCCTGTTAGTTCTATTTTGTCCTCATCTTGAAGATGAAAATCCCATTCGAAGAGAAAACTTGCCCCTTTTGTCGTTGTAGCACTGGATTGTCTCGGTTGGATGGTGCTTAAACCTTGTCAGAATTGAAAATAAAAGGCTATTACATTTAACGTTGTTTCTTTACACGTAACTTTTCTCCCCTATCCCATCAGGTTTGTCTGGGTCATTTACCTAAGACATTTTTTATAGCTTAAATAAACAGACTATTTTTGGGGGGGTTATGGTTCAAGGCTATTAGAGGGTACTTAACCTCTTTCTTCCATTTTCTCGTGAATTGCGCGCATGCGCAAAAGCGAGTTGTAGATATGATGTGGAGGATGGCACTCGCTCGCTCGCTCGATTGGTCGATTCCTGTAAACTTTTTTTTTTTTTTAGGCTTTTGACTGCATTTGATAGTTTTTGGCGAGAAATAAACAAACGAAATGGTGACCTTTGTTTCTAAAAATAGTGGTGATGTGAAAAAGAAGCCAATGATAATCTTAAAAGAGTTTGTTATTTTCGTTTTAGTTTCAACAAGCAGCGCCAGCGACTGACAGGCGCGCGCGTGCGAGGATTCACAGTGAAATAAGAGAACCTTCGTTTTTCATAAAATTGTAATTTACAATCCTTGAACTTGAAAACAATCCGAAGATTCATTAAAAATATCACTTACTCCGAAGCGCTCGGAGTTTACAGGTGTTCAAAAGCTTTTTCTGTTATGGCGTGAGATTGGGGACAAAATCGGTCATTACATTTCGTAACGTGTGTTTTTTCTGTGTGAAGCAACTAAAGGTGCCGGCGACTGACGAAATTACAGGTTAACACGGAAATCAAATAACACCTCAACAAATAATTTTGGCTACCGATTTTCAGCGAATTTTTAAAGAAGAATTTTCTTTTAATATAAGTTTCAAGACAATTTGAAGATTCAAAATAAATATTACGCACTAAAATGCGAAAGTTCTACACCACAAAACTGATAAATAGCCTGAAATGAAATTCTATCTTGTTCTCGATGATACATTGCTTAGCACGAGACCAAAATCTACCCAGGCGGAAATCCAAAATGACGGTGGCAGTCTGGGCTCAGTTATATCACTCAAAACTCGTTTTTGTTTGTCTCATTTGATAAAGAGGGAATCATAAACGTTTTCATTAAGACTGTATTGCCTTGATTTTCCAATATTTACAATGATAGACAGTTTTCACCCACATTTATTTCCAACCTTTTCTTTTGAACCGGAAACAAAAATGATATATGTTTAAAACATGACATCATCCACCCTTGTCAAATGTAATAGCATGATCATTTCAATTGTAATGCCTTCTTATCCCAACGTTACTTTGTTTCTTTGCTTCATTAGCAAACACTGAACTACTGCTCGTACTCTAAATATGACAATTAACCACAAAATTCCCTAAACCATAAATTCCCTAATCCAAAAAATCATGTAAATCATCTGTCAATTCACGAGTTTGCTCACAGAGCACCTTGATTTGATTTCCGAGAAGATCATGTTTCCGGAATTATCTCGCCATAGAGCTTTATCGACCATGAACGAAAGCAAAAATTATAATTCAAATACAAATTGTATTCATTGAAGAAAGTCAAGGCTATCATTTAGAGGTACGAGCGGCATCAAATCAAATCGAAGTATCAGAACCGTGAATTGTGCTTTAAGTGATAACTTCAAGGCATCAGTCAGTGAATATGTCTAACTCGTTGAAACAACTCTCTGTCGATATTTAGTCGAACACCATTCAGATCTACAGCAATATCTTTACAGAACCCCGACACGCGCTAATGCCATCAATTATTTGGAGGAAGTCGCCAAAACACACGTTCAAACTCTCCTTGAAGGATAAGGAAACCAACATACGAAAAAACCGAAAGTTTCTCTTCTCGTGTTCAACTCGTCCGCCACGCTCACTCGTGAGCTATCGAGTTGAAGACTCGGGGAGAAATTCCACATCAACACGCGCCTATATTACTCTCTATTTATATTCATAGTCGAACATGAAAAGCATAGGAGATGTTGCTTCTAAAATTCATGTCTCACCAAAGCTAACTCTAAACTATATGTGTCGCCGTCGCTTCCGCCTTTCGCTAAACCAACAATTTCACACGATGTGATTCCCCTAATACCGCTAAAAAGCGTGCGAGGATTGATTGAGGCTTTTATATGACTAAACTAACCTGTTACCAGAGCTGGCACGAAACATATAAAGAATGGGATGTAAAACTCGATAATCTTCATTCTTGATGCTCCTTAACTTCGTGAAGTAACGATCGTTTCTTAGAATAATGACATTCACCCATATCAGTTTCGACGTATCTGTTTTCCGAGAAACAAATAAATACTAACGCAGCAAGCGCTGTCTTGTTCTTGATATCTCAGCTTACTTGACAATAGGAAAGCGATCGATGTGCTGAGAAAAGCATAGAAAAGAGGTTAAGTGGTATATCAAGATAACAATATTATAGTAATTGATGTTCAAAAATATAAACCCTTCGTAGCCGTCTTTTTCGCATGTCACGCATGGGTGAGCTCGTTGTGTGACTAGCCTAGTGGACCACTGCAAAGGAAAAGGAACGAAGTTTGTCGAAAAACTTGAGAAAAAAACAAAACAAAACAAAACAAACAGTCGGTATTAGGAGAAAATTTGTCGGTGGCTTACTCTCAGCTACTTTGAACAGCGATATTTTTAAATCTTGATCATCGACCCTAAATAGACCCATTTCCTGTCCTTGAAATGAGGTCGAACTCGAGAGCAAAACAGTTGACAGAATTGTTCTTCAGTTCCTCCGGCGTTTTTATCCCCTCCCGCCCTAAGTTGCTTTTAATTTTCACGGACAGACGCGATATTTATAGGTTGATCAGGGGTGGTACCCTTGAATGTCGTAGTATTTGCGATCGTCTAACATATCATTGCTTGTACTTTCCACCATCTATGACTGATGAATGTTTCGAAAGATAACGATGTTATGATTAAATGACTGACAGGTTAGTGAGATGTTTGACGGAACGAAAATAAAGACGACCCTTGGCCCACAGACCGCTGAGTGCAAGGTTTAAACAGAAAAAAAAAAAGAAAAGAGAAAAACTCAACAGTCTACTTTTTTTGACATCGACTTGTTTTATTTCCCTTTAGTTGATGTTATCAAGGGATCTCTTCACTAAAAATGGTACAATCCACTTTAATGTTCCTTTGCTATATTTTCAAACGTAGCGTACTCAACTTGTCAACAAGGATTTTTTCGAGTACAAAATAACCAACTGTCCAAATAATCGAACACTGTAACGGGTAATTGTATCAACATTAATTTGCTCGAATTTGATTTGTTCCAAGAGATGATAAACTGATATTCTCTTAGTGGTTCCTAACACCCCTTATTATGGCTTTTTCAACTCCTATCAGTCCGATTTCATCTATTTCGCGCTCAAATTAAGCGGTGAAATAGTACAAAAACTCTCGACTTCTTGCGCAACATTGTTTCGTTGCAAGTAAAGAAATTTGTTGCGAAAAGTAGAGCGTGGCTTTGTTGCTCGTTTTTCATCAAACTCACAACTTGTCACGAAACAAATTTGCAAATCAACCAATCAGCGCGCTTCATTTCTTCAACCTGCAACAAATGTTTTTGTTGCGCGACAAGTTGATCATGCATGGTGAAAAACGGAAAACATCGACCGAAACTTGCAACGAACCAATGTTGCGCAAGAAGTCGAGGGTTTTTGTATCTCGTATTTCGCCGCCTTTACTAAAACATGACGACCAATCAAATTTCAAGGCTTGTTCAAAGAAATCAATCAAATTGCAAGAAAATGAGAGACAACTTTTGCGACTTTTTATAAACCGGCTCAATATACTGGATCAATAAAATATTTGAACAGAATGAAAATACCTTGTATTGCCTTACTGAATTTTGCTATTTCAAAATATATGTAATAAAGTGCTAATTAAACTTCGTGTCTTACAATTTTGATATGAAATCATCCTTGTGATTTCAATCAAACTTGCGCTGCGAGTTTATGAAATCACACGGATGATTTCAGACCAAACTGCACTACACTCAGTTTCATTATCAATAGAAATTGCAGTCCACTAAGCCCAATTATCCATGCATATTTGCACCTGCTTCGCGCATTATTTGTATTTTCCATAGTGAAAATGGATAATGTAAGACGAGGACAAAGAATACAAGTATTTCAAAATCTCTTGACGAGTGCTAATGAACAGATTATTAACTACAGATGGGTAAAAAAAATGCGGGCATTTCACACTTTTCTCAAAATATTTGGGAAATAGAAGTAAAATAGTTCGTTACAATTTACAGTTCTTTTATACACATCTTTTGCATATACAACTCTGGAAAAGCTTGATTATCAGCCGTTTTGTCGCTCCGCGCCAGTTTTTCCTGCGAGTGCAAAAGATTCCCAACAGCAGTAGTAGTATGAATACCAAAAGAGATAAGAGAGATATGAGCACAATTAAAAGAATTGTTCCTCCAGAAAATCTTGCACCCCCTAAAAAACAACACAAATGAATAAATACATGATTGAAGAATAAAAAAACCTTAGGGGTGGAAAATTGAAATTTTCATTCAAAGCATAGATTGGAGTTAAGTTAATTGAAATTAGGTCTTCATTTCTTCATTTATTTCGCGTCAAATATTTTTCAGAATCAGTTTCTCTTTAAATTAAGCTTCATTCTCCTAATTAGGACTCAAAACACATGGTGATAATCTTCCTGCTGCCGAGCGAGCTGTACAGGAAAAAAATCCTCGTAGGTTTTGTTTTATACAACCTATATTATATTGTCTTCAACCTGTATTGAACGGTCACTAAAAGTGGAACCACACAAATAAAACCAATTGTATTTATGAGGTAGTTTCTGTGCATAAAGTGGTCAATTGTGGTACAAAATGGCACTATTTTGTGAAATCTGCATAGCAGTCAACCTGTATGAAGCGGTCATGCTGCCATTCCGCGTGAGTGATCGCTTAACACAGGTTGGACTGTAACTTGTTTTTCTATTAAAGGGAGAGGATGTAAGTAGGAATATGGATGAGAAGGTGCATGTATTGAAGTGGAGGAGAGAAGCAGAGGGAATCAGTTCATATGAAATTCATCGAGTGCGGCTTTGAGACATACTAGAGTTAAGTTCGATGATAAACAAATACCAGTAGGAAAGAATTTGGTCGTGAAAAATAGGATTGATAAAAATCAATGCAATCCTATGTAATTTTGGACACACTCAGTTAAAAGTTGCTCCAGAACTGACATTGAAAAAATCGAAATAGAACACATTGTACTTACCTGATGTTGGTGAGGATGACGGGGTTTGGAAATCTAAGGGTAGAAACGAAGTGACAAAGTGAATCACCGGTATACTTTGCCTAGCTGTCCATATCTTATAGAGGCTTAAAAATTCTATTTTATGGCAGGGTAGTCCTTAGGTAAAAAAGGGATTGATAAAAATTAATGCAATGCTATGTAATTATGGACACACTCAGTTAAAATTTGCTCTAAAACTGACATTGAAAAATTAACAAATAGATTCCAAGTTGCCGTGCGTCTGTTCAGTAATAGATCAAAGATGACGTCAAAATGTGGTAAGAACAAAAAAGTGGCACACGAGGCGCAGCCGAGTGTGTCACTGATGTTCTTACCACATTTTGACGTCCTCTGTGATCTAGTACTGAACAGACGCACGGCAACTTGGAATCTATTTGTTTTATATAATAAAGAATTAAAAAAAGTTTTAATGATGACGTCATCTATGCGTCTGTCCTCCAATAGATCATAAGTGAGAACCAATCAGAATGCGTGCGTAACTGAGCTTATTATATAAATTGAAATAGAACGCATTGTACTTACCTGATGTTGGTGAGGATGATGGGGTTTGGAAATCTAAGGGCAGAAACGAAGTGACAAAGTGAATCACTGGTACAATTTGCCTAGCTGTTCATATCTTACAGAGGCCTAAAAGTTATACTTTATGGCAGGGTAGTCCTTAGGTAAAAAAAGGATTGATAAAAATCAATGCAATCCTATGTAATTTTTGGCACACCCCAATTTGCTCCAAAACTGACATTGGAAAAATTGAAAAAGAACACATTAGAACAACCTACCTGGTGCTGCAGTCGTCCTTACCGGCTGACCTACATACAGAGGGAAAAAAAATTGGAAGCGTCTGAGTAAGTGTGTAGCTTTTCTCTAAAATAGCAGTAGGTTTAAATAAAAAATAATTATCAAAACAGAACAGAAGAAAATAAGAGAAATAAAACAAGCAAAAAAAAAACAAAAAGAGTGACAAACATCACGAAGAACAATAACAGAAATGAATAAACCAAAAGCAGCAAAGTTTCTCTGCGTTTCTTTTCATGACTGGCTTCATCTACTCTCACGAAGCTAGCTTAACTACAAATAAAATCAATACCTTCAACATTAACGTCAAATGTCAAGTTATCGTGTCCCAATGGATTCTTGGCGTAACAGGTGTAACGTCCGCCTTCTAATACAGTGACTTTGCGAATCTTAAGCCTTGTTTCTGAATCGACATTCGATTTATTTTGTAGGAGATAGTCACGATGTCTCCAAGTTACCCACGGGTAAGGATACCCTTGCACTCGAACATCCAAATGAAGATCGTTTCCTTCAATGACCTGAGGCTCTGGAGGACTCTCTCGTGTTAATTGTGGGGGTTCTAAAAAAAATCAAAATTATCCAACTACTGTAAAGAGGTTCGCATTCCTTAAGCGACAGAAAAGAAAAGCAAAGATATAAAGAAACAGCGTCCGAAGTGATAAGATTAGTAAACGAAGGCGAGGAGTGGGGAAACTTTAAGGGCCAAAAGCCATATTTTAAGATCAAAATTTAAAGAACGGAGAAGCAATTGCTGGTACACTTACCAGTCCAATTTGTTTCTTTAGCTGACAGTCTTATTGTAAACTTGTTTTAAACAGAACATTTTAAGGGCACGTTAAGCTACCGGGACCCTCAATAAATGGATCCCTGACGTCACCTGTGGGTTTCTGTTGCTTCCCGTCCTTGCTCCGTATTTTTATCTCAGGATTCTCTAATTATCCTTATCCCACAGAAAAACAACATTCCAAATGTCATTTGTTCCTTGAAACCATGGACAACAAAAGCCACCACATGGATTGTCCACTGCTAAAAATATAAATTCCCATTGTATTATTACTATTATCACTTATATAAATATCACCTTTGGCTATATGGAGGATCGTCGTGGAATTTTCTTTCCCTATAAACATCTTCTGGGGAATACAGATAAACCATTTTCCATCATCCGCAGCTAGTACCTTCTTTATAACTAAGGTGCCGTTGGTGTAAACTTCAAAGTTTGGGTCGGGAACTGTCACTCTCATGTTTTGAACACGTGCTATCCGGGACTTGTCCAACTCATGTTTGCAATCATAGGTAGAGCAGCGGTGCCAATCGATCCTTTTAACATTTTCTGGATCACTGACTGCAGAGCACGACAGCAAGAGTCTCTCGTGAATTTTTACTGTAACCTCAGCAACTATCAAATAAAGGGTGATATAGTTTTTTTGAATTTTTTATTTTAATAGCATAACTTCTTACTTTCATTACCAGTACCTCCCTTTTTCTCCGATTTTTTAATCAGGAGTGTTCGGTGAGCTTCTTTTCAAAAACTTGCATATAATCACACGCTGACCGATTTTAAGCGTACGATTTAAATATGGTACACATTTTAACTTTTCATTATTTTTATCATTATCACTGTCATTATCAGTATTATTATTACAACTATTATCATTATTACTATTTTTACTTTTATTATTATCATTATTGTAATTATTGCAATTAAATGTATGTTAAAATTCTCCAACTCGAAAGTAGGAACTGGACTTCAGACAGTACGCGCCAAGTGCATGTGCTGTTGTCGTGCATTTCGGAGAAATTATAAATTAAATTATTGAAGACGTAGAACCTTTGGCTAGTTTTTGCTCTAAATCTTCCTCGTGGTCGTCCGATTTTTTTACCGTGGCCAATTTACGTTATTAACTCAGCTGATAATACTAAATTACCCTGTTATACTCTCTCACCGACGCAGCACCACAGTTTCTTTAGAATCAGTCATCCAGGAGCTGTGAGTCGCTTTCAAATCGGAGCGGAAGAGCCCCTGACTTGAAATCGATTCACAGCCCCTTGGTCTCCGAGGATGGTTTTCAGTCTGATTACCACTACTTTATATATCTATCGTTATTATTTTTTTATTATCAATGTTATCATAATTGTTAATATTATTTTTTGTAATGCGTGCTTCGTGAAATTACTGAACACACGACGCCCTCGCGATCTGCTTGACTGAATCGCCATTGATATGCCGCAATTTGAGTTCATGAATAAAATTTACCAAATGTTTTGTAGTAGTTTATCATGCAAACCAAGGCTTGGCTTGGATAAGTGATGGGTATATGTCTGACAATTCTCTCTGCACTGATTAAAGTATCGAAAAGGCCGCCAAAGAACTTATTGCTTTGACTTGTTTACAACCAAAGACTGACATAACATTAAAGCGGCTTTCTATACTCAACTCCGATCGCCAGCTCAAAAGTTTGTGTTACAATAACACTTATTGATAATGCCGAAAAATGCCGTATATTTTAAGGAGGGATAAAGTTTTTTTTGTAGCTGATCATGATAAGGTCCACAAGTGAGTTCTTTATCGCGCGTATCGCATTAACTAACGCTAGGCAAGACTTTGGAAATGAAAATTCAAGCAGTCATGAATTAAACAAAACCACCCGCGAATCAAAAGTAACGAGTTTTAAATTTCGATTCATTCCGAAGGCGAGAAGGATTCCACAACAGCGGAGAAACCATGTTCTTATTGCGACTTCTCCGGCTGCGAAATAGTATTGATGCCGCCATAGTTACAAGTAACTCAAACATCTGCCGGACAGCGTGTAGATTCTGGGGTTTCATTAAACAAACTTAAGTGCTCTAATAGACGTACCTTTGGGTCTCTGGATTAAGCTCGATGAAAAGAAGAAATTTAGAAGAATTATTCCCAACGAAATGTGCATACTAGGTAGAAATTCCGCTGCAAAATGAATCAATGTTGGTTCGGCGAACAGTTGACAGTCGCTTACGAGTTTACTGAAAAAGTGAATTTAATTACTTGGTCAGGTCAAAAAAATGATGAACTAAGGTTAGCAATGACGTCAATAGCAAAAAGTCACACAACATCCTCCTTTAATTTTGCTTAAGTGACCATTTTACGGGATAAGGGGTAGGAAAGTGTTTTTCTCAGGAACGAATCTCACATGTTTTAAACAGTCCACGAATCTTCCTTTTTATCCATTTATTTATTCATTTTAGTGGTGATGAAAACACGTGTTTCATATAAGAAGCTGACAAGGTCTCTGTATGTTTCCTATTGGAGCAAAAATTATTTAACAGAAAATCGTCATGCTTAATGAATTTCATCTATTCGTTTCATTGGTTAACTGGGATTATGTTTGCACAAGGCTTTGGCCCGATAACGTGAGGCTGGCGAAATTTTAAAACAGTGTTTTCATTCGGAAACGCAGCAATCCCTTTATCACGGTAGAAACGATAAAAACGCATGCATGCAACTAATGTAGGTTGAACCATCCCATCAAAAATTGGAGGTTGAGCTGGAATATCTCAACCTGTACATTAAGCATTTTTTCAGTTCGGTTCGAGTGCATATTAGTGCGTCGTACACAAATTATATACTACCCTGCGAGTACCAGGAATGGCAAAAACGCCCTGGTGGTCACTTCACAAGTAAGCATCCTCTTCTTGGCCAGTCGACCTTCCTGCTCATCTGCAAGGCACAAAATCGATTGTAAAAAAGGAACAGTCTTCCTCACGGAAATGAATGCTGGAAACATGGCGAAACCTGAAAATTTTGGGTTGAAAATAATAGTTCCACGATGTACGTAATAACGTCAACATGATATGGATCTTGACATGTTACATACCTTTGTTTGGTAGTTCTGTTGGTACTTGCCGACTCGCTTGTTCCAAAATTCCACTTCCAATTTAGAAAAAGCTAGAAAGAAGTTCAGGAAATGGTCGAACATGGTACAAATTGACTGGTGGCGTGACAGCTTCAGCTGAGCTCCGTGTAGTTGTACTCTGATAGAGCACGCTCTTTTAATTAATGAAAGCGTGCGTTATATCCGAACTTTATTATGATATGTCTTGTACCCCAGTTTAAATTTTACTTTCTTCATGAGCTGCTTAAATCCATGTTTGTCAACTTCAAAGTTAGCACATTGAAAATACAAGCCAGGGAATACTTGGATCCTACGGAAAAAGCATGTTTTAAGTTCTTTGTTAAGGATTTCATTCACGCTGTTTAACTAAACATGTTCTGTATGAATCGGGTGTTAGTACTGAGGTCTGACAAATGATCAAATAAAAAAATTAAAGATCTCAGTCAATCATGGGAAGTTTTTTTTTTTCCTCTCAGGGACCCTTCCATCGTGTCATTGGCCAATACGCTAAATGTGATACTGTTTTGAGAAATATGCCACCATTGATACTTGCATCATAGTTTTTGTAAAAATTCACTATACGCTTTCGCCCAATCAGAAAAGAGATAGTGATTTAACGTATAATAATTCTAATTATCGTTCCTTTCATAATAATTGTCACAATAGTTATTATTATCGTTATCATCATCATCATCTACGGAGATTTGAAATTTTTTTGGACTCCTCGGACTGGCTAGTCCACCAGCTCACTCACAATAACTTGTCATTGGCAGTACAACTCGAAATCCAAACTCCCAAGGGTGCGAACAGAAAGTTTAAGAAACAAAACAAATGCAGGATAAGTAAATTTTATTTCTAACTTCTTACACAAAAAAAAAAAAAAAAAAAAGAATTTTTAAACACCATAGGTACATTCTTATTTTAATCTCTAATAGGTGGTCTCAATGAAGTTAACGCCATTAGGCTTAAAAGTGGATAAATTTAAACAGTTAAATATAGTTAGCCATAAAACTTTTTCTTGTAATCACAAATGAAGTAAAGTAACCGATGTCCACAAAACGGCCAGAATTTTAACCGTTAGTCGTAAAAGCCATTTCCCCACTGCGTCGGTTTCATGAAATTCACATTAACAATTATCTAATGGCGCTCAGATAGCCTTGATTACATTCGGTTATTTTTTAAAAAAATTGACCTGCTTTTAAGTAGCTGTTGAGGCGAAAACCTCTCATACGTATTAAAAAATACAGCGGAAAATGCTGCTTTAGGATGTAAAATACGCTTCAAATTCAAAGAATGTATAAAAAAAGTACAAGACATAGACATGACATCCACAGAAAATAAAAAAAAATTCAAATAATTTTTGTAAAATAAATCTTTCAGTTTTACAGCAATCCATGCCAAGTACCGTTTTAGAGCAGCAAATATAACTAATAACGACACTAAGATTAAGGTACATATGCTCTCTAGATTTCACTACTTTAAAAGAGTACATGCATACGCATTATCTACATTTTCCACCGAGAGCAATTGCCCCACGATTACGGTCGAATGCTACTACGGTATCAAATTGCTGGTACACATTTTCAGCGCTGTTAATTTGTTCCTTGGCAATGCTTTCGTTACTACTATTAGCTGTAGTGTTGCATTTTTCATCAGTTACTTCCAAGGTATTCTGCTTCCCTTGATTTAGGTGGCAATTACAAGCTTTGCACAAAACTAGTATCAACGCTACGACAACGCCTATCACCGCCAGAATAATTACCAACGCAAGGACAGTCGGATTACTGAGAGCTGTCGTAAATTTTACATCGTTGCTGCATTCATCTATGAATAAATAGGTCATCATTCTCTGTCAGTTTATTATACTCATTCAACCTGATAACAGGGCTCCTGGGCGGCACCATGCATAAGCTTAAACCTCATATTCTACAATCTCTTTAAAGCTTCAATCAGGACAGCAATTTAAGTTTAGACACAGGGCGTGAAATTGCGCCTAATACAGGCGCCAATGCGACTAAATTTTTTACTTTGGCGACCAAATCCTGAAAATTAGTCGCCAAATTGGCGACTAGAATGTTTCATCATAACCTTACCTAAAGATATAGTAAATTAAAAAGATTTGCAAAGACAAATCCGCAGCAAACTTCCCCGTTAAATTTGTTTCCAAAACGCAGCACATGCATTAAGATCGATGACTAGACGCCATCTTGGATTTAGGTGAGCTTGAACGTTGCATATCATCCATCCTAGTGTCCACTATGTAGCACGTTAAAGATCTTTTCCCTAACCTAATTTCTAGAACGATGACAGCGTAAAAAAAAGGGTTTGTTTGTCTTTGAAAATGGCGACCAACTTCTTTTGAATTGGCTACCACTTTGAAGAATTTAGGAGCCAAGTGGCTATCAGAAAAAAAAATTAATTTCACGCCCTGAGACATCTGTTGCATTCAAGCGTCTTCCCCTTATGCGTAACTCGGATAAAACGTCAGGTATATCAAACTCTGAAAACCAAGCTTAGATCACAAATCGTTGCGATGGGTTAAGAGTAACGCATTCATCATTTGGAAAAATCGATGCGACGGTTAACAATAACAACAAAAGCAACAGGTGGAGCAGAAGAGATGAATGAAGTCAGTCATTCAGTTATATAGGAAATTCGTTTACATTTGTATTGGTTTGTATTTTTTTCCTCGGGGAAAAAACAAACAAACAAACAAACGAGGGTATACATACTTGAGGGAGTAGAGTCTGAAGGTTTAGGAGCCTCTGAGGTTGGGATGTCACCTTAATGGGAGATAAAACATAAGATTTTAACGTTACAAAAACTATATATCTCAATTAAATACAAGCATAGATGAGAGAAGAAGTTACCATAATAACGATTCACTAAGAAGAGGAAAGAAAGAAGAGGAGGAAAGAGCAGGGAGAGAAAGTACGGATTGCAGTGTTTACCTGGTAATGGTGAAGATGAACGGCCTGGGATGCCTGAATGCAGAAGAAAATACAATAGACACCTCAGCCATGGTTTTCAATGTGTAGTAATCCTTAAACAATAGGTAAATAATTTTCTTAACTGAAAAGAAGAGGGCTCCAATGCAAATAAATAAAGGACCGTAAAAACTTGTGTATGAGCCGCAATGGTAAGTGAGCCACACCCCCAAATACTATTGGTGCAATGCTCCATAAATTGTTTTTTTATTTAGGAAATTAAGGTCCTCTGATGGCATCTAGTACACAGAGCTCCCTTCTCCATGACTCTAAGTGGCAATTCTTTGCTTATGTGAAAATTTATACCCAGGAATCCCAGGAAAGTATCTCCCATCATGCATGGGGAGAATTTTCTCGATAAGTAAAGTCCCATTGAGGAACACACTGTAATGAGGATTTTCAAGCGTTACCTTCTGCATGAAATGGATGTCAGCTATCCAATGTTTATCCCACTCATTATTGCAATGGCACGTTGGGCAGGAAAACCACCCAATGAGCATCCCATATTCTGGCTGCCTCAGTGAACACTGTAGCAATACACTCTGGTGAATTCCTACACGAATTAGTTCTGAAGCTGTGTGATAATGAGAAAATAGTTTCACTACATTGGCATTACATAGAGACTAATACATTGGTGTGTGTAGATATAGAAGTTCTCCTCAAGCGCTTACCGCGATAGCTCATAATTGAGATGTCTCGTTGGATGCAAGAACAGAAATTTCATATCTACAAGCCATCAAGTACTATTTTATTTAACATATAAAAACAAAAGCCTTTTACTGACAAGATAAGTCAACTTTGAAATGAATAAAAATAAAAGGATCGACAATCCCTGAATAAAAATCATGAGGGGCGTTGGCGCTAAGGCTCAAGATGAAACTTTATGCCATGGATAAGTTGTAAAATAACACTTTCTCCAAAGAGTAGAGATGGATTAGCAAAAAACTAACTCATTAAGCAATTATTGGATGATAGTGAATTATCAAAACTGAGCTCTAGGTTTTTTTTCAAAGCCAAAGGCTTAAGCAAACAACACAGACAACAGGCTTAAAAATTCATGATATCAATCGCCCAAAAAAAAAACTGAATTGGACACTACCCTCTAAGTTTGCAAAAAAAAAATGAGAACACTACACAGACAAAGAGCTTGAAAACTAGGTAGACTTTGACCTTGGCATGATAAATACACATTATAAATCAGATTTTTCATTCTAAGTATAATGTGTAATAATTTATAAAATCACGAAGGCAATTGTACTATAATTTTGAAACTCCAATGCAATTTAGCTATCTGACTAACAATGCGTGCCGAAAAAGTAGTCAAGTATACTGTCATAATGAGAATTATGATGATAATAGAGTAATAGTAATAATGATAATGCAACAATGCTGACAGCAATGAAAAATAATAATAATAATAATAATAATAATAACGGTAATATCAATAATAATTATAATAAAAGTAATAACAGTGAAAATAAACCAAGAAAAGAGTAGAAAAAGTGGTGATAAAATATTATATGGCATCTTTTTGTAAAGGTCTTATCAAAGGGATCCTCAAATTTGCAAGCATTTTTAATTCTCTCAATGAGGATCTCAAATTGTTGTGACTTCTGGCTCAAAGAAGCTGTGGCTGTTATTGCTTCTTAAACTAGTTTAGGTTCTCGGAAGAGACTAGTGGGCCTTAATGTATAATGACATGTTTAGTCATGAAAGTTACAAAACAGAAGCATGTTCACAAGATTTACAGTGGCAATATCACACTAAAAAAATAGTAATCTTTATGCAGTATGAAAAATTTAGTTAAAAACATGTGCAAGAACCCTGTTGGTAAGTTTGCAAGACATGTTTTGACATTACTTGTGTCATTTTCAGCTGCAAATGCCATGTTACAATTTGAATTGAACTGACTCTACAAATACATAAATGAAATACGACAGAAAATTACTCTATACAGAGTTGTGAATTATTGAATGAAATGTAATAGGAAAATAAACTGTGATTCAATGAGAAATTTTTGCTAAACAAAAACTGAACATGAAATTCTTTGCTAGTCTAATGTGCAGGTCAATGAATATCTCCTGTATTATATACTGGTAGCTGGTTCTAGACAATTTGGAATTAAAACAAAAATTGGACTGAATTTATGCATTTTCAAACAAATATTTATGATGGCTACTTGGAGTCTTTTAGGCACAGTGATTAATTGGTCAATTACAAACTTATTTATGACCTTCAGCCTGATCTGCCATGATGTCAGAACATAATGTATGTTTTTATACAACAATTTTCCCTTATCAAAGAAAATCAGTAAGCTACAAAATACTTGAGATTAAGAAAAATGATCAGGAGATAGTTAAGGCTGTTATCATGTAATTTCCTCTTTGGATTCAGCAACATTCTAACTTAACTAGGTGCATTTATGTGGATGAAAGTACAGTGATGCAGTGATTTAATTTTTTTTTCTGATAGCCAATTGGCTCCTAAATTCTTCAAAGTGGTAGCCAATTCAAAAAAGTTGGTTGCCATTTTCAAAGACAAACAAAATCTTTTTTTTACACTGTCTGTTCTAAATAGACCCACCAAAATTAACCCTCTAACTCCCATGAGTGACTGCGACAGAATTTCTCTCTACAATATCAACACAATATCAAGCAGACAAGTGATGAGAGTAAAGAAAAATATCAGTTAAGGGATTATAAGTTGATCCAATACATAATTCTCCAAACTAACATCACAAGAACTGTATGGCAGACAGCAAGGAGAATAAGTGATGAGATCTTAGGAGTTAAAGGTTTAAGTAAAGGAAAAGATCTTTAACATGCTAAAAAGTGGACACTAGGATGGATCATATACAACGTTCAAGATGGCGTCTACTTTTCGATCAAGATGCACGTGCTGCGTTTTGGAAACAAACTTAACGAGGAAGTTTGCAGCGGATTTATCTTTGCAAATCTTTTTAATTCACTATATATCTCGATGAGGTTATGATGAAACATTCTAATGGCCAATTTGGCGACCACTTTTCAGGATTTGGTCGCCAAAGTGAAAAATGTAGTCACATTAGCGCCTGTATTAGGCGCAATTTGACGCCCTCTTAAATGTTACAAGTAAAACATGAAGCTTTCGAGAGCCACATTATTAACAAATGACCGACATGATTTATTGGCTTTGCTTTTCATATCGACAGATAGCAGATTTTGGGGGGAAAAGTTTACCTCAATGCTGCTAAATTTTTCGCTGCAAAATGACTCGAATGCTGTCAGGACATGGCTAAAGTTTCTGCTAATTTAGCAGCTCATAGCTCATAATCGACAACAATTAATGGCGACAGCTGGCCGTCTAAAGCTGGCGAGAGCAGTGCTTACTCGAATGCGGTTAAAAATTAGTAAAAGACTGACGTAGGTCTCGCTCTTAATTTACCCGAGGGATAGAAAGGGTCGCCAAAGTTCTCGTGAGCCGGTGGGAACTGTTTACACATCGAACACACATTAGTTTGAATGTCAGACAACTCGCCCCCTGGACAATTAGCCCCAGACGATTAGCCCCCAGTCTCTGGACGATTAGCCCCCCGTCTTTGGACGATTAGCCCCCAGTCCCTGGACGATTAGCCCCCAGTCTTAGTTTATGTAAAGGAGAAGTTACGTTCATTTGTTGGTCATTGACTTTTATGAGTTTGTGGCTCCTAAAGGAGCCCTTTTTTTTGTGAATGTCTATCTATATTAACATTTACTCAATTTAAATTACATGGGTTGTACGAGGTGAGCACCAGTCGATAGACGCACCGGTTTTAACAGCGTTGCGGTAATCTGCCTGCGACACGCCCGATTGACATTAACAAGTAGTCGCCAATAAGTTAAAGTTTCGAAGTTTCGTCCCTGGTTTCTTTCCTTTCCTATTTAAACAACATGACGGAGAAACATTCGTAACGTATGTAAACAGAAAGAACACAGTTCATTTTTGTAGAATATACAAACAGAAAGAACACAGTTCACTTTATAATTCGATACGCACGGCAGAGAAACGTTCATAACAAGCAAACAACAAGACAGCAAGAACGCAGTTTACTTTATAATTTAACACGCATGGCAGAGAAATGTTCGTAAAAAGCAAATAACAAGAACATTGTTTATTTCATAATATATGATAGGGAAACGTTCGTAAAAAGTAAAGGGCAAGAACATAGTTTTTTTCAAGGTTGGTGGGTTGGGGGCTAATAGTCCAGAGACTGGGGGCTAATCGTCCAAATGCTGTGGGCTAATCGTCCAGAGACTGGGGGCTAGTCGTCTGGGGCTAATTGTCCAGGGGGCGAGTTGTCCGGATACCATTAGTTTACATGTCGCATGGTAGTTCGTGTAACACGAACGGGAAATACCACAAAATATCATACCGGAGCTGGTGCAAATATACTGAAACGTAAACAGGATTTAAATCACAAACATAAGTAGACAATAACGTACCTTTGCAGGCCATTGTTGGGGACAAAAAAAGACAGAAAACAGTCATCAAAACCAACATTCTCGTGGCCTGCAGTTGGGGCGTCTTATTAGCACGAGCTAACGTTATAAGCGTGCGATCATTTATCCGACCGGTCAGGTTTGATTTGGCGTGGACGGTCATTTTAGCGAGAGTTAACTGTGGGAGACAAAAATAGTGGAGTTACTACATCATGGGCGACGAGTCGGGGATGAAGAAAATAGCGAAATACGAGTGGTCAGCGGAGAAACAAATTTAATACATCATGTAGAGACATATCAGTTGTAGTTTCAGAAAACAAAAATGTTGTAAAATCGAAATATCAACAGTATACTTCGCTAAATAAAATGTTAAGCAATTTTTCAAAAGTTTTGGTGGCACATACATCTTTTACTGCTGTAATAAACAATAGAGGCATCGGAAAAGGCATCGGTGGCATCCGGAAAGGCACTAAGAAGAATTATAATAACGTTTTGTAACTTGTTGGGTGACGAAAAAAGAAAACCAAAACCGTGGTTCCCAAATGAATTCTCCCACCTTGCCCCAAAAAATTTTCACTTTTTCCGCAACTTCACCTTTTCCTATTCGTAGGTCCGGCGAAACCTTTATGGTCATTGGCTCCCGTATACTGCAATAATACAGCTCACGGAATTCTATCTTGCTACAAGTTACAAGATGTATTCGGTTAGTTAACAGACAAAATTAATACGGAAACTCTACTTGAAATATTTTTCATACCAGCGTGATCAAAGGAGACCCTTCTATTCGACGACCTTAATTTGCATATAACAAATTTACCAATTTTTCGAAAGAATTCTCAAAATAGAGGCGTTCATTGGGCTAAAAAAGCATATCAGTGTATCGCTTATACACCAATGAGGTCACCGATTGCCTCAAACCCGCGGGTATATCTCTGACTTTCATCCACCAACATCTTAGAAACAAAGCAAATCCATGTGTTTGCAAAATTATGAAAATTGACCAAGATCTCCTTTTGACTATTCAAACTTCGTTTGTTTATCTTCTACGTTGAGGATTTAAGGTTTTTATAACAACTCAATAGGAATAGATCCCGAGTTGTCCTAAAACGTTCCGTAATACGCTTGCGCACTTACGTGACTTACAAAGTGAACAAAGGTGATCGGAAGGTGTTTTCTCGTTAATCTTCGTTAAAATATCAGGTCCTGAAACTACGCACAATGTGGAGAAGATCAAAATCAAAGAATAAAATTCAGCACTCCGGTCATTACAGACATATCGCGTTGCTTAAAAGGACACGCAAACAAATTAAAATACGTTACATTTTTATTTACAAAGCAACACGCACACACTCTGAAAGAATTCTTGCAGTTTCTCCCGAGATTTCAATGAGCACACAGAACGCAATGAACTAGCCCTCCTTTCTGCAAATTTGTATCCATCATTTGCAAATTTAAAGTTCTATCATGAAAGATTTTACGCTGTTATGGACCAGGAATATGGTAGAAATGTCGAATTCAACGCATCAGCAAAGACTTAGCGAAACTGTATTTGTAGTAGAGCTCAACGTTTTGCAAATAACAAATTGTTTTGGATAATTCATAAATTAAATAAATGAACGTTACATTGATTTATTTATTTGTAAACAAATAACTCATGTTTTAACTTTCTTAGTTACGTTTTTTTTGAAGGATTATTAATAAGATCACAAACGGTTTTTAGGCCGCGTGTCATGATGTCAACCCATTTTTGAAATAACACATGATTTGCCATCACAGAATTCATTCCATTATTTTTTCCTGACCACTACGATCTAAATATTTCCTTCACGGCAAAACTGACCGACTAGTTTTTACGAACTGGACTTAGAACATTCGACTGGTAACAACGATTCACTTCTCTGTTATGATGACTTCCACTCAGGTTGTGAAACGTCAGTCACCACTACCTACGACACTCTTTCTCAGGACTACACTCACCCAGACAATCAGACTACACTATCACATGGTGTGTTGAGTTTTACAGACTTAAAACTAAATCATCATCAGTTTTTATTTTGATTATTGTTATCATTATTTTCATAATGATGATGATCATGATTATTATTATTACTATTTTTATCACAATTGTTATCATTATTATCATCGGTGGTATTATAAAAGATTTCTATTCCATTATTATTGAGTTGTGATTTTAATGATTTTTTTTTCCAAATTAATGCACAATCGAAGGATTAATCTTGTTATTACTAGCATCAAAATGTCTTAAAATATATTTTTATCATATTATATTATTATGAACAGTATTGGTAGAAATGATATTTGTTATTTGGTCTTCTCGTCCTTCGACCATTGATATCTAGTGTTATCTTGGTTATTACAAAGTGCGACAGAATAAGCACTCCCCCCTCCCCCTCCTAATTCTAAATAATAAAGTGATAAATTGATGAATATGTTACAGGAGAACGATTAAAATTTATGACAACAGTAAAAAAAAGAATGAAAGAAATTAAGGAAATAACAAAACAGAGACAAAAATAAATGAAAAGTAAAGCTTACTTATGATCATTTTTTGGTGATATTACCTTGGTCATAAAATCACATACTAAATTCATCACAACCACTCAGCGATATTTCATCTAAACACCTTGATTCGTATTGATATCACTCTAAACCAAGAACTTTAAAGATGTATAGAGCAGTTGGAACTTCTTGTTACACCGTTTCCAGTGTATCGAATTTTGGCTGTGTCTGTATGTTTCGTTAGTCCTGTTGAGTATATAAATTTGATGCGTTCGTTTCCTTGCGAAATGTTGCGTTATCTCGCGTGATTTGCCATTTTTTTCGTGCCTGAATGAAGTCCGGTGGGTCAATGTTTATGTTCAGTTTTTAGAAGCAGCTTCGTGGTTAAACAATTTATTTTTCTCTATTGTGAGTTTTCTTAAGAGTTTTCGTTTTCTTTTACAGCTGTTTCGAGAAAGGTTGTCGGGAAAAAGCTTTAAATTGGTTTTGGTTCCTTGTCAACAGGCTTTCTGGGAAAAAAATTTGAGAAAAATTCGCTTTAAGGACGAAGCATGATGGGATCGATGCAGGGACGTAGCCACGATTTTCCGATGGGTGGGGGAAGGATGGGGAAGGGTCATACTATAGCAAAACATCAGTAGATGCCGATCGTCAGAGAAGAGAGAGTTAAACCTTAATCAGATAAAGAATTTTCCATACCTCTCTTCCCTGCCCTGAAAATAGCTGAAAACTTTCATTTCTATTGGCATTTCTAAGCTAGAACTTATGTTATGTTACGTAGGGACACCATCCGGTGATCGCCAACTATATATGTCTAATACCGCTGCTCCCCCTTGTGTATTAGTGGGCTTTTACTATTAACGCGGCGTGAAGACCCAACTAAATACAAGAGCCACTGGCTAAAAGGGTGGGCTTTTCGCTATGGCTTTTGCAGCCAAGATATCATGACAGCGTTTTCGCCATCAGAATATTATAAGTCGTTTGCTTAAAAAAAAAAAAGAAAAAAAAAAAAGGCTTACAAGCGAGGGTAACGGACACCCGGGACCCTCTCCCTTCCCTAGCTACGCCTTTGGTTTGATGAATTTAGTTATCCATTTATCGTATAAACAGACTGATAAACTCTGGCATTATACAAGATTTTCCAGCCCTGAGAAAAGCCGTAACAACGCGCGTGAAAAAATACTATATTTTTTCACGTGTTTGATATCGCCAATCAGCTGCTGACACGTCACTCACCTTTCGCGCCACTCGGTCAAGTTGATGAATGAACGGTAAAGCCTACACCATTCCTAATCCAAGGTCGTTTGTCGGAATTAAACACTGGAAAATCCGTATCTCTTCCAGACAGTGACGTTCAAGGGGAAGAAAACCAAAATGGAAAAAGGAAAAAACCGAAAGTTACGTATTCAGTAGCTTTGGAAATGGCATTTCTCGAGGCTGAGAACGAAAATCGTCCGCTGGAAGGTTTGCCACAAGCCGATTTTGGCCGTGTACCTGAAAGATTTCTTCTGTCGGTAAGGACCAAGTCTATATCAGAGAATTTTGTGTAATGAAAGTTCCGCCCATTATTGTTTCTGTAGCGATTCAACGCATTTTTTCATCTTGGGCCTTACCATCAAGGTACTTTGCGATTTATTTTCGTTCGTTAATTAAGTCGACTTTTCCATATTCATATATATATATGTGTGTGTGTGTGTGTGTGTGTGTGTGTGTGTGTGTGTGTGTGTGTGTGTGTGTGTGTGTGTGTGTGTGTATATATATATGTATATATATATATATATTTATATATGTATATACATTGTATATATATATATATATGTATATACATTGTCAGTAAAGGGCTATTGTGATTGTATGATTTGTGGGATAAACAAAATAATACATAGGCGCGCGTACATACGGTATTTATCTTCCCGTGTTCAACTCGATATCTCACTCGTGAGCTATCGGGTTGAACTCTCGCAGAGAAATTCCGCATTTTCGCCGCGGCCATGTATTATTCACTATTTGTGTATTAAAATTCATTGACAACTGGACACCCATATTATCTTTGGAGATTTTCGTGAGTGCTTTCGTCCTTTTTTGCGACAACGTTTATCGAAAGAGAACAAACAGCTGTATATATTTTCTTACTCGTGTTTCATAGTAGTGCCGCATGTGTGTGGATAAATTTAAGTAAAACTGGACCGGCACAATATACGCGTGATTTCAGTTACAACAGTTATTCTTTCAGGCGTAACCCTATATATACCCTAGGCAATACGGCAATTTCCAGGATTGCATTGGTTTTGCGTCACTTCGTCTGTGACTGGTCACAAAACCGGCGTCACTTTCTCCTGACTAGAATATTATAGAGTGCTTTTCGACTAAATTTTGTAAAAACTCAAAGCAAAACAAAAGAACAAAGCAATCGCAACTGCTAGTCGATATATTACAGAGCAAAGGAAAAATCACAAGGAGCCAGTGGCGAACTCGAGGTAAAATAAGCAAACAACCTGGAGCGCGGCGCGACCAAGAATGGTGAGAAAATAACGCTAACTTTCCGAGGGCTCGACAATGCAGAAAAAAACTGGTCTTTCGCGAGATTTAAGGGAGAGAATTTTCTTAAGAAGCGGCACTTCAAGAAAATCCCTCAGGATGGTCGCGTGCTTCACAATTACAGCAGCAGGTCAATTGTTGTTGTCCCACAAACGACGCCGCTTTAAATGATTTATTCAACAAAACAATAATAATAATAATAATAATAATAGTAATAATGGTTTATTAGTACTCCACATGGTGTCTCTTCTGTACTAATTCACTATAATAAAATAATATAATGGTTGAACTAAATATATGGATAAATAATAACGTGCAACAAGATGTATAATTATATAAATATTATATAAATAATATACATAAGTTATGGATGGTAAATGTAAAATTATATAATATTGATGATGTAAAATTTATAGATAATATAGATACGCGCGTATGAAAGTAATTCTGGCATGAGACATAAAGTATGTACAAGATATATAAGTAGGACTAGGAACTACTTGTTGCCAATGTCATAAAATGATTTCCACATTTTACGTGCAGCGCTGTGATCGAGAAGGATTTGCAAAGGACTCAAATTTACAAAAGCTATTAAATTTGAACGCTATCCAGCTTGACAGTTAATTAACATCAGAACTTGTTAGTGTTTTGTTAGACTTTGTCACGAAACTTCATATATCAAAAGAATGGCAACCCTGAATGTAATCTGAAACAAAGTTCCGAACATAAGGTCACAGGAATAAAGGAAATAGTTACTAACATCATGCGATTATTCCCTTCGTGGAAACTATCCAAATTTCCGGAACTAACGCTGATTTCAAACTTGGCATCTTCACCTTCTAGTTGCACCTTGCTGGGAACAAACTGAGAATACTTGTCTCTTCCCATGCAACAGCCGTAATGGTTTCTCAAGACAGTTTTTGAATGATATATTGAAACGCTCTCTCCTTTCCCTTAAGAGGAAACTCAGAGACGTAACACAATTTCGAATTGGTGTATTAAAGCAAGGCCTCTTTGGATCTTCTATGGGTTGGCCGGCTTGAAAAACTAAAATTATCCTGGGTTTTTAACCTAGCAGTTGATGTTTGAGACCCGGTTAGACCAAAATCACGAGTCTTCGCTCCAAGTTGCGCCTCGTCAAAAATTAAGTAAATACGAATTACTCAAAATTAGATCATTAAATAAACGGGGAGCAACCATGGAATATTGGGCTATTGAAGCCCACCCTTTTTAAGTGGCGATCTTTGATGAACGAGAAATAACATATTCGGAACAATTGGATGCAAGTAAAGGTATGAAAGTGGCCCTATAATCGATCGTTGCCAAAAAACTTCGGTACCGATTTAAGCAGGGTTTTATAGTAGATATCATTGTCTGTTAAAAGATAAAAAGAAGTGTCTTTTTCACGGTTGTAAAGATGCTTTCTTGAATAATTATTCAATATATTTGTTGAGTGCGTCTTTAAATTTTCGTTAACATCAGGGACAAATTCTCAATGGAGATTAAGTGATAAGTTAATGAGATGCATCTTTGTTCTTGAGGCATGAAAAGGATCACAACAAACGCCATCAGGAAAGAGGAAATTTGTTTATTTATAACTATTATTTTTACTTTTTTTTCTGCTCATGGGAGCGCACGAGAGTGAAAAATCACTCATAACCAAGTATATCTGCCAAAGCAAAAGTCACACGTAGCAATTCAATAACCTAAGGACACTTTCAACGTCACAAAAATATCGAGGGTTTTGGCCGAGAGCCTTTAGTTTGTGCGTTTAATACAATGGCACTAAAAAGCCCCAAAGTAATGTTTGGCGTGCCAACAGATTCATCAGGATTTATCCACGGCTTCGTTTATAGTCAACTTTTCTCAGCTATCACATGATGCCCATCAGCGGTTTTTCTCTGAGTTCAGTTTGTAGTTCAATAATTTGTAAGGCCAAATTTGTTCCCATTCTCAGATGGAGGATATTAAATTTAACGCTTGATTCCCATCGGGTTTAGACTTTAAAAACTTTTATTTTGACGGGGGACTCTTTCTTTGTCAGGCTCGTGACAAAAGCAAGTAACATATTTCTTTATTCATCGACTTAGCGCACACTTTTCTCTAGTTATCTCTGATCATACAATGCCAGCATGCAAGACATTTGACGTGGGAACTTAGCAATGACCTTACTGACTATAAAGTTCGCTTTAGCTTAGTGGAAGACCATCACCTGAATTCCTTGAGTGTGGGGTTCGATTTCTTATGTGTACTCCGATTTTTGCCCTATCCCTTGCTCGAGTGCATGAAACCAAAAAAAAACCTTTCGTCCTATAGTTTTCATCCCTTTTTTTACAGATTTTCTTATTGAACTACTTGCCTCCTCAATTTACCATGAAGATGGTTTGCTTTGTCACCCTGAATCTCCTAATAGCGTCTGTGGCATCGCGATCTCCATTTCACCGAATGAACGTGGACGGTAAGTCACTGCTAGACGTGGCTTCATGAGGGAAGGAGGACACTCCTTTGAATTCTTATAGGGATAATGATTTTTTTTAGCGATAGACTGGGCAGCAGCTGTTTCTTATCCGCGCGATGAGGCCTTACGTATGTTGCCAGGTTATCGCTTTGCTTACAATATCTTTCGGTGGAGAAAACAGTTATATGGTTCATTATAAGTATAGTTCTTCTTTTGAAGGACTGACGAAAGAATAGAAGTAAAGCCATTTTTATGACGGAAATTAAAATTTTCCCTCTTAGAATCTATTGATGATGATGATCAGGAAAATGATGATGAAATGTTCCTCATGGATCCAAAGTGTGACCAGCATTGTTTGAGTCGTTGCGATGGCAACTGTGCAGGATGCTGTTGAGACACTTATTTTTCGCAAGTTTAAATTATTATTATCGTAATCGTCATCATTATCATCAATGTTATTTGCGCTGTTATCATCATTATAATTATTGCCATTATTTCTGCTGCGCAAAGAAAGTCTGCATTATGAAACTCTGAGAACCCTTAACAATTTTTGAGGTGATACTGACAAGTCAATTAGGTATCGACCAATCAAAATCAAGATAAGGATAATCCGTTGCTGCTGGCGGTCTGGTTTTCTGATGCCGTAAAATTCTGGTTCTTTCGTTGAAATACGATTCCATTTCACAAAACTTCTGGTGTTCATGGTTTTTGTGACATTTACTGGAAATTTGGATTCTTTATGTATGCATGATTTGCAAGTAAGATACTTCTTAATGAATCGAAGATAATCAACCGAAGAAGCACAGGGTGTCAAAAGTTTGTTTGTTACATCAGTGCATGTCTTCCTAGAAGTGACTGGAATTGCTGTTAAGAGCTATTTTCATTCTGCCACTCAGAAAAATGAATCAACGATACACTGGCGCATAATCTTTATTTTGATTAAGCTGGTATGCAGCTTTCTAATGACAAAAATACTTTTTAATCCGCATAAAAGATTGTATCTAATTTTCCTTTGCATATCATCGTTCAGATTTCTTCGATTGCAGGGTCCATTGCACAACTTTGGTTTACTATGAAAGTGGCTCAAACTTAAACCATCCGTACTCAAAGGTTGAAACGAACTCACTGATACACCAGTGCACATTTGGTGGACTAAGACGAGCACCGGAAAATGATCGTGGACTCCAATCCTGAAATGTCGGTCCAGTGTAACCCCCAGCCGGTCTGTAGGCCAAGCAGAGATTCTGCCCTTGCCAACCATCATAGGTGAAACCGTCATTCTTCATCTCGAGTGTAAAGAACGCGTGCAACATAGGCTCACTCGGCATCTGTTGTCTCAGGTACTCAAAGTTGAACTTCTTGTAAGGATAGTTGGAATCGCTAGGCAACACTTAAAAGCCGGAGGAAAGATCACTATTTCTAGTTTCAATCAGGAAGGGGCATTTGTAGGTGTCATCTTTGGGCCGGAGGGTGTTGTCACTGTTGAGTTTCCAAAGCTGGTTATGGTTGTTGGTGCATGCACGGGAATATCGGTTAGTTTCTGATTCTAAGTTGGTCAAACACCGGCATTGCAACAGATATTGAAAGTTTAAGTTCTTTTTTCTTTTTAATCAGTGTGAAAGGAAAAAATTGTTATAGACAGAGCAACATATTTACTGAGAAGCCTACATCAAGATACCTTTATTTCAAATTGCTGATTGAGGAGTGTATAATCATAGATGTTACGTCGAGTTAACATGATTCTGGTTTTCTGGAATGTGTGTGGAAAATCGGCAATCGTAAATGAAGTAATGGATTTCATCAGCAATCAGCAAACTTTTGTCAATTTGGCTTGTTTCTTCGTTTACTTTTACTTTATTGGAGGAGATAACAATGCTTACTCTACTTGCAATTACTTGCACTACTAACAATTAAGTACAATACTGACATTACTCACAAAATTCGCGTCACAGCTTACAGAAACTTGCTCGACTAAAATGCTTACACTGAAAACAATACTAAAACTAATAATTACATGGAATACTGGTATTACGATCGTCATATTACTACTTTTTTTTAACAATATTTTTAGCACTAAATTACTTGCTATACGGATAATAGCAATTATGTTTTTTTATCGAAACATACGTAAAAGATGAATTAATAGATAAATGATAGATAAACAAACAGAAAAATGAATAAACATGTAAATAGATGATCATGACAAGTTTTAACTTGGAAGATTGCCATGCCTTCTTCTATTAAAGATACTAATGAAAAATAAACATTTACATTTCCTGCATATGAGACTTTTATGCCCATTGATTTTAGAGTGTTGGTAAATCTCATGGGATACCACAAAGACACTTATTATTTTGAACCATCGTATTTGGAAACATGGAAATCACGACAGGTAAATCGAAACGAAAAGGGAAAGTTGAAAATCTTAACTAACACTCACATAGTACTAGTCTTAACTAGTACTTATTATTCACTCCAGTTCTCCTTCAGAGCTTGGAAGTCACGGCCCAAAGAAATGTGGAATGGCAAGGACTGACAGGTAAGGTAAGCATTCAATCCCTAATTTCCACTTTGACTTCGCAGAGCCGGCTTTCCCTAAAAAAAATCAGAAAAAAACAAATACGTACAACGAGAAACGAAATTGAGCGTAAATTCAAAATTTTTAATACACCGCTCTGTAATTATAAATGAACACAATTTCTTTAAATTGCTGTGGTGAAGGTAGTGAGAACTGGGAGATTGTTCCAACATCGAGTCACTCTAAATATGATAAAATTCCCACAAAGTAATGGAAGGTGCTCTTTGCACAGCGAACACGTTTGCACGAAAAGCGTCACGCGGGAGAGAACAGATTGCCTGTTTTTGAGAACGGCAAATTGGATATAGGATTGTGCTTAATGCCAATCGTAATAAAATGAAACTGTCTGAATTTCCTTACTTAGGGGAAGTTTTCAGAAACGTTGCAATAGATGTTTATACTGTATTTTTATTTCTTCCTATTGAGATAATTTACTGAGCGGAATTTCTTGGAAACTAATACGATTAGGTATTTGCATTAAGCTTTGGGGGGGTGACACATTTTTGACGCTAAATATCATACATACTAAGAGATGATACAAGAAAGCGTACCGTGTGATACCAAGATGTTTGAATTCGAAGTTGTTACACTTCCCACTGTTGCATTTTCTGGGACACCTGTATGGCAAACAGTTAGTGCAATATAGTTTGGTTGCATACTAATAATATATAACATAGATATAAATATAAATTGGCCACCGCAAAGAGTTTCTTAATTTAACCCAGGATTTTTCCTTGATACCGTGGAGATTTAGAATTCCGATTTGAAAGATAATTTTTGTCCTACAGTTCTACGATTAAATTTTGATGGAAATTATTTTGAATGACATCACTATTTGAATGCCTGGAAAGTAGACGAAAAGAAACAAGACAGGAAACAATAGCCACCCCTTCCTGGGAGAGGACCAAACCCTAATTAGCCTTGGAGGGAAACTAAATATCTTTTCTCTAATAGAAAATCACTCAGTACATAAAGGACTGGTTACATTGTTACTAGTCTAATTTTCCCAACATCGTGCAAAGTTGTAGCTAAGATAAGGCTGGCAAAAAATCGGTAAATAATGAAACAAAAAACGAGCGACAGCCAAAACGACAACAATTGATAATGTAACTAGGTTACCGCAAAGGGGTTTCTCTGCCCTAAAACTCCTTGTGGTAGTCAAGTTAATTTCCAACTTAACTGATAAAACTAAATCATACCCAAGAACGAAGAGGTACACAGTTAATAAAGGAACTTACCCGCTTTTAATGATGGAACAAATTTGCTCGATGTAGCATTGGGAGCATGGTCCCATATGGAAGAGACACTCACTTCAGTTGTTTTTGATGCATGTATCGCCTGTGAAAGAAGAAAAAGAAAATTTAAATCAATCTGGTTTCTTGTGAGTATTTGCTGAGCTTATTTACTGGGTCTAGTATTTCAGTTGCGTTATATTCGTTTCATTCCTTTGTCACAAACTTCAACCAGTTTGGTTGCCGCAAGTTTAATATCAATACTTCAGTAGTGCTGTTACCTCTCGTGGAGAATCAAGCATTTAAAAGTGTATCAAGAAGACATACAGTAAACAGAAACGGGTCATCTTTTTATTACTTAATGGGCTAATATGCTAAAACCTAACATAATAACGGAAGAAGATGAAAAAGATGGAAAAACAAAAGTCTTAACTAAAATGCACATGAGAAATTCTGATCAGGGCCTCTGCAGAAGAAAACAATAAGCGAAAAACAAACAAACAAAAGCAAAGCTTCTAGAGCACAAAAACTAACGATGCGCGGATCCAAGGTAACTTCTTAGAAATTCGGCTCGGGGAAAACAGCGACAAGACGACATGAATCACCTTCTGACGTATTCTCTTTGCTCCCATTTTCGTGCTCGTGGAACGCGATATGTACGATAGCTCTTTCCTTCTTTGACTGAGCTATTATTAACCTAGCAGAACCTAAACAATCCAGATTTTTATTAAAAGTGAGCTGAGTGGAAAAGATCATTTTACAACACTAACGTCTTTGACTGTATGAAATATTTTGCTAAGGGAATGACCAAGGGATATGCAAGCTCACCAGACATAGTAGCAGTGACACTGAGTAACATAACCGACAATGTACATGAACCGGTACTGACTTCTTGAGCATTTGTTTTCCATCATAGATAACGTTTAACACCAGTGTAAGCTTCCAGAACAAGTTTCAAAGCAAGTGGAAAAGGATGCTTAGGGGAGGTTATTTTTCACGTGCTTTTCAATTGCTTTTCATGGGAACTTGAATAGACATTTTTCTAAAACATATGAACCTTTTGATGATAGAAGCGTTAAAACCGTGTGGAGACTGTGCCTACATTTTGAGTGCAATTTCCAAAACCTCCTTAGCAGAAAAATTTCGCGGTGCAATTCTTAAATCGCCACTTAAAACACGAACATGAAAAGTCAAGGAAAAAAATGTAAAATTTGACCCTGAATTGCAAAATAATTGCCCCGAATACCGCTGCCACGAACAAGGTATCCCATTATCATTTTGTCAGGTGATCCAGCTTTCCACAAAAAAATGAGGCGTCATTCCTTGGGACAAATGGTTTGTCGTGTATATACGTACGATGGCGCCTTAAGGGCTTAACCAGGTAAGGTCCAGTCGTACATACACGCATGTGCGCGTTAAGTTTTGCATCAGAATCTTACCTGGACATTTAAGGTGATCTTAGAATGAATTGTTCGTCGGAAACCTCCCACGTCAATTTGACATCCGTAGGTGTTGCTATCGGAGAAAGTCAGGTTCACCAATTCATAGGCCAAGTACGACTTCGATATGTTTCCTTCCCAAGTCACTCGCCCAACGTAACTAGAATGTGTTTTGTTCAACTGAGGATTATAAATCACTCTTCCCTTCTTGGTTACCGTCATAAGATAAAACGTGGTATAACCATTCTCCCAAAGACCAAAAATGAACCCTGCTAGTTTTATTTCGTCCTCGTCTTGAAGATGAAAATCCCATTCAAAAAGAAAATTAGCTCCCTCTGTCGTTGTGGCACTGGACTGTCTCGGTCGGATGGTGCTGGCAACTTGTCAGAATTACAACAAAATAAGGCTACCATATTAAACCTTGTTCCTGTATGCTTAACTTTTCTCCCCTATCTATCGAGTTTCTCTGATTCATTTCCTCTTTACCAAAGACATTTCTGAGAGCTTGAGGAAACAGACTACTTTTGGGGGAGGCATAGTTGTTGAAGACCTAAATGTAATAACTGTCCTAAATGTAATAACATTTGGTCATAAATGTGATAAGCCTCCAGTACAATCGTTTAACTCCGCCAGTGCATTGTCATGTTACAGCGGACATCCATATTGAGAGGTTAAAGTGACAGCTGTTGTACCAAAAAACCCTCTGACCAGTATTCATGTCACATTGCGGGCTCGCTGATATCAATCAGCGTCTTCTTATTTGCTAGACTTAAGTCGAGAAGCATTGGCTGCAAAGCGTTATACTAATGAACAATTGGCATCAAATGACATCTCCATATATCACTGGCTCAGACTCTTGAGTGCCATAGATTTTGATTTTGTCAGACAATTTGCAGGCTTGGATATACATTTTTTGAACCTGGGATACTCTATCCACCTCGGTAATCAGTTCATGTACCATATAACTACAAGTAGAAACTGTTGACCATTCTTTAAATTTTTCTTTTATTTATCTATTCATTATCTCCCATCACGGCGGGGAGAAGAGATAAAGACAAAAAATGACATGAAAACTTGAGATCGACTTTGGAATATATGTTCTCTCTCAACCAAACTTATTCGGTCATTTTAGCCTCGTTTTATTTCTGCGTCTCTAGGGACCGAGACGAAGTCGAGGTCCATAAAAACGCAGCAAAAGAACTGAACCAATATCCAGCCATCTTGGCCGAACAAGCTTAGTCAATAACGCTTATGATTGTATTTCGAGCAGACCCATACAAATCTGGCAAGGAGGACAGTCCATAATATAGACTTCCGAGCGCGGAATTTGTCTAATGTATAGTTCAGTGGACTTCCTTTTCCTTATTATATGGTTCATAAAGTGATAACTTCAGCACTGACCACACAAGTATATCGTCAAAATCTGTTGCACAGAAGAGTCTGAGCCAATGATATAAAGAGAGGCATTGGTCAGCGTTCTCATTGTTTTGACGTCTGTCAATTTGATGCCAAAAGCACATCAGTATATATAAGGTTTGTGGCCAACGCTTGTCGATTTTCGTCTTTAGCAAATAAAAAGACGCTGAATAATATCAGCGAGCCCGCAATATACCATGAATTTTGGTCAGAGGATTCCTTGATGCAATAGCTTTCACTTAAACATCTCAATTTGAATGTCCGCTATAACAACAATGCACTCGCGCAGTCAAACGATTGCATTGAAGTCTTACTACATTTAGTTCCAAATGTTATTACATTTAGGACTTTATTACATTTATGAAAGTTATTACACTTAGGCCTTCCACAAGATCTATCTTTTCCTGGGATTATCTCGTCATAGAGCTACATCGGCCATGAACGAAGGCAAAAATTATAATTCAAATACAACTAATATTCATTGAAGGAAGTCAAGGTCATATTTTTTAGAAGTACGAGCGGCATCAAATCAAATCGAAGTATTTGAGCCGTCAATTGTACTTTAACTGATAACTTCAGTTCAGAGCATCAATCAGTGAATGTGTCTGAGCAGTTGAACCAACTCTCTTTCGACGTTTAGTCAAACACTTTTCATCTACAGCAACATCCTCACAGAGCCCCAAAACGTGGTAATGCCATTAATTATTTAGAGATTGTCTGTGTCAAAATGTCGTTTATCATATAAACTACGGTTCTCTACAAGGCTTTCTGGCCCTGAGAAAAGCCGTAACAACGTTAACACACGTGGAAAAATGCGATATTTCTTCACGTGTGTTTGATATCGCCAATCAGCTGCTGAAACGTCAATCGCCTTTTGCTTCACTCAGTCAGGTTGATGAATGAACTGCGAAATCCTAATCAGGATTCTCGATACGAGTTTGTCGGAACTTCTTCGGATTATGGCGGCTAGAACATTAAAATACCAACAGATGGCGACTTTTACGCTCTCCTAGAAGGGGAAGAAAAACAACATACGAAAAGAAAAACCCGACGAAAGTTACTTATTCAGTGGCTTTAGTGATGGCGTTTCTCGCGGCTGAGAACGAAACTCGATAACTGGAAGATTTGCCACTCGTGTTCAACTCGACATCTTACTCGTTCGCTGCGCTCACTCGTGAGCTATTGAGTTGAACACTCGAAGAGAAATTCCATATCTACGCGTGGCCATATGTTGTTTTCTATTTATTTTCATAGTCGAACATGAAGAGTATAGGAAACATTACTTCTAAAATTCACGTCTCACTGAAGCTAAATCTAAATTATAAGTGTTACCGTCGCTTCCGCCTTTTGCTAAACCACAAATACGTATTATTCACTGAAAATTTACACGATGTGACTCCTTATAATTCCCCTTAAACGCGTTCGAAGCTTCCTCTTCGATTGAGGTTTTTAAATGACTGAACTAACCTGTTACGAGAGTTGGCACGACAGATATAAAGAATAGGATATAAAACCCTATAAGCCTCATTCTTGATGCTCCTTGACTTTTTGAAATGAGAAACTTTCCTAAAACCGTGACATTGACTCATATCAGTTTTAAAGGTTCGCAGTTCCTGTTCTTTTCCGAGAATACCATGAATACTAACAGAGCACGCGCCGTCTAGTTCTTGGAATCTTCGCTCATTTGGCAGTAGGAAAGCGATCCGTGAGCTAATGAAAGCCTAGGAAAAAAGTTAGTTGGTATATAAACTTACGTTATGGTAATTGATGTTCAAAAATATAGGCTTAAGGGCTCTGTTTTGATTTGTTAATTTTTTTGTAGCCGTCTTTTTTGCTTGTCACGTTGCGTGACTAGCCTAGTGGATCAAAGGAACGAAGTTTGTCGAAAGACTTCATAAACAAAACAAAACAAACCGCCGGTTTAAGGAGAGACTTTGTCAATGGCTTACTCTTGGCTACTTTGAATCTTGAGACTCCATCTCTAAATAGACCCATTTCATGTCCTTGAAATGAGGTTGAACTTGAGAGCAAACCAGTTGGCAGAATTGCTTTGCAGTTCTCTACGAACAAACCTTTTGATCTGTGCATTTGGAACGATAAAAAGATGGACTGACATAATAAAATAAAACTCAAAGAAATGTACATATCGCAGAAATTCCTTTACAAACTAACTCTTTGTCGATAATTCCCGGAACAAATTCTAATGAACCATGGAAGAAGAAATTGTGAATCTAATTACCCAATAAGGTCCAATTGTAAACAAAGGTAAGCACTGACGTCAAGAGAAAAAGTCACACAACAAGGCACAACCGATTGTGTTAATGATTTTCTTACCACATTTTGACTTAATCTTTGATCTATTGCTTAACAGACGCACAGCAACATAAAGTCTATTTGTTAATCGTACACACAGCTGATAATGCGTTATGTATTTTCATCGAGGCAAAGTTTGTTTCAGGAGAAATCGTCATGCTCATTAAATTTCATGTATTAGTTCAAGTGTTTGAGAATTTGAAGAAGTCATCAAGTGATCAACAGGGATAATAACTGGAAGAGACCTAGGCCCTATTACGTTAGGTTGGCAAAATTTTTAGATGGAGTTTCATTTAAAAACGCAACAATCACTTCCAAAAGTTATTCAATACTAATGCAAAGCGTTTTACAATTCTAATTACAACGTGGTGGGAAAAAATGTTAAAACAGTAACCACGCGGAATTTTAGAGTAATCTTGTAAAACAGATCATAGCGATGAACTTATAAGGACTGACGTCATACACGTAGTGGCAGCTCTACTTGTTCGACAAATATCACACAAAACTAACTTACAAGAGTGCAAGGTCATCCGAGTGACTCTATGCTACTGTGGCTCTGTTCAGTGAGGATCTGTTTAGCAGTAGATCTCAGGAGCCGTCAAATGTGGCACGGACATTATAGACTCACTCGACTACTACTTTTTGGTTCTTACCTCATTTTGACGTCATCTATGGTCTTGTATTGAATAGAAGCAAGGCAACATGGAATCTATCGATGAATGTTATCCTTATGTACATCTCATAGGCATAAGTTTTATATTTATGTTTGGATGTATATGTAAGGGGCATTGGAGCATATTTACACGACAATTTGCACCATACAAGCAACACATTATCACTATTATTATCATTGTTATTATTATTATTAGTAGTATTGTTGTTATTATTGCAATCATCATCATTATTATCAATATCATCATTATTATTATTGTTATCATTATAATCATCATCATCCGCGGAGCTTTGAAAAGGAGTCTCGAACTGGCTAGTCCTCCTGGTCTCTAACAAAAATATTGGAAACGTAAAACTCGAGATCCAAATTCCCAAGAAAGGCTTTTGAAGATGCCTCAGGAAGCGAACAGACAGTTAAAGAAACAACCCAAAATAAAAATAACCCATTTTTATTTCCAAATCCTTTTTTTCAAAATGGAACTTTTTAAACATCACTTGTTCATCTTTACTTTAGTCTCTCATGGAATTGAATTCAAAGGGATTTCTCAAAATGCACATTCATTTGGCAGTCAGATAACTTTCACATCCTTAATTATCTTTAAGACAAATTGTCAATATTTATAAATATTTTGTGGTGAAAAGCAATAATAATTTTTACAAACATACAGCGAAAAAGGCTGCTTTAGGGTAATAAATATGCATTAATTACAAAAACTGCGTAGAAAAAGATGTATCGAAAACAAAGCGATTCAAACTTTGTTTGTTTCTCTTGGTTTAAATAATCTGATACTAAAATGAAAATAGAAATGCTAACCGCATAA